ACTCCAACGACGAAGTCTCGTCTTCCCCATTCGCGTAACTTGGCCACTGCGGTTATGCCACTGACCAGAGGCATTTGATTATCTGTTCGGAAGTTTACTTGACGAGGGGATGCAAGGATCGGGGAATATACCTAGGAAGATGATATGGAACTTCTCTTCCGTGGAATCTGAGACCGGGCGCCCAAGAATCGGTCCAAGGGTATTGCTACTCGTGGTAGAGCCTTCGCTGGCAGGAGTAGAGACAGCTCCGATGGCAAGCAAAGCCGCATAACCGTTCTCGGCGAGCTCAACCGTACAGCCCATTCGAAGCAGCAGCCGTTTCATCAGACTGCGAGTGACAAAATCGTCATCGACGACAAGCACAGTCAGGCCTGGATCAAACGGCAGCGCGGAATTGGATGAAGGAGTCGGAATACCCTGGAATTGCGTGTCGAATTGGGACAATGGTGACGACGACGTGCTTGCTGCAAGAGTCGACTTCGCCACCGTTCCCGGAATCGATCGACTGGGCATGGGAAGATAGGTGGGCCGTTGGAAGCCCGTGTCTCGGGGAGGAGCTGGTTCAGGAGTCGTGTCTGTCAGGGAGACCTGCTCAGCGGAAAGAACAGAACCCTCGAAGAGCGACGAGGACAGAGGCTTCAGCTCATGGGCAGAGGAGGTGTCGTCGGCGCCCGTATGATCGGGTGGGACATGGTTCAAGTTCTGAGTCAACGTCTCGCTCGAAGTTTGTGCGATTCTGAGCTCGACTTTACCGCCTTGTTCCATAATGTTGTGCATGGCCGTGCTGGACCTTTCCAGCGGAGGTGCAATCTTGGATGCTTTGGCGGCAGCACAGTCAACAGCCGCGACTAGGCTCTTTTTCGTGACTGAAACCACAGTATTCGTCATCGCAGCGTTGCGCACTTTGATCAGATCAGGGTCTGTCGAAGAGTGGTCGGATTCCATATCCAGTGGGATGAGGGCTTCCCGTCCAACTCCGAGCGGGACTTCAACCCAGAAGCAGCTCCCCTCTCCTGCTTTGGACCGAACACCCAGCCGTCCTCCACTGAGCTTGATGATCTGTCTGACCAGCGCTAACCCCAGTCCCGTGCCCTTGCCGCCCTGCTGCTTTCCCTGTTCGGTCTGATTGAAGGCAGCTAATCGCTCGATTAGACTATGACTGGCAGTGTCTTGAGACAACTCACAAAAGAGATGAGCCTCTTCCATATCCCGCTTCGATATGCCACACCCAGTATCCGTCACCTCGACGCGAACGACGATGTGCTTCAGCTCGCATAGTGGATCTTCTCCATAGGCCAAATTGTGCTGGCTAAGATGCGAGGCGGATAGAGGATCTCCATTTCCGATTCCAGAGAGTTTCGGTGCGCTCTCCAGCTCGCTGACGGGGGTGAGAGGCCTTCCATCGCCGCAACCTCTTCGGGAGTCGGATGGACCAACTTGGTGTTTATGCGGATAGTGCCTCCTGGCGGCGTGAACTTGGTCGCATTACTGTTTTTCCATCAGCTGCCAGAAACACCGGAGAAATCAGAAATAGTACCTTGCGAGATTAGTTATGACCTGTCGCAATCGGACCTGATCTCCAACCAACACGCCAGCGACATCTGGACTCTGTTTCATGTGGGCACGCACGATCTCAGGGCTCTCGCCCATCGCTTGATAAGCAGCTCTTCGTGCCACCTAATTGCATGTTCATCTTGAGTCCTCAGTGACGGCCGGAAGAACATACCTTGTCGATATTGGGATCGAGTTCATGAACAAACTGTTGACCGCGCTCGTTCGTGGCCAGTTGCTGATCGAATAGGTCAGTGGCACTGCCTCGGGACCGAAAATGACCCACCATGGGCAAAAAGAGAGAACGGATCGCATTATGGAATGCGAATGGCTGAAGAGAAATCTCAGCAGTGGTCTCAGATGCTCTCATGATTGCGCACCCGGCGGGACACTTCGAATGTGCCACTGTCCATCCGATTGCTGGAAAGCCATGAGCAATTGCTGCTAGCGCCGAGAGGAATTAGATCTCACAAGTCCAATACATCGTTGAGCACGTTGCGCATCATGTTGAGGTTATCATTGAGAGCATGCAGTTCGAATTCGTGGTCCCCAGTCACAATCCCAGCCGAATTGAGATTCTGTACCGCTAGCACTGCGTACGGTGAGCATTGTGAACCAGAGCAGATGGAGTCACGTACAAGCAGCATTCAAGGGCACTCGGACCTGTGCAGAGATATTCAATAACGTGCCATACCTAGAAAGTAAAGAAGAAAACTTATCATGGAAGACGTATCTACAAGAGTCAGCGTTCGTTCTGACCCTGAACTTGTCGACTCACGAGGTAAGACGCCTTTTAGAATCCCATGCCTTGCGCTCGTTGATCTGGGCAGCCTGTGTTGCCTTGAATTGGATCTTTAGTTGATTTCGGAGTGTGAACAACCGCCGGTCAGCCTTGAGCATAAGTTGTTAGACGCATATGATAGAAAGAACAGGCGAGGTACCATCTCCTTCATATAATGGGCATAAACAAGGACTGCATTTGGTCAGTTACAAATGGAGGTGGGACGGTCAGTCTTACAGATGCTGAAGACTAAAAAGTTGATCAAAGCTGATATACCAATGTCAGATTAGGTCACATTGAGAAACAAAGCACCTGCCTCGGACGAAACGAGGGCGCAAAGGTGCAACTGTCACACAGGCACTAGTGACGGGAAGGTGAGAAGCAGGAGGGGAGAGAAACAGAGACAAGTCGAGCGTACAGGATGAAGAAAAACAATGCACCGATGGTCGTGCACAAGCGTTGCGCCCTCAACCCAAACATTCCGATGACTTGCAGAGCAGTGGTGTAATAGAACATGCCTGAATTGACATGAGAGGACTGGATACGGAATGAGGGAGACAGGTGGCACCGATGAAGTCTTTGGTTCCACAAGAGAAGTGGGAGTTTAGTGGATCATAATACCCGCATAACCACCTAGGTTTATGAGCGTTCCTCTCAGAGGTTTGATGCAAAAAGCTCACACGGTGAGAATATAATACACTGCCCACATCCAAAGAGAGAAGCAAATGTACGTCTGATAGACAACAGGATGCTTTTGAGGCCAGTCGAACGCGACAAGAAAACTAGGAAGGAGGGTTAATATTGTTGAACTGGTAGATGAATATCAAGGACCCACATAACAGGCACGCTGAAAATTGGTCCCACGCCATACAAGAATATATCGTCGAAGGTCACCCGTGGCGTGGATGTAAACGCACACCCGAGAATCCAATTGAGGATTAGCCACACTGCTGACCAACGGGCCAATGGTTTGCTGTAGCTCCAATCCTCCTGATCGAAAGATGAACAGAGCACTCGCCTGAAAGCCATATGTAACTCACCCGGCCGTAGTTCCTTTCGGCTTTCTCATCGGGGAATTTGGGACTAAAGAAATGGAGAACAAGACGTAAGATCGACCACAAGATGGTCGGGAACGAGCCCAGGAATTTGCCCTGCGGCTGCCAGCCCTCTTGAAACGGCATGGGAGGGACTGCGGGCAAGCTTGACTTGGTTCGTGGGCTGTGATCATCCCCGTCGTCATTGACAGAATTCGGGCTGTGAGAACTACAGTTCCAGACACGGTCTACGACGATGCGGTCGACCTATACGTGCAACACAGACGGCAACGTTCATTGTCAAAGACAATGTGAGAATCAGGGCACGTACTCTGTCGGGATCGCCGGTCCCCTCATCTGCCCCAGCCGTCAATACCGATTGCCCAACACTACTCGCCCTCCTTTCTGACGACGATAATGACGGACTCGATACTGTCCCAAACCTCCGTTTGACGTTCGACCACAGGCTACCCAGCACTCCATGCGTTCCAAAGCGTGTTGTCTTCTTGACCGGTCGACTTCGTTTGCTGCTCACGGACTTGGCTGCTGTAGCGGTCACAGGGTAGGGAAGAATCGTTTCCATTGGTGTCCCCTCGAGCGAAGTTAATTTCTTGGTCGAGACAGTGCTGTCGTATTCGTGGACGACGAAACCCATGCTTGGAAGACTGAACTCAGTCTCGAGCCATGGGAGGGCTGAGTGAAGAAGCCGAGCCTTGACAGACAGGTATCAAGCCAAGCGACTTGAATCACCCGGTTAGAGTGTCTCATCAATCCACCTGTCGCCGATGGTCAAACAGCTTGAGAGTTGCAATGTGCGAAGAAATGAACCGCAAACACGCTAGGTGTGCGCACGGGTCAGAATCAATAAGACGTAATTAGCAAAGTTAATACATAATGAGGCTCGCCGGCCCCGATGTCATCTACAGAACTAGTCTTGCACTGCACTCACAGTACCAAATGTATGCAGATGCCCCACAACAACGAGTAGAGGAGTAACTCCAAATTGGTTTTCTTGCGAACGCAAGCGCAGGCAAGGGGGAAGGGAAGGAAGAGAACAAGGGGGAGAAACACAGACTGTACCATTTATGGCTCGGTGAATGGTGATAGACAGGCCGAAACCAAGCAATCCCCAGAAGAACGTACAGCAGAACATCTTGTGAGCGGTGCGTCATCCTTCGCACCATGTGCAGTCATTTTCTTGGCCAGATTGAGAAGGAAAGTAGGCCAGGCACACGATCGTTTGAGAAGATACGCACTTCTGCGTAACTTGAATATAATCGAGAGGTAGACTCTACTGTTCCCGAATAACATTCATGACCAGTCGACTCATCCACATACAGGTCAATGGAGTCATCACGGAGGTCATGCATTGGAAGTGGGGAGTAGAAACAAGCGTGGGTCACTACCGTGACAGGGTGCGCTTGACACGTTCCGAAAAAGGCAATTGTGCTCGATGATCCAATGCTGAAGTTCGCGGAAGTTCCCAGCTGTGAACATTGTCACGTCGTAAAATTCACAATGATATCAAAGAGAGACAATGCTGTCGCATGGGGGAAGGTGTATAAAAAAACAGAGGTAGGGCATGCGGCACAAGCGCCAGCTTTGGCAGGATCGTCGGAGTTTGAATACTTGGGCATCTCATCTCTTGTTATACTCGCCCATCTCATTCCCGCTCCATCTGTTATCCATACACCACCACAATATTCCTTCTTCTGCTTTCGCCCTTGTTTATTTCTCGTCCCCTGCGTTATTTTGGTCCGGCCAGCTGTCATCCCGTGACCCAGCACAAATCGACAGACAAGCATGGCCTTCCCCGTGTATCTCAAGAACGGGGATGAGGTTAAAATAAACGGTATCTTATCTCAACTGCCCTATATGCGCTCATGCTGTGGAACCCTGACTTTTATTTTACAGACCACGTCTACTGCTCACCGCCCTGGGCGGTGCGTGACGGCACACCCTACTCAGTAGCTCGCATAATGGAGTTTCTACCACCAGAAGACACGCCAAAGGGTGCTGATGGCCAATACTACTTATACAGCCGCGTGCGCCTCGCGTGGTACTACCGTCCGAGCGACGTCAGCGACCGCCCGGTAACAGACTCGCGCCTACTTCTGGCAGCGATATATTCGGAAGTGTGCGATATCAATCAGCTCCGGGCGAAATGCTATGTCGTGCATCGAGACAAGATATCTGATTTGTCGGGGTGGAAGAAGAGACCGGACAGGTTCTACTTCAATCGCTTATTTGATCCCTACATCAAAAAGGAATTCGAGATCATTCAGGCGACCGATGTTCGAAACCGTGGGTTCAAGAGTTTCCACTCGGGCTGATTCTGACTGCAGCCAGTGCCGGATAACATTAGAGAGGTACTCACATCCCGCTACGAATATGTCGTGGCAGAAAAGGAAGTCATTCCTGATCTGACCGACGTATTACGACTATGCGACACCTGTGAGGTTTGGTGCCCCAGGTGATTACTCTGACCACCTGCGGTGACTCTTGTTGACCTTTGCTTAGTCAAGACTCAGTCCAATGTGACCGCTGCAAACGTTATTTCCATATGCGGTGTGTCCAGCCTCCGCTCGTAGCCAAGCCATCACGTGGTTACGGATGGACTTGCGCGCCTTGCTCAAAACGGCACGAGGAGGAGGTCGACAACAGGGAAGCCCGGCCGATATCTTCTAAGAAAACGAATGCTCCACCTGCAAGAAGTCGGGGACGACCGCGGAAGGACAAGACTCAGGCCGATAGGGAGGAGAAGCTGGCCATCAAACATTTCCGGATGTGGCCTTTTCGGTATTTTGGGTTAGTTTGCTTCCCGATGAGCAGTTGGTTCGTGGGCTAATGCTTTAGCAAGGCAGTATACCGTGGCTGAAGATACTCTGGGTTAGTCCTTATGGTGCATGTACCATGGATCATCGCTCAAAACTCCCTAGATCCAGAAGACTTGATCTTCCCCCGCGCAGCCACGCGGTTGGGCCTCAAGTTCCAAGCGGTCGTACCTGCATCATCCGACATTGCCATGGATGTTGATGAGGTGCCTGAGAGAACAGAGCAGGACGAACGAGGAGGAGAAAACACTATCGAAGTCCTCAGCATCATCAACACTTTGCGTGAAAGCGAGGGTGAGTTCGTCGTGTGATCATGGCACGCAATATTGAGTATCTTCAGTCTCAGCCAGTAAGCGTTACCGAAGCTTTCGTCTCCGAGCTTTAAGACCTTACTAGTCGAGACACACAAGAAGACGCTCACAACGGACAAGAAGCTCTCCAGTTCCGTGGATTGGTTGACAGAGGTGATTCACCGATTCACCGCTGCTGTGCTACTCGAGCGACCACTTTCTTCCGTGGACATGAAGTCGCCGATGCGAACCCAGAAGGTGCGTCGACTGCGTCAAGCTGAGATGATGAACTGATGTTTCTATCACTCAGTGGAAGCGATCTGAGACGCGGTATATAGACAAAGATTGGACGCCAGAGGAAGTCGCCGCCTTCGAGGACGGCATTGCTGCTCATGGGGCTGAACTTAGAGCGGTTCGAGAGGAGATAGGGACCCGAACGATCTTCGAAGTGGTTCGATTCTACGGATTGTGGAAGAGGTGCGTTGGCCAGCAGACCAGGATCGGTAGCAACCTCATTCCTTCTTAGCACTAAACTCGGAGAAGAGAATGCGGCCATTCGGGAGCACGGCAGACCAAGTAGACCTCTCGGGCGAAAGCATCAGAACCCGGTAGAAGCTGCGAACGGGCAGCGGGTGGGATTGGCAGACGAAGAGGCGTCGGTGATCAGCAATCCTAGCAAGGCCCCGACGTGTGGCGCATGCCGAACTCGGGAGTCAAAGACTTGGTGGAAAGCCCCAAAGGGCCTGTCGACGAGTGTGCTTTGTGACAGCTGCGGGACGAACTGGCGCCGATATGCTGATCTCAACGTGCGTGCGATGGTCCGGGAGGAATCTGTGCCGGCCCAGCCGAAGAAGCCTGTCCTGGACAAACGGGAAGGAACCCCTTTGACCGCACCCGTAACCAAGCGTGCAAGGGTGCGTCGGCCATGCTTTTCTTCTTTTACTTTTTGGCAAGCTTGACATTTTTTTTTGATCCAGACATCTGCTTCGGCGCATTCAACATCACCACCCGCGGTCTCAACGGCACCTCAGCTGCGATGCATGGCTTGCCACAAGAACGGCGCACTAGGCAAAGTGATTAAATGCAAGCAATGTCAGTTCCGATGTCACGCCGGCAGCTGCGGAGCTGTCGTTGACCCGGACTCGCTGGATTCCTGGCTCTGCGACGTGTGCCAGAATGAGGCATCGCAGGAGGCAGCGCTTGACGCTGTGTGTCTGTTATGCCCGCGGCAGATCGGAGTAAATCCGCCCGATTCATTTCTGCAGGCGCGGAAGCCTACCGAAGGACAAGGGTGGACGCACGTGCTGTGCTCTCTATTCATCGGGGATCTTCAATACACAGATGCTACCAGACTTCGCTGCGTGGAAGGCGTCAGTGCGATTCCACTGCATCGCTGGGATTCGGTGGGTAACGATTTCTTCAATCAGAGGAATGGCACTCATGCTAAGCACAGAGATGCTCATTATGTGGCATTGTGCAAGGGGTCACCATCAAATGCTCCGATTGCAGTACATTATATCATGCTTCCTGTGCCTGGCGCCAAGGCCACAAGTTCGGCTTCGAGATCAATCCCGTCGGTGTTTGCTAGCAGGGCCGCTGATTTATTCTCTGATATCCCCATCCTAGGTCAAAGCCAATCGTCGAGATACTACGACGGTCGTGACCTTCCGAGGTGAATCGGGGAGTATGACACCAGTCGTGTTGTGCAAAGAACACGACCACAGCAAACGCATCATTTATGGGTTCTGTCAGACCAGTGAGGGCGGAGAGGTGCGTCGCAAAGTGGTTGTCTTCCTCGGCCTGACGTGATTTTGCACGTTGTAAGACTGCGCTGCAAGTCTACTCTCGCGCCTACAAACAAGCGCCCACATCCCAGGCGCACGGTCTTCTTCGGAAGGCCCGTCGTCTGGACACGTTGCTCGCCAGTCGCAACCAAGCCTCCGCTCTTCTGTACATAGAAGAACCACGCACTGGGCCGGCCGATCCCGAGTGTTACCGGTGTCACACGCAGTATTCGCCTTTGTTCTATCCCGTGAAAGCACCTGGGGGCGATGCTTTCGTCTGCCATACGTGTCATTTTGGAGAGCAGGAAACCGGGGCTGTTGAACGTAAGGAGAACGGGCTGGCTAATGGACATCGCGTGGAGGACGTTGATGTCGTCATGGTTTCTGATTAGGCTGGAATTGCGTCGCATTATCTTGTTATTTCGTAGCTGCTTTCTGTATCATGTATGTACTTCCTTAAACGGAATGAACCATAGACCACAATTGTATCCCGTCGGGTTAAGTGACGTGCGAACTTTCTGCTGGCTCAGATCGTCTCGTCTACATTCCAATGTGCGTAGTAAATACAGATGGTGCTTAATGGATAGCGAATAGGTTGTGACAGTAAAGGTTGCAGTTGTAAAATATACCATAAGATATCCGTTCCCCAATCTACGGTGTGTTCTTCACCCGTTTGTAGAACAGAACGTAGGCACGTTGGTTCTGTGGCGTGAGATGGATCAGACATAAAAAAGACCGTAGATGGCATAATGAGAGACGCACAACGACCTGTTTCTCGTCCACGGACCGGATACTGCTGTCGTCACAGGATTTCCATCCATCCCGGTCAGCAATAAATGCCGTGTCTGTTTCCAGGATCAGTGCCCGGAACGGAATCGGAGAGACGAAAACGAGAACACACAATGACCGCTGGTGAGGTTACCCGTGTGGTTTGTCACTGCGTACAGATTGTACTTGTACGGCGGAAGCTGGACCCGAGGATCATCCGAGCTCATGGGCATCCCACCATTGAGCTGGCTCTTGTCCGCACCCGGAGGTAGCGGCGGCGGCATGAAGTTGGTGAGGTCCAGCGACTTGAGTGGATAATCGACGAAGGTATCGATCTTGTCCGAAAACCGGCCATGGATCTCGAAGCGTTTCAAGTGGATCACCAGGATCGGGGGAAGCCGTGCCAGAGACAACTCCTTCGTGGCACGCCTTTTTGTTTTGCACTTGGGGCAGTCCCTGCGAAGTTGTCAGCCAGGTGCAGTTCCCCATGAAACGACACACTGCGCACCAGGCATCGTCCTTGTCCATAATCTCCCGGTTGAAGAAAGCGTCGATACAGCTCTGCAGCGGGACCTTGGAGCCTCTGCCAGTCGGAATCGGCAACTGCAAAATCGAGAACACGTTGTACGTCGTCGACGTCGTGCTACACGTTGAGCATTGCAGCCGGTTCCGGAACTGGCCCTGGAAAAAGTCGACGATGAGGCTGTCGTTTCGAGTTTTCCAGAGCCTCCATTCTTGTTCGCTGGCAATCTGCGGACTGAGGCGCTCGAGTTCGGCTTCCTGCTCTGGCGTTCGAGTGAACGTTGGCTGGATGAGCAAGCGGTTCAGATCTTCGTGGATGCCGTCCAGGAGGAAACTGAGGAACTCTTGTGAGTCGTGCTGATTTGAGCCATTGTACTGGCTGTTCAAGTGACAAACAGTTTTCTGGAGCGAAATGAGAATGCAACATACAATCGATGAGTCAAAACCTCACCCTGAATTCTACGGGGATGATATACGGTAGCTCGCCGCTCCACATGGATCGAACCAGATTCGCAAATGAACCAGACAGAAGTCCTTTAGAGCCATGCGGGTTTACTGTATTCACTGCAGTCTTCCAACGCCCATCTGTTGCTCGTCAGAACTGTAAATGTGTAGATGCTGCTTGGCCACCCACTGGCAAAGAACTGTGCGAATGGCAGACTCGCACTCAGACACTGAATCGGCGCATTCATGTAACAGGTGTTGCCCAGATTCTTGAGACCCGAGGTGCCGATAGAGATGTCGGACCAGTACGTCGGCGCATAATCAGAATTGATTCTTGGCACGTCGGACGAAGGCGGGTTTGAGAGCGTCGTTCCGCGCGGTCGTTCTTGACGTTCCAAAGCGGATGATGCCACCGCGGGCGGCGGCCGAATGAGATGCTGCTGACTGGGGTAATCCAGCGGCCGAAGACTCGACACGGCTTCTTGCGACTGGTCGATGTAGTCGCTTCGGCGGCGGGAAAGCGTCGGATTGATTGACGCCTGTGGTGGAGACATGATAGGTGGTGGACTGCTGACCGAAGGGGAGTTGCGCGACGAAAACGACGGATAGGCGATCGGGGAAGACGTCCCTGAAAAAGTCTAGCATGATGGTCAGCTCAGCTTCAGCCATTGCAGAAACGCCTCACAGATTCAGGAATAGTACCGAATGGACCACCGGAGGGCGTCGGTCGTAACGGCGACTTTCTCAAAGACGTTGGGTATGATATCTCTGCAGGTGACCGTGAATATCCGATGGACTGGTCTACAGAGAAATTGGGTCGATGCCCCATATGAGTCGGTGATGGAGTCGGAATCGGATTCGTGTCTGCCCTGGACCGCGGTGTCCACAATTGGTGCTCAGAGGCGCTCGTCGTCATCGTTGCCGAGCCCGAATATCCGTTGACCGTGGCCGAGCTCACATAGCCGCTGACACCATTGGTCGAGGAGAACCCATTCGCGATCGAGGACGAGCTCGAGAAAGTCACGGGAGACGGAGCAGCGAAGGCGCCCTCCCCGTTCGTCGATGTCGTCCGAGAGAGAGTTGATAATGTGGAGCTCGCCACCTCATTGTCTCCGATGTCCCTCCTCCAGGCATCCAGTCCCCCGATCAAGACCATCGGCATCCTCTTCAACATCTTTGTGAACGCCTGCTCGCTGATCAACCTGACGAGGATCGCCATGGGAGCCGACGGTGGACCCAGAGACTGAGACGACTGATCATAGACAACGATGAGATCAAACTTGTCCCGGTTCTTGAACATGGTTGTTTCATTCGTTGGTGCACTGGCCATGCTGTCTTCCAGCCGGTCCGCCGTCAACCTATCGATGTCGTCAGTGCTGCCAAGAAAGCCGCGAAACGCATCAGACACGTACCCTGCCCTTGAGAGGACAACCGGTTCGACGCAAACGATTGCGTCGGTCTTAATATGCACTTTTTCAAAGTCAGCTCGGTTGCGCACATCCAGAAGGAGGACTTTGTGATCCCGGAGGTAGGCGTATAAATCTTTGGGGAATGCCGAGCCGCTGTTCGGCAGCGCGGGCTTCGGGATCGCAGAGGACAACGCAGACGGTTTGACTGGAATCGGAGGTCTGCTGGGCGACGGCGGCCGGCTGACGAATGCCGGGAGGCTGGGGGTGACGGGGGTACTTGACGGCCGTTCGATCGGTAGATAGTTGCGGAACGACGGTGACGACGACGACGAGGCCGCTGTGTCCGCGGGTGTGGTCAGCTGTTCTCTGGTACCCGACCCAGTGGAGCCAGATCCGGTGGATATGCCGGTGTTCACCGAGGGGAGCGCAAACGTCTCATCGAGTTCCGAGATCGACGGGAATTTGGCTTCCGTGCTCGAGATGCTAAACGTGCGCAGCGGCGCAGCAGGCCCATGGGGAACAGATGGGAGTGCGTGTATTAGTGGTTGGAGAGGAGAAGACGAGGGTGTCGATGTGGGCGAAGGAGGTCCAAAAGAATGTGGGGAAACTAAGGCGTGAGGCGACGAGGAAGTGGATGGTGGAGCTGATGGTGTTGAAAGCGAAAGTGCATTCATGTTCAACGATATCGGCGACTCGAGTCCGGAGAGTGCTTTGAGGGCCGTTGCCGGAGCTGGGGGTTTGCCTGCCGGTTGCCCTCGCCTGGGAACATCCCCGAGAGCCTGCAATCCATTGTTCTTCAACGCCTGTATCCTGTCTTGGATGGACACTGGGCCTGTCGTTTCCTCACTCTTCTCCTTCTCCTTCTCTATCGCTTTCAGTTTCTCCTCTGCAGCTGTCATATGACTAGATATGTATTGAATGGGATTGCGCTGAGGAAGAAACATTGATTTTGACGGAGACTGAGATGACAAGGCACACTCACCTCAAGAAAGTCCCTTGCTTCCTTGTGTACCACACCATGCACCCCTTCCTTCTTGAATTCTGTCGAATCCATGACTGTCTGCACAAGCGTAGCGCACTTCGTAAACGCAGCCAGTGCATTCCGTAAATCCCCTTTATTCTCACATTCAGTCGCAGAAGCGATCTGGGTTCCGGCCATTCTGAGAAGGCTCAGAGGAGCAGCACCCTTCGTCTCTCGCTTGACGACCTCTATCGAGTGGGTTTTGATTTGCGCAGCCGTCATGGAATCCAGGTGCCTTGCGATGCCATTCTGAGTACCGTTATTTGATCTGCGAGGTGCCCCGAATCCCCCGAGTCCTGGTGATGTAGGAGGAGCAGATGGTCCGCTAAGCATGAGCGAAGCGGCTGCGGATAAAGCGCACTGGAGTGCGAGAGCAAAGCGGCGAGTAGTGATGACTAAGCGCTTTGCAGTGCCACGGCCCGCAAGGTGGCTCTCTCCACCCCTCTCGTCATCTCATTCGGCGGACTCGACTGCGGCGCAGAACGAAGGCAGAACTGAATATCACACTCCAGAGCGTCTACATATTGGAGAAGGGTTCAAGTAGCATAAGCCGTCGAGTTTCCGCACACGGGCGTCGACATCTGCTGGGCAGGAGAAGCCGTGCATTCGAATGAAAGCCAATCGGGCATAAAAATGCACTTTCTAGAACTCTGCTATGAAAGAGAAGCCGTTCCCAGATGCAATGAAGGCTGATCGACTTCGTGAACCAAAGGGAATTCTCCCGTTGGAACGCGAGCCCGACGAGGTTAGTGCTTTTTACGAGACCGAAGCCTTTTAGAAATTGGCGGCGGTACATACATATGTGTGTGAGTCGTAAATGATGGGTTCATCGCATAGGATGCGTTTCTCCCTTCTTTTATCCTGTCCACCGTCTGGCTCGTGTGTTCCGTGAAGGTGGGAGCAACGCAAGTGAGTAGAATTGATTTCTTGCTCTGTCACGGGTCTGAATCTGACCTTGTCGACCCCAGACACCTCGATGCGAGCCTTCGTTCTGCCATGGCACCAAAAATAGCCCACATCATCATGACTATCTATGCGGTGATGAACGACTGGGTCCCAAGCATCTTCCTAACACATCACACTGGGGCCAACTCCTATACGGCTACAAACGATTTGACGGTCTTTGCCCAGCCGAGTTCCTGGCCAAGTGGTACAGAGACGGAGAATATCGGCTCCCACGCGCTGACGGCTTCCAACAATCGACAAAACGCAAGCCGATTGCGGAAGACCAGGTTCTGGATCGGGGGATGCTCGTGGATTGTTTTGGAACCTTGTACGAAACATACCTGTCACCCGCCGGAACACCGTTCTCTCTCCGCGCCCTTCCACCGTCGAGTCTCAACACGCCCACGTACGACGATATCGCCCTGTACAATTATCGCGTCTTCAGAGTCGAGTACCCATTTGTGGTCAAGTCTGGACCAACGGCCCCCTTCTACGAACAGCCTGGCCAAGGCACAGTGTATCGGACGACTGCTACGATAGATATGCTCATCAGCGGTGGTTTCCTAGCCAGGGTGGGATGAATTCAGGGAGCGTTCCAGTCACCTACACAGTTCTTGTTGTCGTTTCTGGAAATGCTCTTTCACAACACCAACGTTCGATACGACGTACGTAGTGCCCGGCGGTGCTGGGAATTTCTTCTGTGCAGCCAGCGCAGTATCCTGTTCCCTTGCCGCTATTGCGGAAAGAACTCCTCTGGATTCCCTGCCACAGACATTCAGGAGAGCATCGTCGGTGTCATTGATTTCCATGTTATATTCTAGCCGTCCGAAAGCAGATCAAAGCCGGTCGACGGAGAGAACCAAACGACTGGCGCAACGCGTAGCGGAGTAGCCCAATGGCAGACTGAGCACTCGGATGATGAAGGCAAAGTAAGCACTTCACTTTACTCTTATGATATGAGCGGGTTCCTGCGCTTGCCCTTTTACCCTGTATGGGCTCAGAGCCATAAATGGAGTGGGTTAGGCGAAGGCACTTGCAAGAGAAAACGAGCAGTCCACGCATTCTGTACTATCTGCCAACACTGCGGATCGGGATCGCGGCAGGAGAGAATGAGGTACCTGATCCGGCTCACCACTCTCTCACAACAGTTAGTGGGCCAATTCATCGGCTAGAACTCTAACGGCGTTAGAGGCTTCGAGTGCCCCATATGCGTCATAGATTCCGGAGAGGACAATTACAGACCCCAGTTGTGTCCGGATGGCATAGTATGCTAATCTAAAAGACAGACTGATATTCAACCACTGGATCTGGCTTAATCTGAGATGGAGAGTATCCGTACTGCCATCCTGGTCCATCAAGGGGGATTCCAAAGGCTACCAAAACCCAATGCCGTAAGTAATCTTTGTCCAAGCGTTAGGATCGGGAAGTCGAAACGTGAACTTTGATCCGAGCCTCTCCAAGTCCGAGACCAGAAACAAGCCGGAACGACAGGCAATGTATAAATAGGAATGGGCTTGGTCTGTGCATGATGAGTCTCATATCCAGTCCTTTTGAGCACGCATCAGCATTGGCATTAGCCGCCTAGTGATAGCCTGCCTGCGAATTGGTTTGACGAGGTTGACGAGAACTCCCGTCTTTTCCGTGGAAGAGAATCAAGGACCGAGAAATGACAAGCTGAGAAATCCAAGCCAGTCTCAAACAGAGTTTGAATTATACATCCAAGGCAAGCAGTTTCGGGAGAATGGGAGCGTGGGAGCAGAAATGTCAACATGATTGACATTGACAGTGATCAACCCGTCATCGAGGAAGGACACGTGATCTACCGCTCTTTTCATGGACGTTGCGTCGCTGCTGCAAGACTCCCCGTCCGACAGGCGGCCGCTCAAGCAGGAGTCCCGTCCGGACCCACGAGATCGTGAACAGCGCCCCGACTCTCGCGACCGTGACCCGCGCGATCAACGCGTATGGCCCGCGCAACCTCCACCCCCACCCCCCTTGCAAAAGCAGTCATGGCCGCCGGCGCCATCCTCGCATCCACAGCCCCCGTACCCGTATCGCGAGTCTTATCCACGCCAGCCGCCGCCTCAGTCCCCGAGCGCGGCATCGGGCGTCCCTGGAAGTCCCAATTCGGCGCCTTACATGCCAGGCAGACACGGTCACCTATATCCCTCCGAGACGCCACCTGCTGGTGGAGGAGCACCAGCCCCTCCTGGCAGTGCAGGAGGGGCCTACTCAGAGCCATCGCCGATGTATGCGCCGATGGGCGCGCTGAGGCAGCCGGGCCCACCGCCGAGGGAGCACAAGGAGCGTGAAAGCAGAGACAGGGAACGAGATAGAGACAGGGAGAGGGAACGAGAGCGAGAAAGAGAACGGGACAGGGAAAGAGAACAAAGGGAAAGGGAACGTGATCCGCGCGATTATGTGCCCCACATGCATGGACACCCAACCCATCCAGGACCCCCAGGGTGGCAACAGGGCCCTCCCCCGCCCCATTCCGCCGGCCCTCCTCCTTCTTCCGGGCCCCACGTTCATTCTCACCACTCGCATCCACACTCGCAGCCTTCGGGACCGTTCTTGCTCAATCCACCGTCTCCGAGAATGTATCACGCTTCAACTCCGAGAAGCCATCCTCTGCCGCCTCAACAGCCAAATCAACGCACATTTCAAGGGCAGTTCCACACCTCCTTCGTCCCCGTCCGAGAGTCGTCTCCTCCGCGAAAAGCGCCTCCCACCGCCCCCAAACGCGAACGCGAGCGAGAGCAAAGGGAGAGAGAGCGAGAACGAGAGCGCGATCGCGAGCGAACGGAGCGCGAACGTGACCGAGGCAAAGATCGAGAAGTGGACAGAGAACGCGAAGCGGCGGGCTACGCGTGGGGCACGCCTGCCACCCCGGTTCATGCCCCGGTTCCCGGCCATCCTGCACACATGCATGGACGTGGGCTGGAGATGGACTGGGAACCACAGCATTCTCGCTCTGATTCCATAACCTCCCCTTCTCAAGCGGCAACTAGCCAATATCCCGCGACTGTTCCGGTTCAGCCACCGGAACCTCCTGAACGTCCTTTCCGCGCCAAGAGAACTGTCTCGTTGGGCACATATGTGTATCCCACCACGCCATTCCCGTGGAAATTTGTTGAAAACGCAGAAACCCTCTTTTCACGGGATGCCGAGGTTGAGATCGATGCCAAGAAGGAGAAAGCGGAGAAGGTCAGACAGGATAGAGAGAAGCAAGCAGAGAGGGAACGCTTGGAACGGGAACGTCTGGAGGCAGAGAGCAAGCTCGAACCCGGTGAATTGCCTGCGACGAGCCCGAATCCAACACCGGCACCGGCTGACCCAGTCGAAGACAAGTCTCAGGATACCAAAGCACAGGAATCCGGTAAAGCTGGAGATGCAGTTGATGACAAGGAGTTGCTGGATTTAGAGGTCCGAACTACTATTCTCGTTCCCTCGACGCATCTCCCATCTTCCAAACCTCCTGTCGGGGTTGGTGTCAAAGGTGGCCACTGCTATCGACTGTGGGGTGGTGGACTCGGCGGGAATGGGGATACCTTACCTTCACCGGAGGAAAGCGACGAGCCCTCACCACCTCTCAAGCGCCGTCGCATCTACAGCGATGACTCCAGTGTGCTATCTGCAGCGGTGCATTCAGGCTTCATCAAGTAAGCATTATCTTCGTGCTCGACTCGCATGTTGATCGCTTTCTCTCCAGATGGTCTCACGTTGCGCGTGCCTGTCAAGAGGGACGGGATGTTGCGATTGAAGTGCGGATGGTGCGAGTGCTGGGTATCGGGAAGGAAGCCTTGGCCGAGGGATGGCACGTTGGCGAAAGCGAGACCCCTCCCTCTTCTTCTTCCGCAGGACCCGCCAAAGACCTGGAATCGAGTGTGGCGCCGGAAGAAGACACGGATTCAGGGAAATCCGCGATAACTACTGTCGTATCTGAAGTGGTCGGCCGCTTCGCTGGCGGTTGGGGAGCGCAATGTTCTGTGGCCTGGGAGGACCTCATCCAGGACGGTTCGTCTGGAAACGCCATGTTGTCAGAAGAGCAAAACAGCAACAGTGTGGACGATGGTCGCAGCATCATGAGCGCAGGTTGGGGTTCAGGACACGCGGGCAGTGCTTTCGAAGTGGTCAAGGTGCGGATCGGAGAGGTATGTGACGTATTCGCCTCGACATAGTACAAGGATGCTGACAGCTTTGCAGAAAACCCGCGCTTATGCGGGCTCTCATACGCGCTCGCGGCAGAATCGCAGGCAAAGAATGGCAGAATACACTGCGAGGAGATCTGCGCTGGGGCTGGGAGCTCTCGGCGGACCCGCTGTCCACCCCATGCACCGACAAACCACACTGCGGGTTTTCCCGTGTCCTCGCGATCCTGCCGTCTTGGCTGGCAAGAAACGCAAGCGGGCGGCACCTTCGCCACCTACGACCAAGGCTGCGGGCGGTAATGCAACCGTGCTAGACATCATCCACGAGTTGGAGGAGGGATGCGACCGTAAAGAGGATGAAGCATGGCAGCGTGACGACTGCACCTGCGCAGCTCTCGCTGGGATCGACCGGGATCTTATGAAGGGAAGAACCATCGTCTGTGCCTTCGGCGACAGGCGAAACGGGTGAGTGGCTATGTACCATTGCCTTTTCGGTCCCAACTCAACCTATTAGATTCAAATACGACCCCGGCCTGCTGCGCGCAACGATGTTCCCTCCCGCCCAGCTCGAGCCGGAAAAAAGCACGGACGCCAAACATGCGAACAAACGCCGGCGGTTGAGCGGGCTGGAGGAGGTCGCCTACGCGGCAGCGACCGCGATGGAGGACGACGTGAAAATGGAGTCGGAGGCTCCGGTCCCCCAGAGTGCGGAGCCGCAAGGGCCGAAATCTCGCTCGCTGCGCCTCCAGACGGGCCAGGAGACCCTCGAGCTGCGGCCCGCAGCTGCCGACGCAGGAACTAGCGCGCCCCGGTGGAAGGCCGTGCGGCTGCCGAGCGAAGACGTGGTCCATGATAATCTTGGGGAAAGCGATGTGCTGTTCGCAGACACCGGTATCCGGATGGGGTCTGCTGAAATGGTGCCGGTGACGCTCTGGTGTTTTGCGTAGGTAATCAAAGTCTGAAATAGACATGTTGTGTTTGTAATCGATTGCTCGCATTATCTTTGTGTTATACAAGCCCGTGTAAGTAAGTTGACCTTTTGAGGCCATCCGGTTCTCGAGATTCGATTTGATTGCTGCAGCGAATGGAGAGCTTACGGTATCAGCCATTTAACTGCTTCTGACTTGTACCTAAGACCCAAGTATCGAGGATCCTAATCACAGCTCTGACAGGTTACAAGAACCCCAACCGTCTGCGCCCAGCAGTCAGAAGCTGTGGGGATAGCCATCTGAATTTCGGGCATGTGGCTGATTCATGAATTGGATGCGCAGCCGGAGCTGGATTGGGCTGAGAAGGAGCACGGCATCTCCGAGATTCCGGTGCTTTTGAGCCGCCCGAGCCCAACACAGAGCGAGGGAGCCCGGGATACTCCCGGGGAATCCGAGATGAAGATGAAGATCAAGTCCGCATGACTGACTGACAGCAGACCTGACAGAATCTATCAAAGATGACAGGGCGCGATCGGCACAGGCCCCCCGGTCACTAGCGACTGCTCAGTGCTAAGAGCTGCTAAGCCGGTCCGGAATAGTGCAAGGCAGGGCAACGTTTGAACATGGGCTTGTCTCAGTCTAGACCGTGTAAATCGCGGGCGGAGCCAAGCGTTTCTCAGGGTATAGCCTACGGCCCGCAGCTGTGAGCCATGATGGGTCCATAACATACCACCGGTGAGTTCTGAGCGCGCCACCGGCCGCAGGAAGACTGTATGGATCCGGATCTTGGTCAGAGACACGCAGAGACTCGGGGAAATGATGTGAATTAGCCGCTCGAGGCCGATTTCGTGGCCCAAATCCTTACTCGGGCGGACTGACCCATGGCCAGCAATCAGCACTCAGCGGTGACGGGGGGCCCTCCAGCCCTCGATCGCCGTCGCCGAATGGACGAAGAGGCGCTGCAGGCTGGGAAAATCGAGCAACGGTCCTATAAAACCCTCCGCAGCCACCCGGAGGCCATCACCACACAACACGACAATGTCCTGGACCGGCGACGCGCTCGAGATCATCCAGTCCGCAGCGTCTCTCGGCCTCAGCTCCAGCACGGGCAGCGGCGGCGGCACCGGACTGGTGCTGACGATCGCCGTCTTCGTGCTGTTGACAGCCAGCATCACCGTTCATTACACGTCGCCGGCACACTTGACGTTGACACTTGTGGCTGTGATGCATCAGGCCGAAGATGCGTTTGACAGGCTGATTGAGTTGGGTTTCGCGGTCGGCAGCGAGGAGCGGGCGCAACTTGCTGCGTGGGTTGTCCATGGCCGATGCGTCTCTTCATGTGCTGATGGCCCCAGCTTGCGCACCCGTGTCTCCGTGATGCGGGAAGACACGCTTTCGGATTCGCGCTCGGTTGGTCGGCGGCTGAGAGCGGTTGTGCTTCAGGGACGGTCGCTCACCCTCATGCGATGTATCCGGGATGTGAAGGACTTCAGGATCCATCTCGAGGTGCGTTCCAAACTGAGCACCGGTTCGAAACCAGCCCGGCTTATCACCGCGCCGTACACAGATCTTGTGCGAACAACAGAAGCGCCGGATCAGCGCTGTCCTCAACGAAAGTGCCAAGCTAGACGCATGCAGAAGGCCGGACGACAGCCCGAGATCACGCAGCAACTTCCGTATATTTGATAGAAATTGAGTCGAGTACATAGCGGTAATCACAAGACAAGCAGCAATCCATTTTACGCCTCCAGCTCCGTCAAAACCGGCCAGCCCTCGAGCGCCCATCAGTCACAGACACGGGACCGAAACGAGAAAAGCGCGACGCACCGAGCTCCAGTCGATCCCGTTCAACCCGAGGCTGGAGAAGGTGTCGTTGTAGGGCGAGGGGCTGTCGACGGGGACGTAGTGGTACACAAACACGTCCTGTTTCGTCTTTTTGTCTGTGAAGATCACCTGGCCGCCGGGCGCGTAGACATTGCCGTGGGAGCCGAGGACGAGCGTCCCGCCCGTCTGCCGCATATCGACGCCGTCTTTGTCCAGGAAAGGGCCGTGTGCGGATTTCGAGCGCCCGACAAAGACCTGCGATTCGGTCATCCACCTTGCATCTTGGGAGGGAGCGACCCGTCTCAACGCACCTTGTATTCGTTGCCAGCGGGGGGCAGAGCATCCGCAGCGAACCCGCAGCAGAGACCTGTGGGATCCAGTTCAGTCGCCCATTCGAGGCGGAGGAAGCGCAGAGACGTACCACTGCTGACAAAGAGATAGTAGAACTTGCCGTGCTTCCACACAAAGGAGCCCTCCTCGGGCTGCGGGTTTGTGCCGTTGAAGGATACCTGGACGGGGCTGCTGATCACAGTCTTGAGATCCTTGCTCAGGTCGACTTGGAAGATGTCGTCCTGCGATGGTCGAATAAGAACAGTCACTATTTGCTAAGTACGGATGCGCAGCATACCCAGAAAGACCCTGCATCACAGATCAATCAGGAATTTTGTATTGTGTTGGATCTGAGCGCGCACACACCAAAGGAGAGAATCGGCTTCCCGCTCTCGTCGATGCTGAGGTTGGGATCGATCGCATTGAAGTTGTCGCCGGTCGTGGAATTGAAAACCAGCCCGTGGTCAGTCCAGGTCCCGGGCTCCATGGACCTGCTCGTCGCCAGTCCGATGCCGGAGTTCTGCGACCCAAACGTCGACACAGAGTAGTACCTTGTCGTGTTTTCTGTCAGCCAACAAAGAACATGGAGAGTGACGGCCAGCAGCGCACGCGAAGTACTCTCCGTTGTGCAGGGAAACATCGGGGGCCCAGATATCATCGCGTCCCGCTGTCCAGTGATGAGTGCCTCTGGATTGGGCACGGAAGTAAGTAAAGAGGCCCTACGCAGCTGAATGCTCGAGTTGTGCGGCAGGATCGAGCCCACGGGCGTCCACGGGCTGAAACAAATTCGCGGTCACTAGCCGGAATTGGCAGATCCACGCAGCAAACGCCGCGCACCCTTCGAGTTTGGACGCAGTGATGATGCCCGCCTTGTCGTGTGTCGTGAATAGGAAGTACTTCCCGTCGTGGCGCTGCACGAGGCTCGGATCGTGCACGAAGAAGAACGGGCCTTTGATCGGCAGCGGATCCGGCCAGCTCCCGTGGGTCTTCGCGCTGCAGAGTGCGGCGCCCAATATCAGCGACGCGATTCGGAGAAGCATCGTGGGATGAGAGCCACCGCCGGCTCCGATGATCTTTATACATGTCGCTTAACGTGTAGGAGGGGCGGCGGGCCGACGGTCAGTCACGAGACGACCCACTCCCGGGAGTCGGCAGCAGTAGCGCTGTCCAGGTGACTTGGTCAAGTGATGTAAAGACTCCTTGAAGCGTTTCTGGGCTTTTCTGGGCGCATGAAGACCAGATATGAGTTGGTAGTAAGTAAGTACTATCAGGCCACAGTGAAATTGAATACGAGGTCACGGGATCCCTGTTAACGCGATCATGTGATCCATGTACTGTATGATATCACCATGTGGGCCGAATCAGGAAATGGGCCATTTGCCCCCTACGCTCTAACAGTACTATATTTCGAGTTTTTCATATTTGTTCAAGGGACTAATACCCTCAGAGCGTCTGAGTACCAATTTTGAAGTTGACTGATCCATTGACTCGTTCGGGATTGCGGTCCGAATCTGTGTTCCCACCAATGTCGTGTGAATTCTTGTGTTCTGAGGCCCGAACACTTGTATTTGTTGGACCTGACGTCAACCATGGACACTTACAGAATCTATTCGAGCTATCCTTTGAATAAGAGCACATCTAGCCTCCCGAAAGACCATCACTCCTGCATAACAGCAGGAAACACATTAAAACAGTCATTGAGGATGGGAATGGCAGCTGGAGGAGTGGGCTCATATGTAAGAATGGCTCAAGGGGTCGCGCTAGGACTTGGTAGGACGATTGGGTGGGGTTCCATCGTTCATCTGCCAGGTGTGTATTCGTCACCCTATGCTCATTGCACTGAGGGCGAGGTGGCCCGGATGACAATACTTTCCTGATTTGGATCAACCTGACCATATGACCTCCAGAGCTCGGTACAAGCAGCAACCAGCTATTGTACAATCTAGAGGTCTTAGATAGGATCCTTGCCCATAGATTAGAATACATAGGCCACCCAATTTTATGTATCAGTATCGAGCACCAGGCCAAAAACGTTAAGGTGGCCCGGTACCCGATGTTATACAGTAGTCCCAGGAGACGCAGACGTGAGGACCAAGTTGGGCAGCACCTCGAACACCGTCTCTGTTCTTCGACTGAAGCCTCGAATTCGGGATAATGCTTTGACGGTGACCTTTTCAAAGTCGATTCCGAAAGAGAAACCGAACGAGATTATGAAAATCATTCAATTAGACAAAATATACTCAAAGCTCCTTCGCAACAAACTTGGCATCGAGCCCCGCGATGACTCTCAGGATTACGTTGATCTGAGTGACCGCCATTTTCACATCGAGTCTGCTCCATCCGCCGTCGACCATCTGCGCCCAGAGATAGTCTGGCTGCGGAATGATACTGCACCGGGACAGTGAGTGTGTCGTCCCAAGCAGCGAGGACCCAAGCACTACTCACCCGACGGTGGGGATGTTCGAGTACCCCAGCACGCTGCTGCCTCCTGCGCCGTACCAGAACGAGCGGACGCCGTCTACGACCTGCGGGGCCACCATCGCCATCCTCAGCGAGTCCGGGGTGCCTTTGAACGCGCTGAGATATTGCTGATGCATCGATTCACTGGCACTCGACGAGTTGCTGCGAAATCACACACACACGTTGGTCAGCCACGACGTCCAGACGAGAGAGAAAAAAACGGCGCTCGGACGCACACCATGGTCCACATCGGTTCGTGTTTGCCCGTGGGCTCATAGACCGGCGTGCCATGCGCAAAGTTGTCCTTCCACTCGAGTGCGCCGAAATGCTCACACACGATGGCGGCCTTGGCGTTCTGCAGGAGGTCCGGCCGCTCGCCCATCCACGCCGACTCGTTCAGGTGCCCACCCGACATGTGGCCCGTGGTGATGACGAAACTGGGTGAGGGCGCAGTCAGAAAATTGGGGAAGGACAGCCATATCTCGGCACACACTCGATGTTGATATGCAGCGGGTGCGCGGCAAAGTACTCGGCGATGGCCAGTAGAAGGATCGGGCCTGGACCGGGTTCAACATCGACAAGCCACGGAACGACTGCACACACCGTTCTCTTCGATGATCGAGGGCCCATCGCTGTGAGTGTATAGAATCAGCGTGTCGTTCGTTCCAGCTGTGCCCGCGAGATGCGCGATGACGGTCTGCGTCGGCGCATTCAAGCTGGGAGCGTCGAGGACCACCGTCGCCGACTCGACCTGGCCCTGCGCCAACAGCGTCCGGATCCGCGCCCCCGTCGCCTCGCCCACAAAGAGCGCCGGGACGTCGTAGAGCGCGCCGTCGCCGGGGGCGCCCGCGTTGGGCAGAAACTGCAGCGCGCCGTTCGCGTCGGAGATGTTCACCCAGGACGTGATCACGGCCGCGACGCCCTGCGCTTTGACCGCCGTGAAATTGAGCGTCTTCGCGGACTGCCAGTGCGGGTTCCTCAGGTTGCCCAGCTGCGCGGGCGGTCAACAAAGTAAAAGTTTATCGCGCAGGGGTGATCGATCGGCAGCAAATCTTACCTCTGGGATATCCTCCGTCGGGACCGAGGACCCGAGGACACCGTACCCGGGCTCGGAGTAGTTACGCGTCGGACTCGGGTTGTCAAAGTACACGACGCTCCCCTGCGGCAGGCTGCTAAAGTCGAGGCTCGCGACGTCCGCGGACTGGTTCGCGAAGAGCGCGAACGAGCCCACGTCGTGCAGCGGCCCCGTCACACCCTCGATCCCCGAGTCGCCTGAGTACGGCCAGTATCCCGTCGTCGGCAGGCCCAGCGTCTGCCCGTTCTTCAGCTTCAGGCTCAGAGACCACCAGCGCGGATCCCAGCTTGGGTCAATCAGCCTCGTTACTACAGGGATGATGATAAGAAGCCACCGCACCGATACAGCGTGTAGTTGAGCATGTCCACTTGCAGTCCCGCCCGCGTCATCGACGACGAGACCAGCGCGACGAGCGTGTTGTGGTTGTCGTTCCCCGCTGCAAGTCCCCCGCTCAGCCACCAACTTCATAGATCGACACGCATGTAGACAGACGCACTCCACCGCGGACCACGCAGATTCGTCTGCCACAGCCGATCGCTCAATAGCTGCTCGGCCTGCTGCTCGAGGCACGGATCGGGCCCCGGCTTAGACGCGTGCCCAGCCACAGACAAACACAAGATCCCGGCGGCCAACAGGTGCGCGATGATTGCAAGCATAGCGGGGCTTGGCGAGGGGTGCGGGGTGCGTCCGATCCCAGATCCCGGCTGCCCTTTTATTATCGCAGGGGGGAAGCAGGGGGAAGCTTTGTGACGGCGGGGATTACGCGTTGCCCCATGGGAACGAACGACAGCGCAGGATCAGAACGACTGAGTTGGGAGAAGAGTGACAAGTGTCATGTGCCTCGACGAGGTTCGGCCGTGTGTCGTCGAAAAGGCACCACCACCCACCAGTCGATGAGATTGTCCGAGAAGATGGCTGTACTCGAGCGGCTGGCCTGATTGTGTCTTGCTGCTATATATAGATGGGTCTGACGCGGACGTCATGATCTTGGGAGGGACTATTATTGGAGACCACAGTCTAGCAGGCGGATTTCGATTGTAGAGAGGAAGATTGGGATGATGGTCGGGACGCACCCGATCTCGGCCGCCCGCCGGCAATATCGTTCGCTCTTCCACTCTCCATCAACAAGTGTGTCTCTCAAACAACCGCACAGTTCTGTCGTCTACATCAGCCAATTAGATTACACGAATCCTGGATACACGTCTGTCCAACTTGATCCACGCGAGCGCGACGGCAGACCGCCGCCGAGCTTCACAGCAAGCTGCATCCCCGTCGCCCGAAGCACAGGTCGAGTTTCGGCCGGCGCAGTACGATATGACAACTACATGCATACTGATGCAAATTGGTACAGATGATTAGCAGACCCTAGAGATAGATGATGTTATCAATGTTCGTCGCCTCCCCCCCTGCCCCCTCTGCAGCTCAAAGAATCGCCGTCTTGAGCTGCGCCCAGCGCTATGAAATGCGATCGCCGCCTGCTCGGCGTCGCGCATCGGCGAGTGCCAGCATCTCCTTCAGACTGGCCTCCCGGACAGGTTTGGTGAGTACACTGCAAGTAGATTCAGATGAGAATGCACAAGAGGAGCGCGAAGAAAAGGGACACTGACTGATCTGCGCCAGCCTCCAGATATTCCTGTCCGCGATGTCAATACAGCAGAAACGATCAGTCAAAGGAGACCGCATACCTGCTGGTCAGTCAAGAGAGCGTTGCCTGGAAATGCACATTGAGCTCCCGTCTATCGCTATGTATGTAGCACGATCTCCTTACCTGTGACTCCAACCACAAAATCGGATCGTCCCAACGATCGCAGATGCGAGACCAGCTTCACACCCGACATTTTGGGCATTTGATTGTCTGTACGCATGGATCAGTACAGTACAGTAGCCGCAGACATCACGCGGCCGAACCACCACCACCACCACCACCACCACTCACCCAAGAACACAACAGCGAACCGAGTCTCGGCGTTCTCGGCCGGCGCATCGGCACTCAAAATGCGGCCCAGAGCGACTTCCCCGTTCTCGGCGGTGACGACGATACAGCCCAGGCGCTCCAGCAAGCGCGACATCATCGCGCGAGTCATCCCGTCGTCGTCCACTACCAAGACGTTCAGGCCCGCTGGCGGCGTCCGCGCGCTCAGTCCCGGCAGCCCGGTCAGCGCCGATGGGTCCTTCCCGGCGCTCAGTCCGCCGAGACCTGTACTGGGGAGCTTGACATGCGTCGGGCGCCGCTGGGGCGGTGGTGGTGGGTTCGGCGCGGGTTCGGCCTCCTTGTCTGCCGGGCGGCTCTCGTCATCCAGCGCGAGGGGTCCCGTGTACGACGGCGAGGACGGGACAGAATAATCCGTGACCGTGGTGAGCGTATCTCCGATCGTCCGAGTGGGAACCGGGGAGTGGGAACTGTATTTGCTCAGCATCAGCTGGAAACTGCCGCCTGCAATCGAAGGTTAGTCATACGCATCTAATGCGACATGAACGTCGACTCGCCTTGGTCCATCAACCCATGCAGCGCTGACGAAGACCGGGACGAGATCATTGGCGTCTGAGAAGCAAGTCGCGTCGCAGCATCGATGGCCTCAGCGGCACTGATGGCGGTAAACACCGGTGGCGAATCAGCAACACTCGAAGGCGTCTCTGGCGCCATAGCCATCGCCTGCGACCCAACGCCAAGAGGAAGTTCGACCCAGAATGTGCTGCCAACACCGACTTTGGACTGCAGACCGAGTCGTCCTCCGCTGAGCTTGACGATCTGGCGGACAAGCGCAAGACCGAGGCCGGTCCCTTTGCCTCCTTGCTGGCGCCCTTGCTCAGTCTGATTGAAGGCAGCTGACGGAGGTGATGCGAGTCACACAACGGACACTCGGGAACCAACCGGCGGGGCTCACAGAATAACTTGCAGGCAACCATGTCCTGCGGTGGGATCCCACTGCCCGTGTCCGACACTTCGATGCGCACAACGATCCGCTCAGGGGGTGCAGCTGCAGCTGCCTCGTTCTGCAATGTCACAGCAGACGCCGTCGAAGATCCCGTCGGGGATGACGAGGATGGCAGGTTGGGAAAGGCGGGAATAACAAGCCGGGTTCTGATCGTCAACGTGCCTCCTGATGGCGTGAACTTGCATGCATTGCTAGCGAGATTCGTCACAATCTGTCGCAGTCGACTTTCGTCTCCGACCACAACTCCGACGGCATCAGGACCACTCGGCTGCTGCTGTAGATGTTCGGCAATCTGCGCTGGCGGCACGTCCATGTGCAGGTAAGCAGCTCGTCGAGCGACCTGCGCAAGGTCAAATCAAATTAAGCTCGGAAGCGCAACATAGCCTGACCTCATCAATGCGCATGTCGAGATCGGTCACAAGCTCCAGGTTCCTTGCGTCGGTAGCGAGTTTCTAGCACACGTGACAGCGGGCTCACAGCCGGAACAGGAAACTCACTAATGGTATAAATAGCGAACGCAGGACTTTGTGAAATGCGTAGGGCTGGGAACAATGTCAGTAAACGTCAAGGATGCGGCATGAACATTAGCGCACTCGAGACAGAGACTCTAATCGTCCACTTTCCATGCGATTGCTGGAGGCACGTTCAGCTACTCCTTAAATAGTCGGATATGAATCAGACCCACAAATCCAGCACATCGTTCAAAACTGTCACGGGCGTTATCGTAAAGGAGATCAGCACAAAGTCTGGCTGGACACACCTTTCGACATCATGCTAAGACTGCCCTCAAGGGCTGTGAACTCAAGTTCCTGGTCCTGAGCGATCGGGCGTCCAGCCATGTTCTGCACCGCCAACACTGAAAACGGCCCGTGAGTTTACGTAACAGCACCGGAGACGAACGCACAAGCCGTGTTCAGCGGAACTCGGACCTGTGCTCCGAGTGTGAGTGCGGGTCGAACAGGTTCATCACGTCAAGAAACTTATCATGGAAGACATACGATGTCAGTCGGCGCTTCGAGCTCGACGCTTGCCGTTCGTTCAATTGCGCTTTCCTCGTCTGCTCGAACTGCGATTCCAGTTGCATCCGCAGCCGGAACAGTCGCCGCGAAGACTGCGGCCTGTTCAGCCATCGCCGAAATGGAATGCGGAGCCGATGTGCACGTACCTGCTCTTTCTGGTAATGCATATAAAGCAAAATAAACTCGAAGATAAGGAAATTGAAGACATCTGCCACAGCTTCAGTTGATCCACGGATGGACGAGACACCACGCACTGCGGAGATATTCGCGCTGAATCGGGACCACTAATGCACAGGATCTGGGCTTTTCAGCACGTGGCATGATAAAGCTCATAAGGCTGCACAACTGACGTTACCAAAAAAAGCAATGCTCCGATGCTGGCGGGCAAACGTTTCAAGTTCGTGCCAAAGAGGGCAGCAGCTTGGAGCGCCGATGTGTAGTAAAACGTCGACAAAAAGTTTTTGCTGCCGCAGACGAAGGCATGGCTTTCCGGGTTAGTCACGTTCTGGGTGTACGCGCCACATAGGTAGGCGTATAATGTTTCATAAATCGGCCTATTTTAGATGAGCAGTGGCTGAGCTGTGAGTAAGTTTGGGACATACCAAATCCAGATTGAAACAGCAAGGAACACTTGGAAGAAGAACGAACGGTTGTACGGAAAATCGTACGCGCAAAAGAAGATGATGGGGACCGACATGGCGGGACCAATCTGATCTGGGGTTAGTGGAGCCAGCCTTGAAGGCTTGATCAACTCACTCCATAGTAAAATATCTTGATTGGGGGTAAACTTGTAACTCACATGAGACATGGCGAACTCACCTTGTCGGAAAGGACGACCGGACTCTCGATGTGCACCACGGCCGATACGGCACTGGCGACAAAGAACACAGAAGCCCACAGAGACGCCCGCTTAGACTGCCCCCACATCTCACGCTGATAAACACGTTCCTCCTCCGTGTCGCTGAACCGCGGCATGTAAAACTGCTTGAACCGGGACAATAGCCGGACCAGCATCGATGGCGCCGTGGCAGCACTTTCAGGGTCCCGCTGCGCCTCTACATCCCCAACAGAGGCGTCCTTTCGGCTGCTCACAGCGTCTCCCGTATCCAGGATCGACTCCGTTTCAGAGCAATCCGCCCAATTCCGGTCGACGATCACCTCGTCTACCTCGTCCTTTCCCTCGACATCGGCCTCCGCGAGATTGCTTTTCCAAGGGAGGGAAACGACGCGGGAGAGCTCGGTCTCGGAGACGAGCGTGCTGCAGGCTTCGGCGGGCGCGGCCAGGGTGCGCTTGACGTAGCTGCGGAAAGCCGACCATCGCAAACCCCCTGCGCGTTCCTCGGCGTAGCAGATTTTCGGCGCAATTGAAATAGGGTCGGTGTTGGATACTGGCAGAGACCCGGGGAGTGTTAGAGACGCAGAGCCGAAGGGGGCGGAGAGGGTCGGTCGGCGTTTTGATTTGCGCAGAGACTCTAAAGAGAACTCGGGATCCCATTTGCCGCTGGAGGACCGCGATTCGGATGAGTTTTTCGAATGGAAAAACATCCTGGCCAGAGCCGCGCTACACCGGCCAGCTTTACACGATGCGGCTCACAGTTCGCGGACTTGAGTGCGGGAAGAAACTGGTGCTGTGTGGTTATAACCCCACTTTACGTAAATTGATTGACGGCTTGCTGTCAGTGACATGACATACATATGTGAAATGAACGCCGTCGGGTCCCAGCACAGCCGCGCTGAGCTTATACAAGCAATACAGTCGTCTCCTACTTAGGTCGAGACCCCGTACACAAGTTCGTTGCCCGTTCACTCAGACTCCTATGCAGCCCATACGACGATACTCCTTCATCGTTTGTTCTAGACTCGCATTACCACGCGTAACATCGGGTCGGATTGGCACACAATTAACCATTGACATGGACTTTGAATGTCTTTCTCGGACCTAACTGAACAGCGGCAGTTGTCCGCCCATTCTTAACTGCCAAGGGAAAATCGCGCCGCTTTGCCTCATCCTCTGCTTTTCGTTTCGTCCCTCTGGGCAACGTCCATGAACTCTGAAACCCGGGCCCGGGAACTCCTTCAAAGTCCAACGTCGCACGTTTCGCCGCTCGGATAGTAGATGTCGATGAGCGGTGCGGCGAGAACACCGCTCTTCGGGAGGCATTTTCGTCCTGAAGCTCGTCAGACCAGCTTTTAAGCCGTAGGAGGACGCACATCTGTATTCATATCGACCATCGAGTCCATCCGAGAGGGATTAGTGTTGTGCTGTTCCAAAAGCGCGTTTCGCTCCTGCTCCAAGTCCTTGATCCGAGCCGCAAGTTGATTTCGCTGGATAGTGTTCCCATGAGCTATGAAACGACGTCACAAAACCTCACTCACGGCTGCATAGTTGCGTTCCAGGTAACCCTTCAGGCGCCGCACTTCATCCACCGACTTTTGCTCCGTGGCCTCAGCATCCCTTCGTACCCGGAGATTGTCGGCTTCCCTCTCCTTGACTAGTTCAAGGGCCTGCGACCAGCGCTCGTTGGCCGCATTCACTTGTTTGCGTGATTCAGCCTGGTCAATGCGCAGCATTGCCACCTCGGCGTCCAGCGTGACTGTACGATTCGCCTTTGCTCTGATCGCATCGAATTCGAGTTGTTTTGCTTCCAACAAGCTGATCCGAGTCTCTTGACTCTTCATGCGAAGGAACGCCGGCTTCAGACGAGTCTCAAACGCCTCTATGGCTTGCAGAAGGTCATCCTGGACCGAACAATCAACTCTCAGAGCACGTTTACAGCAGCCGTCAAGTTTCCGCACCAGCTTGGAGTCCCCCCGTTCCTGCGTCGCCACCTGCTTGAGCTTCCTGATAGCTCCGTCAACACTTTTCACCGGTACCGTATCGTCCATTCTCCCGATTCCAGATGTTATACGTTCGAGAGGCGATTGATAATCCGCGAGTCGGAGATATATTGGCTGAGGATCGTTCACCCCGATGGGATGTCGACATTCAGGACAGCTCCGCCGGCTCGCACGCTGCAGTTGACCCAGACATACTTTGCAGAAGCAGTGGCCTGAGAATTTCGTATCATTGATTATGGAGCGCAACTTGCGGACTGCGGCGCACCGCAAGCAAGGCGCCGCATGAGGTTCATGGGCAAATCCGAAAGGCAGATTGGGCAATGGCAAAGCTGGGACGAGGCCATGGGAATAGGATAGAGATGTCCGAGCGTGAAATGATGTAAGCAAGAATCAAGGTGAGATACGGGCCGGCGAGCGTGGCCCCCAAGTCTACGACACGGGGATGGCGGTAAGAACCACTGAGTGTTGAATGTCACGGACGCCAAACGTCACAAGCCGGGGGTACACGTGCGCGTGACATTAGCAACATCATTTGATTTTTGCAAGGAAAGTACGTTTGTAGTGAAACACGGCCCATGGCTACAGCTAAGATACATTTTCCGTCTATACGGTCGCATTTAGTCCACCAGTTAAAGGAAAGTAAAGAATCTCTAGATAGATAGGCACTAACAGAGAACGAATTTTGAAACGTCGAAGGGCGATATTTCACTCATCACTTCCACTCTGGCTGCCACCCCGATTTCTTCGCGTCTTCTTCAGAGTCGATGACGCGTCCCTGCTCCTATTGCGTCACGGTCAGCAAGACGTAGACCACGCAAAAGAAGGTGATTACCTCGATGCTGCCCTGTGATGGCGAGATGTGGGTGACGATCTGTGTCTGGACGAAGACCTGTTCTGTTTTACGCAGATTTCCCAATTCAACGTCACCTCGCTTTAGAATGTCAGCATGCGCGTACGAACGGCACCAAATGAACAGACCTTGACTGAGCGCCCGTGCGAGACACCGCGCGAGCCCGACGAGCTCAGGCCACCGCTCATCGCCTGTGTTTTACGGTATTCGTTGATACAGTTGAGTGTGTATAGCAGACTGATTGCATAGAGCTTGCTGAGCGCGAAGTTGAAGACAAGATGCCCTGGAGGATGGTCACTCATCGTCTCTCTCTCTTCGCTCTCGGGACAACACGTACATAGCAAATGTTTTTGCCCGAGTGTCTGCGTCATAATCAAATCGATACCCGCAGCGATCTGGGCGCGATATAAGCCACTGTCGTCAAGCTTAGAGTGGCATGGGACAGCGCGTACCGTAGGCGGGATGGCACTCTCAAAAACGAGGCGCAACAACCTGTTGATGAGACTGGCCGTCGACGCCAGTCCCCCAGAGTTGCGATTCCGCAGTGCCAAACAAGTTCCGACGGTGATCATAAAGTCGGTGCAGAAAGTGCAGACGAGGTGGACCAAGAGCCACATCACTTTGGCTTTAGCGTCGCCGATCACGATCGAGTTCAGCTGGACAGATGTGAGCAAGCTTCACAACATGTGTCGAAGATCCTACCGAGAGGCAGACACCGGCGAAGCTGAGCATCATCGAGATGACGATGGGGATGCACGCCCAGAGATTTCGAAGAAGCATGTAGAACCGCATCGTGAAGAAGCTTTGGACGATCACGGCAATGATGCCGGTCTATCGACGTAAGAAGAAGATCCAGGACGCTCAGCGGGGACCGGACTCACCATCGTCGGGGCGCTCACTTGATACCACGCTTTGGCGACAAGCGTTTGTGCGACATCGGGGTTCGCGAAATCTGGGTTCTGCTGAGACTCGATGGATCTCGGAAGCGAGTAGGATCGCGTACCATGCACATTTTGGACCCAGACGATGCCAATGGCCTGCGAGGTCTGTTCCAAGACGCGTCAATGCCGCAGCACAGGTCCAGTATGAATGCAGTCACCTTCAATACACACAAGAAAACCACCACGAGGACCAGCCAACGATAATGCCTGAATATAGTTCAGATCTAACGAGAGCGCATAGCCGAGAGCTCCGTCTACCTGCCAATCCCAGACTGGTTTCGGTAGGATTTGAAGAAGCTCGAAGTTTGACACAGAACTACACCCAGAAGTATAGCGTCAAAGAACCCAGCGATCACCTGCATTGGATGAGTCCGCGCGTAGACCAGTGCGTGATGCCATCGCGCACCCAAGCACCCAGTGTGGTCGCCCGATTATCTACAAAGATCTGGGAAGACGGGGAGAGTTGGATTGTCGAATGCTGGGGGGCTGGCATGGTGCACGACGGGAAGGGAGGAAGGCCCGAGGTGAGAGCCTGAGAAGAGCCATGACACCTTTAAGAATCCGGTCGCCCCCGTTTCGTGCTCGACAGTCGTGAGACAGTGCAATTGGCAACTTGCGGCGGAGCAAGCTCGGGGTCTCACGACGGTCGCTGCACGAGTTAAGCGAGGACCCCTGGCTTCCAGCATTGACCGGCAAGCCGTGTGCACCTGGTCACAATTCAATCTTTCTGTTTTCGATTTCCGACGAGATCCCCGAGGTGCTATGTGACCTTTACCTAATCATCCCCATTAATTCGGTCCTCGAAACCTCGCATGTTGCAGCCTGGAACAGACATAAAACTGAAGGAAGCAGGGACTTTCATGGTGGAATCGAGATGAAGCCGTCCACGACGCTGTGGCTGAGCCGGTAAGACTTGAATTGAGTGAGGGCGAACAAGCTGATTCACCGAGCTGCTGGGCTGGATGTCCGTCACTCATTGGCTGCTTCAGCTCGTTCGCTCGTCGGTTGAGGGTGGTTGAGATGCCCGTTGCCACTTGCCGACAACCCCGGGCCGGCCGATGGCAACCATTCGGAGATAGCCACCACGTCATTCAACTGCTTGCGTGATGCGTAAGTAATGGCGACAAAAAGGTTCTTTCGCTATTAGACCGTTGGGAGGACGGAGAATATTAGAGTTCCTACACATGCTGTAAAGAGCTGCGGATTCTGAGAAGGTAATACCGCGAACAAAGCCCGTGGGACCGCAGAGAAGTTGAATCGATCTTATCACACCAGATTGTTGACCGAATCCTTCATCAGAACCGGGAGAAGTTGGGCCGCCCTCTGTACCACCCAGATGTGGATATTCCACACGAACTGTGATTTCCCGAAAGCAATATGAGTTGCGTACCACCCCAGAGGCATCTGGCACCCATCGGCCCTGTCAGGAACTAAACCGTTGACTAGACTTGTGTACTGCTGTGTGTAGTAGTAACTCATGAGCATGGGCCCTTGACATACACACTCAATGTTTCAAGGGTCTGTTCGCCTTTGCGTGATGCGGAGGGGCGGCCGTTAAAGCGCTTGAGAGAATTGTCATGCTTCATGACGGATCCGAATTACAGATACCCATTGACTGCCCCAGCGAGCGGGGATAGTCGACAACATCAGATGCTGGCCGGCTAAAAAAGCCCAAAATAGACATGACAGAGAGCGTGTTTTTCGGGATCCAATAGCCCTACAGCGTGAATATTCCCAAGTCCAGATCAAGCCAAAGTTGCGTTCGAATAAATTCGCTGATGTTGCTGATCTGCGGGCCAAGGAAGGGTAGATTGAGCCCCAGACACATCCAGTAATGACCGCGGCGCATAAATGGATCAGTAGTGACTGCGAATGCGACCGCCTGTAAAGGTACCCAGTGTTCACCCAAGCGAGACAGAGTCTCGACCCGGCTGCCGCTACTCGCGTCGCAGATAGGCGAAGCAGTGCCCTGAGGAGAAGACAGCTCTCAGGCGGGACCGTAGCCTCATCTCAAGTCCTGAAATACTCTGGCGTCACTTCTGGCCGGGTGACCGATCGGCGATGGGCCAAATCGTGGGACGGCCGGGGTAGGCGGAAGCAAGATGCATGGAAACACACCAGCCCTTTCATTGCAGGGCCGAACGGGATGCAGCACGAGCGCCCGGCTCACAGTTTCTCCAGATTAATCAAGCAGCGGCCGGAAGAGTCTAGCCACCTGGAATGACGATATCGTGCAAGACAGCAGCGGTCCACGAGGCAGCGGCTCGTTGATATCGGCACTGCAGCCGTGAGAGAAGGCGCGTCGGCTCAACGTCGGTAGCTCGTGCTGGCGGCGCCTCGCTTGACGTAAGACTCCAGATATCAGACAGACGAGGTCTATTTCCCCTAGATTCTTGACCAGACACCAGATAGCCGACCAGAGCAGGCGTCTCGTCCAGAAGCCAAACAGCCAAATCATCACAGTATTTCTCGAGCTCTTCGAGTCCTTGAATCTTGGTGTGGGCCCGGTGGACTGTGGTTACTATACCATCGCCGTTTGCACATAAGTTTGGGCCCAACGTGACTGTTCGAGCTACTTATGTAATCCGATGTAACTCCTTGCGTGACTCCTACGTCCGTGACACCGTTGTGGCTGTCTTGACTCTTGTTGTCGGCATCCTATTTTCAAACCATCTCGCCATTGGCATCTAAATCGGTCCCTTGTAACCTGGGAAAGCTTCTGGACTCCTTTTGCATTTGCGATCTGCGGAGGCCCTACCCCTGTGATGCCGTGTGAAAGGCGCAGCTTGTTAGCGCTCAGTAGCAGCAGCTCAACAGCGCTAGAACCACCACGTCTCAGGCTGTCGTAAGCGATCTCACTGGCCCCGAAGCCCAAGCGCGATCCATCAATATTCGATTTCAATTTCCGCCTCCCAGGCTCTCACGCGTGCGGTCCAGTCACGACGCAGGACGTCGATTTCCTGCGCGCCAGCTTGGGTCGTTACGCTTGGCAACAGTCATAGCTTCCCTTCTCTGAATAACCCTCGTCTCTTTTAGCCTTCCTATATTTCTTCTTCTTTCCGCACCACTTCCCTATCTATCTTTTCCGGCTCGTGCAACAATGTTTAGTCAACAGCCCGACTTAGCGGACGACAGATCCTCTGGCAAGGATGCTGTTGTCGAGAAAACCTCCCTTTCAGGAACAGCTGGAACGGAGGATGTAGAGTCTCGTGAGCGCCCGGATCTTTGGTCATTCCGGCATGATCTCACCCAAGGTTCAAGAGCTCAAAGGCGTCCCTGTGCTTGCCACCGGCAAAACTGGGCTCAAGCTCGACAGGCATGGCCTCCCCTTGATCCCGCAGCCGTCGGAAGACGCGTCCGATCCTTTGAACTTCCCGCAATGGCTCAAGGCGCGTATCCGATCTAACCCCCACGCGTCACACAGGCTGAAAACGTGGACCGCTAGATTGCTATCTTGCTGCAAGTCAGTTTCCTCGCTGGGCTCGGTCCCCTCAATCAAGCTGTCGTGAATCCTGGTACCGAGATACTTACACTGCCCGAGGGGTTCCTGGCTGACTCTCTGATCCCCCAGCCCTCGTTCCTCTCGGTATCCATTTCAAAGTCACGCCCGTGGTTGCAAGGTTTCTCCGATCCACTCTCCGCGTAGCGACTGAATCTGATCTCCCAATACAGTTACCAGACGACGATCGCTATCGGTATGTATCGCGCTCTGAAATGAACGCGGCCCGCTGATTTGCGGTAGCTTTCGCTGGTATCGGCTCGTTCATATGGGTGCCCCTCTCGAACACTTATGGCCGTCGGCCGGTCCTCCTTTTCTCGACCCTCATCGCTGCCGCTTCGTCGCTGGGATCCGGAAAGGCGACCACCTGGGGCCAGCTGATCGCGACGCGGGTGCTGAATGGACTGGGCACGTCCTCCTTCTTCACTCTCGGTGCCGGCATGATCTCGGACTGTTTCTTTCTGCATGAGAGAGGCCGTGCCATGGGCGTCTTCACAGGTCGGTTCCCACCATCTGATGAGCATGAGCGCAAACTGAGACACTGCTGCGCCAGTGTTTCTGACCAACTCGGCGCACGTCGCTCCTATCCCCGGAGGATACCTCGCTCAGTTCGTGTCCTACCGCTGGTGCTACTACCTCCCGGCCATCTTGGACATGACGCTTTTCGTGATGATGTTCTTCTGTCTGCCCGAGACTCTGTTCATGAGGGGTTCCACGCCCGTGGCTACAAGCTCTCCGATTCTCCGCCGTATGAAGCTCTGGGGTCTGCGGCCAGAGGGCAAACACCTCACACTCTCCGACTTCTTGGGCCAATTCATCATGTGAGCAGCCTTGTTGCTCGTCGCTTCGCTGCAAATTAACTCCCCACACAGGTTCAAATATCCCACTGTGCTGGCATCCGCTGTCTACTACTCGATCACGTTCACTTTGAGCTCCATCCTGCCTGCTGTGACCAGTGCCGCTTTGTTCAAGAAGCTGTACGGCTTCACCCCCTCTCAAACCGGCTTGGTGCTCGGATTTGGCACGTTGATTGGCTCAACGTTGGGCGAGCTGATGGGGGGTATCGTCGTCGACCGCACGATGTATCTCAGCCGTAAGAATAACAAGGACAGCGAATTTCTGCCCGAAGTCAGATTGCGGGGTATCTGGTTCGGTGTCATTCTCCAACCGGTGCGTCTAGGCATTTTACAACACTGACAGTACACTCTGCTGACTCTGCGTAGATCGGTCTGTTGATCTGGGGCTTCTCCATCCAATACAAAAGTCGGTCTCCTGCTTTTTTTCTACCCTGTCCTCATCCTTGTGCAGCGATGTGGGTTGGGCCGGCCTTCGGCTTTGGTCTGATGTGCTTCGCCATCCAGTACGTCCGGGCCCATCAATTTCCGCAGTTCACCTCACGAACGTCCCGGCAGAATCACATCCACTGTGCTCTACAGCTACAACGCCGATTGCTACAGGCCGCAGACATCCGAATCGGCGCAGGTCATGAACTTCGGGCGTCAAATCATCGGAATGACCAGTGAGTGTGAACGCTTCCAGGAGCAGACAGTCTGACTGACCCCCGCTGTAGCCGGATTCTGGGCCATGTATGTGCTTTCTCCAGCCTGAGTGGCTTACTCTTCTGACACCCTCCTAGTCCCATGGGCACTAAGATTGGATTCCAGTTCATGGGTGTGACTCTCGCCCTCGTTGGACTGGTGTCCTTCCTGCCGGTCCTCTTCCTCATGTATCATGGGAAGACGATCCGAGATAGAATGGGCGCACCTTCGTTCAACAAATCAATGTGATGCAGACCCGGTGTATCTGCACAAGATTCGGGCTCCCTAGTCACCTGACAGCCTAGCGGCGACTTCTCTTGGAGTGCTTGCTACCTACCATCTTTCGGTTTTTCTAAACATTGTCACTGTACTTGATATAGACTAAACGATTCCTCTCTCTTTCTGAATTATACGCGTTGAAGGGAAGACTCGGACCAGCCAGCTCAGGCTATCGTGTGCGAGTACCATGAGCTAGCGCAAGATCCTACCCAGTGAGCCTGAAGTTTCAGAGAGTGCGATTACATGAGTGAAAGGGGGCGAGCCGATAACAAATTGGGACGAGTGCCCAGCCCGACTCGCTCAAGTTATTGGGACCACCTACACGCCCGCTTCGGTCTTGGTGGGTGGCTTGGCTCACACGGCTTGGCGCCTGCTCCGTCATGAAGTATCCATGCATCGGAGCATTTTGGAGAGACCCGCTGGATCAAGCCTGTTTCCCTGTCGACGGGATGAATGTGGGTGCATTTGGTGCGCAGAACAGCATGATCATGTGACTTTTACAGAGGCATATCATGTCCATCGGCGAGGGCATTGACTTTAGACGACCCCGTGACACTGACTTGCTCGACAGCGGCAATAAGATCCATGACTGCTCCCCGGTGACTGAACACCATCAGTCTTTGTAAATGCATACCGAAGGCCGCCGCCATTGTGTTTGTATGTTCAACATGGAAATTTGCCTTTTTAGGAAAAGGGAGTTGCGCGGTGCGCCGATACGTACAGGCTCCACTCGCTTCAACGAGACAGACAGACAAAGGCAGAGAAGCGCCTATAAAAACAAATGTATACAGAATTCCCGTGTCATGTCACATGAATGCCCGATCCATTCTCCTTAGATTTCGCCTAAGTATACAGACATAGATCCAGATTCCAAACCTTAAGTTAATCGCGGACCCCACTTTGACAGAAAGTGCCAGGCTGGTTAGAGTTTAGCGGGAGTAACCAGTGAGCCGCCGTGTGTCAGGATAATGGCCGCTTCTTCAACCATGTTTTGTACAATCACCTTCGAACACGACTCAGACAGAAATCATGAGCAACGGCGAACGGTGCGTACTTTTGCCGGCAAGATGTCGTCGATGACCTGAGACCCGTCAGATGACGGCAGTCCGGATGCGGTCTAGAACTCACCGCTGCTACGGTACCCACCGGCCACCGAATGGCCCGGATAGCCTTCTCCGGATGATCCTCCCTCTCTTTTTCATGCGGCACAGTCCCGCTGCTCAGGAGTGCTTGGATCTCCGCATGGCGGTTGTTGTGCCTGGGAACCAGCGTCGTCAAATGGCCGCCGCACGTCCGATCCAGAGCACATACCAGTCCTCGATGTAGGGTGTCTTGATCACGCGCATGGGTCTCCCGCTGAAAACCAGGGTGGTTACGATATCGTCGTAGCCCGCTTTGACCACGGCATCCTTGTGACCCTGCGGCGCGCCGGCTTCCTCGGAGGCAAGGAATCTAGTCCCGACCCCTAGCAAAAGTGAATACCAGTCAACGCAACAAGATGCGACGGTGACGGACAAACGGCCTGTGCCCCCCATGCCAGGTTCGCAGCCAATCCCCGTCCGTCGTAGACAGCCCCGGCGCCAATGACATGCACGGGTTGGCCCGTCAGCGGAGACGTGCGTCCCCTGACAGCATCGACGCAGCTGGGGATCAGGATGCTCGCAGGGATGGGGCCGACGTGCCCCCCGGCTTCGCCGGCTTGGGCGCAGATCAGGTCCACGCCGACGTCGAGCGCTTTCTTGACGTGCTTGGCGTGCCCCACCATGTTCATGACCTGCAGGATGGGCCCCAATCAGCTGTCGTCGTTCCCGCGTTCGATGTACGCGGGGAAACGAACCAGGATGCCGGCCTGGTGCAGTCTCTCGACCGCGTCCTTGGGCGGAACACCGATCGCGCTGACGAACAACGCGACCTTCTCCTCGATAATCACGTCCAGCAGCTGAGATAGCTTGCCCTTCGTGTAGTCGTACTACCCGCGTCGCGTCAGGAAACTCCCATGTAACTCAGTGAAACGGCGACGCGTACGTTGGTCTTGCGCGCGCTTCCCCCCACCTGGGGAATGAGCAGATCCACACCAAACGGGGCGCTCTTGTCCACCAAGTCCGCCCTGATGTCTCTTATCTACATAGTTGTCTCGCTCTCAGTCGCCACGACAACAGACGAGCGCGCGCGCGTACGCGCACAAACACACACACACCTGCTGCTTCAGCGCCGCAGGCGTGTAACCGTACCCTCCGATGACCCCGAGCCCGCCTGCAAAGACATCGAATGAAGTGCATCCTGCGATCCCCAACCCACTGCGTACCGGCATTGCACACGGCGGCCGCCAACGACGGACCCGCGGCGGTGTCCATGCCCGCAAGGAAGATGGGATGCCGGATCCCGAAGAGAGTGGTCACTGGCGTCGTGATAGTCGCCATCGGCTCGATTCGGTGCGAGACGCAGGGGGAGCGAGATCAAGAGAGACTGAGGACCTTCTGAGAAAACCTCCCTGATTTACATTAGTAACTCACGAGGCATTGTGGAGATCAAGAGCCGCTGTTTGCCCGTGTTGTCGGCGCGTGTCTGACTGAGTGAGGGGCATACATTTGATCGGCGGCGGCGCTTCGACTTAGCGCGATTGTAGCGTAGTCTGGCGTTTCTAGCCTCTGATGCATGACACGGATTTGCGTCTGAAAAGAACGTCGATTGAGGATGTTACGTGATGGTAAGCTTTTACAATGAAAGACATGCGAAAATGCGATGATATGGTACGACTATGGTATGCACTGAGGTGATATGATAGCTCTGAGGGAGGGAGGAGGAGAACGGCAATTCGTCGGGTTAGGACTTGAAATGACGGCGCGAGCGATTATCATGGCGCATCGTCTTCCTTATCAACTGAGACTGGGCGTACATTTTGCATCAATCGCCGCAGACGTCCCAGCTCTGCCGCAAGCTCACTGCGTCCACCGTGTTAGAATGACCAAGGGACAGGAAGGACACAGACACGACTCACGACGCGGTTGCGATCGCCTCAGTGCTCTCCCGATTACTGTTCTCGACTTGCTGCTTCATCAGCGCAATCTGCTCCGCCCAGCTTTTCTCTAGTTGTTTTTGGCGTTCTCGTTCTTCAGCCCATACTCGCTTCAGGTCGGCCATGGTGGTCACGCTCCGTGATTTCCCGCTCTCATCCTCCACTTCGACAAGATCATTGGCCCCAGCAGTCCACTTTTTGCGGACTTCGTCGACCAGCTTCTTGTATCGTTTACCAGCGCCTTCACACTCGACCTTGACCCGGTCGTCTCTCCGAGAAGCCTCTTCACGAACATTCTTGATGTCTCTCGCAAAACCCTCGACCATCCCTTTCATGCTATCTCGCAGCGTGATGTATTCGCGCTCAGACTTTTGCGACAATGCAGACGATTCGGCCAAGGCAACCTCCAGCTCCCGAATGGTCTTCTTGGTCGACGTGGTTTCTGTCTTGCTTTGCGTCTTCAGAGCTGCAGACTCCGTTTCAGCTTTTCGTGCGCGCTCAAGGACCTGTCACCCCCGTGAGCACGTCAAAGACCTGGAGCGACAACCAAGGACGAACCTCCTGCAATAATCTCTCCTTTCGTGCAACGACATTGTTGAGTCCCTCATTCTCTAACCGCAAGCGTTCCCTACCCTCTTTCAAGTCCTCCGTTTGTCGAGTCAACTGGGCCACGCTTCTCTGCGCTAGACGAAGCTGGGCCTTGGTGTTTTCCAATGCCGTCCGGGCATTGAGAACTCCGGTCTGAAGATCCGCAAGAACTTTAGTGGTACCGCCACCTGCGCTGGTACTGAATCCAATTGTGGAAAGACGCTTTCCGGGAGAGACGGATGACGCGGGGTGTAGAGTATTAGGGCCAGCTGAAGACGGTGAAAGTGCGGCTGCAGAAACAGTATCGATAGTCAACTTCGATGAAGAAATTGGGCGGGATAAAGCTGGTGCGCCATCGTCGGCAAGCGCCCGCGCATTGCCTGTCAGACCTAATTAGTCACACGATGAGCGGAGCGGAGAGCCGACGCTGACCGACAGATGAGACAGGTATTCCTGAAGCTCAATCAACACCGGCCAGTGACAATGGGAAACGACTGCTCACTGCTCAATGTACGAGTGGGGCTACTTAGTCTCTTGTACGACGCTCCACCACTTGACCCTCCTTCTCTTTCGAAATCCATGGGGACTCCGTCCTTGAAATCCTCTAATCCAGCCGCGTTAGAGTCTCGTCCTTCTCTTCGCGGAAGTGGCAGGTTCGATTCGGGGGCCAGGTCACGCAGCACGTCGTAACTGGAGCGCCGTTTCGACGGGGGAGATGACGGAGGTGTCGTGGTCACGGTGGTCAATGATGATATAGATGCTGAGGATCTGGAGGATGGAAATGACATGGCCGACGAAGGGGTTGAAGTGGAAGATAGCGAATCTACAAGTTCAGGAGGATATGGGCGAGGACCTTGGAGGAGCACGTTCTCGAGCGACATGAGCTTGGCTTGCTGATGACGAATAGAATGCCTGAGTGTGGATACCTGGGTTATATTCCGGTCAGTCTCCGGGAACAGAGTGGGGACGGAGTACAAACCTGGTTGCGAACAGCAACTTGAAGCGGTGTCAGAGGTGGAGATCTTGAAACATGGAGATGGAGGGCGACTCACCTGGGTCGTCTACCGAGAAAGCGGGACTGGGAGACCTATTGGAAGACTTGCCCGAGGTGATAGATGAACGCGAAGAAGGACGGTCGCGATTTGGCGTCGTGAGAGTTGAGCTTGAGGCAAAGCTTGAGGACATGCAGAGACAGACTAAGCTGGTGTCGACGCAAGGCAAGTGTTGCCCAATCTGTATCCGGCGTCCAAAGCGAAAGTATACAGTAGTTAGAAGACCCTACCTATCACTTAGTAATAGCAGCCTCGCTGGCTCGAAACCGAAACGGGAGTGAGAATCAAATAAACAAGGTGTGAGTGTGACAACGCGCGCCAGTCACATCATTCAACTTACCTTACGCTTCTACGCGTCGCCGCAGGGTTTCGCACACTTCACTCTCCTTTATTACAGAATCGCACATCTGGCACGCGTCGAAACCATGTCCTGTGCGATATGCCTATCCAAGTTGGAAGAACCCGTGTCCATACCATGTGGTAAGCGTCAGCGGCGTCTGCCTGCCACTGGCATACTTTTCTGATTCCATACTGACCGCCGGCAGGACATGTCTACTGCTCAGAGTGTCTCACACAACATATATCCGTGACTAGTACCGATGGCTTCAACTCAACATGCCCCGCGTGCCGCGAACCTTTCAGTATTCGTGCGTTTAGTCTTTCGTTGTACTACTCTGTTCACTTCAACTTCCTGCAGTGCGTCCTGATCCAAACGCGCTTCCAAAGAAACTACATCCTTTCCTACACTCTACACTGCGTCGCCTCTTCATAGAACCTCCTCCCCCTGCGCCGTCCTCGTCGTCCCTCAAAAAGAAACTCGCGAGTGCTCATGCTCACGTGGAAGCACTGGAAGCAGATAAAGAACGTCTCATGGACGAATGTGAGAGACACATGGCTGCTGCGAGTGCTCACTCCCGAGGGGAGACAGAGGCAGTGAAGAAATTAACGGCTCTGGAGAATTTGTTAACACGAGAGCGGCAGAAATGGGCCAGATGGGAGGATGAGAGGGAGGAGGAAACGATCAACAACAACAGAGTGTTCGCCGAGCTCAAAGCCAAATATGACCATCTGAAGAAAAAGAACAAACTCTTGGAGGCAAAGTGAGTGGGACTGACCAATCTAGTGCTCCGTTTCTAACCTTACGTAGAATGAAGACGGACAATGATATCCCCCACTCTGTTGCCGATCTGACTACCATGTTGCTCAAACGCACGAACTCCTCGACCGTGGACGAGGCGTCCACTCCCAAACGGATTCGTGTCATCAGGCCATTGCCACGCACTCGTCTGAGCCTCCCAGCTCCGACACCACTGCAAACGCCAGCAGGAAGGGCTAATTGTGACCTTGGTTCCCCGTTCAGAACCTAGTCTTCGAAGATAGTCTTGCATTGACATCGGTAGCATATACTGTGCTCATCTAACTTGCCTATAGATCAAACTGTGAATATAGTGGGATGGATCTCGCGAGAGTTTACTGGCCTCGATCTCCTTGGACGAAGCGGACGCATCCTGCACCGTTGTCCAGCTCTCAGATTCGCGTGGTATGCTCGTGAGGACGCAAGGAAGTGTTCAGGTGTCAGGCCGGAATCGGGCATTCGCGCAAAAGCACCGTTCTTTAGTGCTCGCGCTTTGAATGGTTTAACACGTTGGGCGACATAGGGTTTGAGCTATTGAGTTGCCGGAAGCTAGTGAGCTTAGGTATGAGATATTGTTTGCGACACGCACCTCAGAATTTATAATCTCGTCTATGGGAGGGGCCACAAATACCCTCACTTTGTCCTCCAGCAGCTGGTATCCCGGTCGTTTGTTGACGTGCACACCAGGTGCACCTGTGCGATGACCAGTAAGTGCAGCTTGACGATTCCCTGTTCACCAGAAACATTCATAATGAGAATTTCGTGGCGTGAACACGAATGCGACAGACCCTTATAGTAGTCTTTGTTAGCACGGAACGACTTCAATGGCCTACGAGACGCAAAGCGAAATCGGGCGGCAGTGGGAAACATGGCAAAAGTTTTGGAAGCGGGTCACGTACCTGTCACATCACGACTTCATTCCGCTTCAAGCTGATCACTCACTCGCTCTCGATCTCGCATACATAAACTTGACCTGGTCCGAAAGAGTCATGGGGAAGAAACCTGCCTCAAACGCAACTTCCTCCAAACGCGGAAAGGGAAGGACCTCCAATCGTGGCCGTGGAGTCACCCACGGCGGGCGGGGCGGAAAACACACAATCTATGAAGGGTTCGGTGATAGACCTGAAAGTGCTGTAGATCAGATCGAGGACGAAGGGGAGAGAGAAGATTCTTCAGAGGAAAGTGGAGAAGAACTTGTTACGATCGCCGTTCCTGTAGCGATGTGGGTGAGTACTGTCCATCTCCACAACTGACCGCATCGCTCAAGTCACTATCAAAGGATTTCGACCATTGCGATCCACGGCGCTGCTCCGGGAAAAAGCTTGCGCGTTTAGGTCTTATCAAAGAACTCAAAGTTGGTGCTCGGTTCAGAGGAATTGTTGTCTCGTGAGCGTCTGTATTTCTTTGCGCTGTTTAGCATGCCTACCCACTAATCTATCTTCTCGCAGGCCGAAGGGCACCCAAGTCATAAGCCCTGCAGATCGGGACATCGTCGAGATAGGCGGACTCGCAGTCGTTGAATGCTCATGGGCGCGCCTGGACGAGATCCCCTTCGGAAAGATCGCAAGTCCGCACGAACGGCTATTACCTTATCTCATCGCCACGAACCCGGTCAATTATGGCAAACCATGGCGACTCAACTGCGTCGAGGCTCTTGCAGCGGCCTTCTACATCACCGGTTTCGATACCTATGCCGAGCGGTTGTTGTCGGGATTTGGATGGGGTGGTGCGTTCTATGAGGTCAATCGGTTAGTCGTGTTTCCTTCCGTGAAGGCTCTCATTCACGAGATAACAGCGACCTATTGAGTCGCTACAAGACCTGCGCAAGTTCGTCCGAAGTAACCGCAGCGCAGGAGGAAATCATCGAGGAGCTTGAGAAGAGCTACCAGCAGTCGAGGATTGAAAAAGGTATCGTCTGCTGCCACACTCCTAGGTGGAGCCTGACGGTCACTGCAGATCGTGCAGCCGAGGATGGGGGAGACCTGCTAGTTGCTAATCCAAACCATATCCGGCCCGATTCCGACCTCGACGCGGAGCCGGGATCCGATGATCTTGAAAGTCCGGAGCACGGCTTGTCGGAGAGATTGCAAGAGCTGCGAGTGTAGTAATCCCACGTCGCAGAGATCCGTGAAGTTAGCTTCTCACTCGAATATGCATTACGCCCGATAGGATGAATGTTCCCGCACTATCCTCCACGGAAGTCAATCTCCAGTTTTGCGACCAAGTAATCAGCTCTTGAATGTCCAATTCCATGACCTCACGGTCGGCAAAGATGGCGCGTGACTTTGACTGATCACCACCAACCGGCTTTTCGGTTTATCACAAAACCACAATCACCTGAATGTTTGCTGCCGGGTCAATGCTTATATGACCCGTAGTCGCTTCCCCAGAACCCACGCGTCGCTTGGTCTCGTCCTCCTACAAAAACTAAACCGACACCCAACTTGAGCTTGAAGCGAATCACAACATGTCCGTCATCTCTACACCCATCACCGAGCTATTCGGTATCAAGCACCCCGTCTTCCTTGCTGGCATGAACGTCGCAGCCGGCCCAGCTCTGGCTGCCGCGGTCAGCAACGCCGGAGGTCTCGGGGTCATCGGTGGGATGGGTTACTCGCCCAAGATGCTGCGCGGGCAAATCCGGGAAATCAAGAAGGACCTAATCGACCCCAGTCTCCCATTCGGTGTTGACCTGCTCATCCCGCAGGTCGGGGGCAACGCACGCAAGACCAATGTGAGCCCATTTCTGCCCGGGAATCACATCCGCTCAGCTTCCGCCAGTATGACTACACCAAGGGACAGCTGGCTGACCTCATCGAGGTCATCATCGAGGAGAAGACATCTCTCTTCGTGTGTGCTGTGGGTGTTCCCCCCAAGTTCGCCGTGGACCGCTTGCACCAGGCTGGTATTCCCGTGAGTAACTTCCTCAGCCCATGTGATCATGACTCACCCCAGAGATCAGGTTATGAACATGGTCGGCCACCCCAAACACGTCGCCAAGGCTCTTGAAGCCGGGGTCGACCTCATCTGCGCTCAAGCTGGCGAGGGCGGTGGACACACCGGTGACATCCCTGCTAGCATCCTTATCCCCGCGTGTGTCGATGCCGTCAAGGGCCACAAGTCCCCGCTGAACGGCAAGCCCATCTACGTCATTGGCGCCGGTGCCGTGTATGACGGGCGTGGGCTAGCAGCGAACCTGATGTGGGGAGCCGAAGCCGTGTGGGTCGGCACGCGATTCGTCGCGTCAGAAGAGGCCGGTGCTCCGCAAAAGCACAAGGACCTCGTCGTTGGCGCTGGCTACGAGGACGCCGTGACGACTCTGATCTACACGGGTCGGCCGCTGCGTGTTCTGAAAACGCCTTACATCGAAGAATGGAACACAACGCGTATGCCTGAGCTCAAGGCGCTCACCTCCAAAGGTCTGCTCCCGCACGAAGAGGAGCTGAAGAAGCGCCCTGAGATCTCGATGTCCACCCGTCCGTGGTTGATGGGCCGTGTTGCGGCAATGATTCACGATGTGCTACCTGCGAAGACGATTGTGGAAAACATGGTCACCGATGCGGCCAAAATGTTATCTAGGGGGAGTGGATATCTGACCGCCAAGGCCAAGCTGTAGTAATAAGCCTGTAGTAGTGTGGTGGAATATCGATGGGTGTTTAGATGGCCAACCGCGATCTTTTCGGTTCACTTGCACACAGTTTGAATGACCAGGAAGGAGGATACGGCCAAGACGTATTTCATTGAGCGCGACTTGACGCGAGTTTGTGACTGTTGGGCCATAATCAATCTCGACAATGCTAGGAGTACATAGCGGTAGAGTTCCTCGAATTCTGTCGAGAGCAACCGTTGATTCTTCTACTGAGAGTGATACTAACCAGAGCTACGTGCTTATCTTGAGATTGGGAGCAATCATTGCAAGCACTATTCCAGCGCAGTAATGCCCCTCGCAGACACGGTCACCTGACCGTGAAGAATATTTCAGAATCATCATGCGGTGATTCGACGGACTCGGATAACCCCACGCTACTGACTTCGATGTACAGCACCTCATCGATATTCCTCCAGGCCCTCTCTGACGCCGGTATTACTCACCTCTTTGTGAACTGGGGATCCGATCATCCCGCCCTCTTAGAAGAGCTTCAACGTCAACGAGCACAGAGCACGGATGGGAAGACGGCGTGTGAAATTGTGACCTGCCCCAATGAGATGGTCGCACTTTCCGCCGCGCAAGGATATGCCCAGATCTCCGGGAAACTGGCAGCGGTGATTGTTCATGTCGATGTTGGGACTTTGGTAAGTGAGCAGCGGCATGTGATTGCCCGTTCTCATCTGTCCCTCAGGCACTCGCTGGCGCGATCCACAATGTTGACCGTTCTAGAACACCGGTCCTGATTTATTCAGGCGCATCGCCCTTCAGCAGTGGGGGAGAGTTGAAAGGCGGTCGAAATGAATGGATCATGTCTATCCAAGGTGCGCGGAGTGCTCCACGGATGACAACCTCGTAGCCGAACTCGGAATCTAGATATTCCCGACCAATCAGGGATCCTCCGCCAGTACATGCGGTGGTCGAGCCCGATTGAGAGCAGTAAAGTAGTCGGCCCCGTTGTCCAGCGTGCACTCCAAATGTTTGGAATAGTCACCGCACACTTCGCGCTCTGATCATTTCTCCAGAGCGACCAGTTCCCCGAAGGGACCGGTCTACCTTTGGGGGCGGAGAGAGATCATGGAGGAAAGAGTGGACACATTGGACGCTAATATTTCCATGCAAAGGTGGCCGGCTGTCGAACCAGCAGCGCTCTCCCATAGAGGTTCGTCATTCAGTCACAGAATGATGTTTGCAGAGACCAACGTTCACTCGAGCCGCATCGATCATCGCGCAAGCCCTCTGCAACGCCCGCTCTCCGCTGATCATCACCTCTCATTCCGGACGCAGCCCCGCCAGCATCCCTCTCCTGTCGGAGCTCGCCTCGACTTTGGCAATTCCGATCGTGGCCGTCTGTCCCTCCGCTGTCCCTGTCCCCTTCTCTCATCCGTGCTTCCTCGGCACCACCTTTCTGAATGGTGCCACTCACAACCCTCGTGTTGCGACCGCGGACGTGGTGCTTGTGCTGGACTCGGATATCCCATGGATCTCCGCGGCACAGGCTCCGAGCGAAAGTGCTCGCATCTTTGTGATTGATTCTGGAGATCCGCTCAAGACTGTGTCGGCAGTCGGCCAGTGGCATGTCGATGCCGAGCTCATGTGCAACGCGGACACCGTTCTGGCGCTGCAGGATATCTTATCCTTGATTGCGCAACTCGAGAGGGACAAGGAGATCGTCGAAGAACGGAAGGTTTCTGTCTTCTCTGAGCATGAGAGCTGGTTGCGGAGGCTAGACACCCTCGAAGGTGCATGGCCTGAACAAGGGTTTTCGGTCCCCAATATTCTCGGCGTCTTGCGCAAAGCAATCGAATCGCAGACAACTTTGGCACAGACTGTAGTGCTGAATGAGAGCATCAGCAGCTATACTTCCGTCTGGGATCACATGCGCACTGAAGTTTCAGGAGGCCAAATCACCAGCGGAGGGTCGTCACTCGGCTGGGCGCTTGGTGCGGGTGTCGGGGCAAAGATGACGGACATAGGGAAGAGCAAGCTGGTGGTGCTGGTGGTCGGAGATGGATCGTTCCTCTTCGGCGTCCCGAGTTCTGCATATTGGATGGCGAGGAGATACGACGCTCCCTTTCTGACGGTAGTATTGAATAACGGAGGGTGGAAAGTGGGTTCAAAACTCCCAGTGTCAACCTCACAAATGGCTGACCGGACCTGACACAGTCTCCCAAGTTGTCTATGCTCGCTTGTCATCCTCAGGGTCACGGGAGCATGGCCTCCGGAGCAGATTTGTCTGTTGGGTTCGGGCCGTACTCGCCTGAATTTGCACAGATTGCAGTAGCTGCGTCCGCGGGCTGGGCTTGGGGCAAAAAGATTGCAGGCAATGGACATCAGTCGGATTTGGAGAAGGGTCTTGCCGAAGCAGTTCGAGCGGTGATAGAAGAGCGCAGATGCGCAGTGGTCGATTGCGTCCTTGAATCTGTGTAATCCCGGCCATCGAGATGAATGTGACAATGACAATGACAGTTGACCACAGTAGGCTTGCATAGCAGGGCTTGATGAACCAATCATCAGACTTAGATGAGAACCGTCACTCGCGCAACTCGAGGCAAATCGAGATTCAACTGCTACCGCATATCGATTATGTCGCTGTGATCTGGAGAGCGTCTGTAGCTCTTTCTACTTCATTTGCAAAAACTTTGCAAAAGGCTTCCATCTCCCGGTGTACCCTGCCCCGGCACACTGCACACTGCCCCATTGCCTTGTCTATCGCGCTATTCACCAAATCTGAGTGGATCTCGACTGTCTCGCCCACCGGTCTCTCTTTCAGGGCTACCGCCGCCTCGCCGATGAAATCCGTCCACCACTTGGACGCCCACTTGCGCCGATCGGATGAAATGACGACCACTGCGAGGCCGCGGCAGGCGGTGCATTCGAACCACGGGGAATTCTCTTTGATGATCCACCGCAGATTGCGAGCGACGGCCTCTGCGGCGTTACCGCATCGCACGTGGAAGCTGTGGAGGCGGAGATAGTCGCCTGCCGTGATACATTCCAGCTCCGGCGTGTACGCCTGTTCGAGTAAGGGGGTGCGCAAGAAGGCTCGGGCGCAACGCCGTGTCTCCTCGCTGATTGCGAGGCCGCGGTCGCGCTGGGCGTGGAGTGCGACTGCGTAGCCGCCCAAGGATAGCGGGAGCAGGTGATGAGTAAGCAAGTGCGTACGAGCGATCTTCTCGGGCCCATCCATACAGTACTTCTGAGCCGCCTGTACTACGCCGAGGCAAGTCTCAAGATCGGACAAGAGTGTCACGCGACAGCGGGCATCGTCCCACGGCGGATAGCACAGGCGCAGCAGCGGATCCACCACTTTGCTGTCTTCGGGGACTGGAATGATGGGAATCATGTCGTGGGATGGTGTGCTCAGGATGGAGCAATTATCTGAACGATAGTATTTTCTTGGTTGCGGCAGGGACAAGACCGCAGGCCACACACTTTCGACAGAGCTGCGCCGAAGCAGAACTTGATGTGTCCGATACTCGAAGCCGTCGGAGGAACGGATGACGACGTCAGCCTTCTCGTCGTCAAAGGGCGGCTCGTTGACTGCGATGTAAGTTGGATCGCTCATTGGTGGGTCAATGAATATGCAGCAAGCTAGCATATATAGCTCTCTGAGTCTTTTCTTTCGGTATGTAATAGAAACGGCGTGCGGCGAATCATTATCACCCATTGCATCCACAGTCTTGGACTATCCCAGGAAGTGACTGAGATTATAGCCGGGTGGATGAAGTATCAGCCGCATGGGAATAGCGGGGTTCTGCGCCTACGTACAAGGTGCAGACGACGGCAAATCAGGGCTGTGGTGCGTCTGGCATAAGGTCAGGAAATCCGCCCCGTGTCAAAGCTCTGCGAAAGCATTCTCGCGGAAATCTGAGATTGCATTCACTGCCAGTAAGTTTTCGACGGCCTGAGCGCGCGTGCACTAGGAGCCCGCGGGCTCGGGGCCTTGCTATTTTGTCGACTAAAGTTCAGGGACGTGGTACATTTGTCAAGTGTTACATATGTGATAATTTGTTCTATGAACGGAGATGGGCTTCAAATACATCATGCCACACTCGGAGGTCGAAATATTCGAACCACTGGTGTCCAAATGCAAGACTGGGAACTTGTCCCACTTGTGATCCCACTTGCACAAATTTGGCGGATTTTATCATGCCGAGGGTTTCCTAGTTCGCGTGAGGAAGTCAACAAATGTCATGCTGCAGGACTTACTGAAGCACACCGGAAAGGTATCACCTGATCCTGGACACATGGTAAAATCAGCGAGCGATCTGGGTAAGTGCAGCCTGTCAGCCAACCTTTTGGCCGTGGATGACGAGAATCTTGACCCTGCGAGAAATTCCAGGAAAAAGTGCTGCAAAGTCAAAATTTTGCAGCTAAGGCTCGAGGTGAGCATAAAAGACGCGTTCTCAGCGTGAGACGCACTGCGAGTCGTTGCTGTTCTAAACGAGGTGCGTCAGCACTGATTAATCAAGGCAAATTATACAGATGGCAGATACCGATAGTAGACGGAGGTCGCGGCCTGCTTAGCACAGCTTAGTCGAGAATGACATGTTCCAGAACGGGACTTGCCGTCCATGGACCGTGGCTTGGACAATGTTCTCGAAGCGCACGGGGTTAGCTCCTAGCCAGGCAGGATCGAATGTCGCTTCGAGAGTTCGTCGGATCAGTTCCATTCGCTGTGCGGGAGTTCGAGGCACAGCCGTAGGCCGTATCTGGAGGCCATACTGAGCCTCTTGAAGGACCACCGATCGTGTTGAGATCAGGAAAACGTGGGTCACTCGGAACGGAAGGGGAAGATTTTGCAGCGGGAAGACCAATAACTGCTGAGCAACAACACCTGACACAGATCATTGAGATTTTTATAGCCAAGAGTGATAATCGTTTTACCGCCCATAGAGTAGCCACACAAAGCGACTTCGTTCCACCTTAGGTGGAGAACAAGTTCGACCAAGTCGCGCGCCATCCTGCTGATGGTGATATTTTCCGATCCGTGAGTCGAGTCGCCGATCCCACTAACGCAATTGAGCACCGACACAAGATGGGCGTTCTAGGGCTTACCGGTGATCGTAGACGAGCACTGAAACCGAGTTAGCTAAGAGTGAGCTACAGGCCGGGGAGTTTTACCTGGCCGCGATTGCGCAAGAGCTGGAGCAAGCGCTCGCCAGTCCGCTTTGGCCATGCCCATCCCGCAAAGCAGGATGAGGGGGGCTACGGCCCCCAGAAAATTCGGGCTGAGGACCTCGTAGGAGATGCTGGCGCCGTCCGGAAGGGTAAACAAAGCCATGGAGAGGTCTGTAGAGGGATCCCCAAAAGTGGACTCGCGTCCCACATTTATAACGGCCAAAACATCCAATGAGTATTCTGCCCCGCGAGGTACTGCACCCGAGAGTTACTGCACCCGATCCAGAAATGGCATAGCACCCGTTTGTGATGCATCTGCCTAGTGCGTTTTCTCGGGTGCTGAATACATGACAAGCACAAGCGGCTCGCGGGGACTTGCTAATGGTCTGGGTGTGGACTCCGGTCAAGATGACTCGCGTGAAAGCACTGGAACGTAGGCGGCAAGTGTTCTCTTGATTAGCAAGAATCGATATCCAAGCTCAAAAAGTAGAAGGCCGTCCATAACCCGTAGGCGAAAGCGGAGCCCGAGCGGGCTGACACAGAAATGGTGGTACCTTGAGCCGGACATATGTCATGTAGGCGATAGACGACGAACGAGAGAAGCGGAGTACCAAGTATTATCTGCCTGCATAGAATCCAAGATAGCGGATAGACAAAAATAAAGAAGGGGCCGCATCCCGCATTGTCTAGCCAAGGATTTCAGAGCTCGAAACCGCAGCCGAGGAGTTCTGAGATCGGCCCAGATGACAAAAAACAGACTTGAATGAGTATAGATCTATCCCTCCGGCCGTCAGGGACCTCGGACAAATCATCCTGGTAGGCTGCAGCCTGCCAGGGCGACCGTCGCAATGAGAGCAAGCGCAATCGCTGGCAGCAGGGTTGACCAGTATCCGGTCCGAGATCAGAAGCTCAGAGGTGGGCGTGCAACAACCGTGCCACAATCAGAGCCGATGGCACAGTGGAAGGGAGGCCACTATGACGTGCCGTCAACATACCATAATTCACGTGTGAGGCAGGACACGATCACGTGGGATTGTTGAGCTCTTTCATCGCCACTCCCTCTGTGGCGACAACGACGATGCTGCCCATGGAAACGCCGTCTCGGATATGGCGCCGTATAGAGGCGATAGAGGACATGGACATGGACATGCCGTCCCTCCCGTCCCTTCCCGGCCTAGGCGGAGACTCAGACGGGGACGATTCTCTCAACCACATCACCCGAATGTCAAGCGAAAAGGATATGGTTGACGGGAATCAGAGTAACATATCGCTGCCTATGACCTCGACACCGGCCGCTGCTTCGCACCGCGCTTCCACCATTCGCCCAACCTCGAGCACCACATCCTCCGCCTCACGTTTCGCGAATTCTATTGCCCGCACATCTCGCTCCTCGACTGGACGGTTTTCCTCGCGGAAGAGTCAGATAGATAGCTTCGACGAAGTCAGTGTCATCCCATCCTTGCCAGACATTCTGCCAGATCGAGGCATCAGTGGTCACTATCCGAGCGAAGACGACGATGAGGCATCCAGCAAGGACAGCGTGCCCGAGATATACCTACCACCTCCAGAGGATGATGAATCAGACTCTCCCCACCTGTCATTGTCGGATGCTTTGGATTCCCTCAGCCGAACGAGCTCGCCGCCACCACTACCGCTCGTCAGCAGGGATGCCACACCAAGAAAGAACTACGACTATTCCGTCAGTCTGCGATCGGAACCCAAGGTGTGTTGGATGTATCAGTGCAGCATACTTGTTATTCATCCATTGAAGCCCTCGCCGTTTGACAAGTTCCGCAACGTGGCCATGCGGAGACCGCCAGCACGAACGCCATCACTTTCCCGTACGGCATCCTCGTCTTCAACCTCTTCACCGACACATTCCACGCCGAGGAGTAATGTGTCAGGCGTCCCTCGCTCAAATCCCAGCTCGCCCCTACTTGCAACGACGGTTCCATTACCCCGCTCAGCGACGGCATCTCCCGCGATTGTTATTTCTCGGCCGGATAGTGAAAGCAGCGAAAGCAATGATTCGTATCTAAAAGATGGCGATACACAGTCGATGGATATTACTGATGTCCACATCTCGCCAGCGAGGGCCGGTGCAAGCGCGGACGAGGAGTCGACCAGCGAGCCTGAACCTACTTTCTCCTCTGAGGGCGGGCCGACCTTCCAAGTGGATCGATCGCGTCCCGAATCGAGTGCTCGATCGAGCCCTGGCAGCAGGACTGCAATGCCCATCACATCTCCGGCTGCATCTTCAGTGGCGACTCCAACACCAGGGCCGAGAGCACGCTTCAATTTGCCCTCGGACGATGATCCTCAGACACCGGGCGCCACTACCGACACGGGTGATGATGTGCTTACTCCCCACACGCGGCGACGCTCGTTCCTGCTGTCTGTGATCAACTCGACTGCTCGTCCACGCATGAAGTTTCCCACGCCTCATCCAAGACGAGCTGCTCCTCCCGATGAAACCCCGGCCGGCACTCCGGTCCCGGCTTCCCGATTGGCTGCCCTGAATGCGACGCCAGGCCCCGGCACAGCGTTCTCGGGTGTCACTGCACGCGCGCAACGACGCGTTTCGCATCCTTTGGCTCAGAGCTTCGTTCCTTCTCCCGGGACATCGGATTCTGAGTCCATCAGTGGCGCCACGCCGTGGGCCACACCCAGCCCTGCCCACGAGGGAGCATCAATAATTTCAACGGCGTCTTCTCATGATCTAACGACCCATCACTACCGCGCCAACACATCCTTTGATCCGGCTATGGGTTTTGGCGCCGGCGCGCAGCACGGGGTCGGCCGATTCAACGCAGGGAAACTCAATACATATCTGCACGGCTTAAATCGACGCCTGCAGGAGGAAAATGAGATTTTGGTCGATCGGGTGAAGAAACTCGAGGAACAGCGCGGAATCGAGCCCACTGAAAATCGTCGCCTCAGCAGCGGCAGTGCTGGACGTCGGACCAGTCTCGGTGGAACTGTTTTGGGGAGCGTCGAGGAAGACCGTGCGGCCGAAGGATGGCTGGAGGAGAAAGCCGAACTCGAGGAGATGGTCGAGACCTTCAAGCAAGAGTTGAACCGGTGCGAAACTGAGAAGACCGAGCTGGAAGGCTCGCTCGAGACCGAGAAACGAGACCGCGCTGGAGATAAGGAACGATGGAAGGAGAGGATGAAGCAAGTCGAAAGCGGCGTTGCAGAGATTGTCGGGGAGCTAGAGGAGAAGCTTCATGCAGCAGAGAAACAAGTCCAAACGCTGGAAGAGGACGCTGCCCAGCAGGCCAAAGAGAACGAGAGGCACGTCTCAGCAGTCGAAGAGGAACGTGATCTCGCCGCAGCTCGCGCCGAGAAAGCCGAACGTGTGCTTGAAAGTGGAAAGGAGCTCGGCGGCGAACTTCGCGAAGCAAACGAGCGACTCGACAAGGCATTGGCTGATCTCCGCGGTGCCAATGGCCAGATCCAAGATCTCGAAGATGCGGTCCTTCAAGCTGAATCCAAGATCGACCAGTTGGGACGAGAACTTGATGAGGAGCGTGTCATAAGTGAGGAACTCCGCCAGGATCTCAAGGCCGCGGCCAATCAAGACGGTCATCTGGCTGATGTGGAGGAAGAGCTGCGTACTACCAAAGAGTATGTCGTTGAGCTGGAACAGGCTGCTGAGGGTGCAGTCGCCAGTATCCAATCGCTCGAAGCACAACTGGCTACAGGTCAAGAAGAACTGGAGCGACTGACCGCGGTCGAAGATGAGCTGGCCGGTCAAATCGAAGAAGCAGAGGGCGGCCGTGATCGCGCTGAAGAGCTTGCACGGCAGATGGAAGATGCGTTGGAAGCTGCTGAAAGCAAGATGGTGGACGATGAAAACGAAGTTGCTCAGCTCAAAGGTCGGATTGCAACTCTGGAACAAGAGCGAGAGCGACTGCGCGATAGATCAGCACAAGGTGCCAGCCCTGGCGTCTCGGAGGAAGACTTGGAGGCACTTGAAGACGAACTGGACAACGCGAACCGGGAGATCGCTCGCCTCAATACTCTGCTGAACCAGTCACCTGCCCGCAAGGCGATCGAAATGGCCAAGGATGCGCGAATCGACATGTTGGAGAAAGAGAAAGAGGACTTGCTCGAGCGAGTCAAGTCTCTACGAGCGACCATGACGGAAATCGGAACGCCTAGCAAAGCCTTCGATACGAGCATGATGTCTCCAATGCGTCGACAGGTATCCATTCGAATGCCCAAGACTCCCGGTGGTCCTCTTCGAGATGTACGAGTGTCCTCTTGCCTCTATTCTAACTGACTCTTTGCTAGATGTCGTGGCTGAATCAAACTAACGCAGATGGCACGATCTCGCCTCTCGTCGCTGAAATCAGTCGCCTGCAACGTGAGCTGGACCTCGCCAACCAAAGCATCGACGACAAGCTCGACAAGCTGGAGGATGCAGGCTTGGGGGTTGTTGAGTTGACACAACGTCTCGGCGATGCTCGAGCGAAGATTTCTTTGCTCGAGGAAGAGATCGCCCGGCTTTCGCGCAAAGAGCAACGGCGAAATCATCGGCTGGAACGCGCTAGATGCCAAAAGTGTCTCGTCAAAGTCGATCTCCGAAGTGTCATCGATGCTGATGAGAGGTGTGTGGTTCCTTTCACTTGCTGCTCAGTGCTGATTGCACCAGCTCGATTCTGGGACTGAATGCCACGTTACCGTCTGAGCCACCAACGCCTCCAACACGAACCAGTCAAGCTCTGCGCGAGGACCTCCATTCTGCCAATGCAAACCTGGCCAAGATGAAGAAGCACTGGGAAGATGAACGCCAGAAGCTGCTCGGAGAGAAGGCCGTCTTGCAGGATGCCGCCAATCGCATGAACGGCCGAGTGCGATCTGCTGAGGAAGAGACGAAGAAAGTCGTCGAGACCAAGGCTGTCAGTGACAAATTGAGGAATAGTGCTGAAGCCGTGAGTCGGGAGCCTTGTACTACCCGATCTAAGCTCTGATCTGCGCTATTAGGAATTAGAGAACGCGCGAAGGGTCATCTCCGAATTGGAAGCTGACCTGCAGACAGAGAGGTCTCGCCTTCGATCTTTGTCCACCGAGCACACTCGTGCGCAACGGGAGAAGGAGAACATTCTGCTGCAGCTGAAACGGACAGAAACCGTAAGCATTGTGATTATTGCTGTGATTCCGCACTTGACTTGACGCCCAGGACATGGACGCTGTTCGCCGGCAGTTGCACAATTTCAAGCAGGAAAATCACGAAATGGAGGCTGAATTGCGCAGTGCGTTCAGTTGGTTCTTTGGTGCTGCTTGATTGGTGACAAGCGATCAGGCAACGCAAACGCTGACCAACGAGCTCGCTTATTGGAAGACCGCGTCGCAGAGAATGCTGAAACGATGGAGCAACTCCGTCAAGAACGAGCGCTGCTGTCGACCGATCACAAAGCACTGCAGAAACGCTTCACGGAAATCTCCGAGGCAAGTCTTTTCTCTGGATGCTTGAATTGATGGCTCAACTCTGAGCAGCAAGCCAACCGGCTGGGAGCAGAGCACCACCTCCTGCAGACCGCTCACGATGACCGTCGCCAAGGACTTGATCTGCAGAGGCAAGAAATCGACGAACTGAAACGCGCTCTCGATGACCAAGCCGACGAGCTCCAACGCGCTCAGGCCGAACGCAACCGGGCTGCTGCGGAGAAGAATGATGTGGCGCGCACAGTCGCTTTGCTGGAGGCTGATTTGAAACGAGTTCGGAAAGATGCAGAAGCGTTTGGGCGGGATTTGAGGCTACTGAAAGCTGAGAAGGAGCGCTCGGAAGCCAAGCAGAGGGAGGATGCTGTCAAAGCCGAACGCGCCAAAAAGCAGAGCCAGAGCCAGATACGAGTGTTGACCGAACAACTTGAAGGTCAACGAGCCAAGACGCAGAGGGCGAAGGAAGACTTCAAGCAACACATCTGTGCTATGTGAGTCTTGCTTTGGACTGGCTAACCACTGAGCTGATATCTCGAGAAGGGATGAGCGACAACTGTCGGGTCTCAAGATGCAACATAATCGAGAATGCAAGGGTCTGATGGTTCAAATTCGATATCTGAAGGCCAAATTCACTCGCGAATCGTCGTTCCGTGCTGGGCTGGGCTACCAGAAAGGCCATCTACTGGTGCTGCTGTCTTGTTTAGAACGGAGGTGTGCCACGACAAACAGTTGCGCCGACGATATGATTCTGATCATCCATTCAGCGAACACAACATCCTGTCCTCCATTGCACGGATCGGTTTCCCAGCACGGCAGGCGCCTCCGACGAAAAGACCTAGACGGTTGAAGACTGTTGCGTTGAGCGTTGTTTTCTTGAGTCGGGCGAAACGCGCTGCCGAGAGCTGGAGGACAGAGAGAGCGTCAAAGCGACACATCGAAGCTGCGTTGCAAGACGTGCGTCGGCAGCGCGCAATATCAGCGGGGTGATAGAGCAGGATGATGCATCGATATCTTATACTGTACCATATGTGTTACATATTATTTGGGTTATTGTACTAGCGATAATTTTCTGTTGGAGATTACGGTTTTCGTGCGATGAGACGGAACGCGTTTTTCGAAAAGACGTAGGAGAGCCCGCTCCAAATTGTGGTGGTGGCCACAATCAGTCTGACAAGATTGGTCAAATGGTATTCTCCTGGGACTAGGAGAATGACAGACTGGAGTCCCTGAAGCGGCACGCTGATGTCCATCGGTACCAAGGGGCTGACTGTGGTCACACCCATGAGCAGCAGCTGCAAAGCTGTGTTGACCTTTTGTGTGTTTCAGTCAAGAGGAGGAGGAGCAAGATCCTGCATGGCTGACTTTACTGATGTATGTGGGGCGAACCTCGACAGACGGTAGTGAAAAGTCCCAATACCGCGCAAACGTCCTCTATTTGAGAAACTGCTTGGTTGCGTTACGGAGGAGACAATAGCATGACGCACGGGAGGAGGCAGGGATGTATACCGGATCCAAAACGCAGACAAGCTGAGCAAAACATCCCGACCTAAGATGATGACCGCGAGCGGAACTGCAGATACATGAGACGCGATGCAGACACGACGACGTGGGGGAGGGGGGCATTGCTTACGCGGTAACATGCCCTTGACAGTCAGCGTCACCGCCAACGTCGTGACCAGCGCCTTGTCCGCCGCGGGATCGAGAATGGTGCCGAGGACCGTCTGGCTTTTGAAGCGGCGCGCGAGATACCCGTCAGCCTGTGCTCCCGGACGCGTGAGTGAGGCGGGTGCAGGCATATGGAGCGGTCACACGAACGAGGTCGGTCAGGCCGGCGTAGACGAGGATGGACGTCGCGAGCGGGAAGTGCCCGCGGACGACGGCCCAGCCGAGGATGGGACATGCGACGAGACGCGACGCGGTGAGGAGATTGGGGATAGTGTATATGTTCTCCTTGACGCTCAGTGGGGAGCTCGGTTTGGGTTCGGGCGGAGGATGCGACGTGGAGAGAGAAGCACGGTGGAGGAAGATGCATGGGGGACGGGCGGCAAGGATGTTGCTCTTGATACGTGTGAATTCAAGATTTCTCCGACGCGCTAGAGAGCGGCAGGCAAGCTGAGGAGCGAAACGGTTCATAGGCAAAGGGTATGTTTGTGAAGTCGATCGGCGGAACGGCCGAGCCGGAGCCATCAATGGAACGCGTCGCGTCCCCCAGTCGGCACATCTGGTCGGTCACCTCTGAGTATGACGCTGACTAACGCTGCCTCCATGCATCGATATCACAAACTGATTTCCGGGGCAGTTCTGACGCTACTGTCGTCCTCATTCTTATACTTGGACCAGAGTGCACGTTCTCGTGTGCTGTCAACATGTGTGACATAGTCTGCCAACTGCTTACTCGCCCTCTCTAGTCTCGACCCGCTCTGAATATAGTGATTTTACTGAAAGACAACATTAATCAAAACTGGGAATGCACATTACGGGTGGGATGTTCCCAGCAGGTACTGTATGTTCGATCAGACCGACTGGCACAATTAGATCGTCCCAGAGAGATATCTATGTCGGTCTCGACTAGCCATATCCGTACATCCAATCTCGTCGCCCGAGAATATTATTACAATGCCCGTGGTATCTATGATAAAGCAGCAGCAAGAAAAACAACGACAGCAAAACTCAGGCGAGCGGGCGCTTCACGTATTTGCGACGGTATTTGGCGTCCACACTCTCGAGGTAGTATGCACCCGGCCAGATGTTCTCGATGGACCCTTCAGGGGTGTAGTCGACAGCGTTGTGGTTCTTTTCACGGAGCTTTGGAAAAAAGTAATCAGCACACGACCCAAGTATAATGTCGGAACATCAACGCACCTCGAGACCGTCAACGAACTCTTGGCACGGCACGACCTTCATTTTGGACAGCCGGTTGACCAGGTCCATCTTGGTCGCAATGTCGCTTGTGTCGCCCTTGAATCGCATCGTCCAGAAGCTGCTTGCACAGCCGGAACCGAACGCATACAGGCTCGCGCGCTTGCCCAGCAGCTCGGCAGGGGGCACCGTCGAGAGCAGCGATGCGAGACAGCCGTAGAGCGACGCGGTGTACATGTTGCCGAGTCGCTTGGAGCAGGCCATGCCCGGCTCCACCTTCTCGGTGAAACACTTCTTGCCGGCAGCGATGAACGTCTTCTCCACGTTCTTGTCGGAAAGCGACGCCTCCGGTGTCAGGGACAGCAGGCGTTCGGCATCAGGGACGGCGGCAAATACCGGATCATGGGGGTTGGTGATGAAGTCGTTGTAGACCATGCGGGCGTGCCCCTTGACGGCTTGCTTGCCGTACGGGCTGTGGAACAGCGCGTAGTCGACGTCGTTCAGCGAGAAGGGGGTCACGTCCGGGAGCTGAGCCCGCTTCGCGGCCCTGGCGACCTTGGTCTTGTATGCGCGGTAGGACTCGTCCAGCGCCTTGATGTAGGTCACGACCGAGACAGGCCCGTCGACCTCGGGGTACTCCGACGACAGGTTGGGTTTGTAGAAGTCGTACGTGTCCGCCATGTACGAGCCATGAATAGCTGCGTTTGCTAAAATCAGCCAAAATTCCCATGCGCGTGGGTGTCATCACTTACGTTCGAACACCACCGGCGCGTTCGGGCCAATGAGGATGGCACAAGCACCAGCACCGCCGGCGGGGCGGGCGGCACCCTTGGCGTAGATGGCGATATCGCCGGCTACGACAATCGCGTTCCGGCCGTCCCACGACGAGGACTCGACCCAATTGATGGCGTTGTACAGCGCAGCGGTGGAGCCATAGCACGCGTTCTTCGAGTCGATACCCTCGATATCGAAGTTGCCCGACTCGGCAAAGAGGCTCATGAGCGACGTCTTGACCGACTTGGACTTGTCGATGATGGTTTCGGTGCCCACGTCAATGCGCCCGATAGATTTGGGGTCGACGTTGAACTTTTCTAGCAGACCGGAGACGGCTGGCAAGATGGAGGAGAACATGAGGAGACATGAAGACAGGTCGGTCAGGAGACGCACCGTTGAGGGCGAAGGAGTTGATGTCCTCGCGGTCGTCAGGCCAGGCCATGTATTCCTGTCCGAGACCAATAGTGTATTTGCCCTTGGAGACACCGTCGAATGCCTCTAGGTCTGCCTCGGAGATGCACTGCGAGCGGGAGCAAACGTTGAACGACCTGGGCAGCAGGAAGACACGGAAAGCTTACTCGGTAGGGGAAGTAGACGTCCATGCCCAGAATACCGACATCCTTGGGACGCGGGATCTCAGAAGCAGAAGGAATCGGGATAGTCATAGTATTAGTGGTCGCGGTGGAGGGGAAGTCAGGGGAGGAGGAAAAGTGTTAGGTAACGAGTGAATGGGATTCGCGGCACGCCTTTTATAACGGGAGAAAGTGACACCAGAAAATATATAACTTTTCGATCATCGTACGACAACATCAGTTGCCTGCCCGCTCTCTTTCTACCCCAATTGATCAGTTTTCTCATCACTCCGCCCGACGCCAATAGGGTAAACTCTCACACATTCCTAGCCGACTATGCAATGTAGGATATGTTCTACATACTTGTAGCCGCTGCCGTCTGCATGTGTGGGTCCGGCGTGTCTCGTTATCTCTGGCCTCGTTTCACGAAGCACCAGAACCTCGTTGTCATTACGGCCTGGAGCGCTTCGCTATCTCGCTAAAGTGCGCTTCGTCTGCTGGTACCCGGGGTAGGCCACAGCTTCTTCATTCGTGATCTACCACTCGTCACTGGGTGGGTCTACAAAGCCTATGGCGAACGCACCCTTGCACTCAACTTCCACCTCTTGATCTCTTTCCCTTTTTCCTGATGCGTGCCCTAAACGTTATCGTTCTAGGCAAGCATGGTGCACGCGGTCAGATACTTGCTTTCAATCTTGGGGTCGACGTTGGGGACGAGAAACCCCGGAACGCACGCACGGGCAGTCATTGATATCGGCTAGAGTGCGGGGGAACAAGGATCTGTCTTTCTTTGTCCTTTGACATGCTGATCACCGGAGCAAAAGCTACTATCTCTCCCAAGTTTCTATGTATGTATCTGATTCTGGCATTGGACACAGGTTCAGCGGGGGTAGGTGGGTAGGTAAATCGTGATGCACAGCTGATCCCGGCACTCATGCGTGCCACGGCGTCGTATGTCTTCTACAGAATACATGGAGGCAGGTAAGCCTGTGGGGAGTGAAATTACAGAGTGTACCGATATCCACTCCACTCGTCACCCTTCTCCCGTTTGGCTTCTGCAACGCTCTCAAATCGCCCATTCCTCGCCGCGAGACGCTCCGAGTCGGCATCCTCAGACTTGCCGATAACTTCGTCCCGCTCTCCCCTGTCCCGACGCGCATTCTCAGCGCGGAGGGCGAGGTAGTATGTGATCGACGCGATGATTCCGATGGCGATGTACATCAGCACCAGTCCTGCGATTAGATTAAATCGAGAATGGATCGGTATCGGATCCATCATTACCATGGCCCAAGCGATACCAAGGTCTGTCTTTGGCACGGTACTAGAAATGTAATTGTTGGACTGTACATTCGACCCTAAATTGAGGGAGGAACGAACCACATTGGAGCTCACAGCCCCGTTGATGTTTCCACTGAATTCAACTCAGCGTGGAAGTGAGAGATCAACAACAGAAGACTGACAAGCCGATGGCCATCGCGAGCGATACACTTCGCTTATAGGAGCCTTCGACATTATTTGAGATCCAGGCACTGCAGAGTTCAGATGATTAGCCGGGGATCGGAATGCAAGAGTGGGTGCTGACATCGAGTTCGCTGCGATATTATTGCAATTGAAGTTGAATTCGAGTCAGACATAGCCACGTACGAATCACAGGATAAATTCCACTATGCAGCTGTATAAGTCAGAAATCCAGAGAAATAATATCACCAGACTCACCAGGTAGCCATAACATACAAATATGACAGCGCTGGAGTGCGAGATATGATCAGGATGATATAGCCTACGGCGCCTAGAAAAAATCAGTCAGCGTGCTGGTATACTGCTGAAGTACGATCCAAGTTGACCTAGACATAAGAAACCACTGCGTCAAAAATCAGTGGTTGAACACGATCACGTGGCTATCGATTCACATATTGAAGTAACCGCGCCTCCCATATCGATCAGACAGGAACGCAACGATGCAGCTGATAAATTCTAGAAATTATTTGTTATCATGAAGCAACTCCAACCTACGTGATGCAGCAAGCAAAGATGTAAACAGGCAAAGTGAGCAAGTTGGCCGGTGTTGCTGTGTAGCCTGAGGAAGCAAGGTCAGATATTGTCTTCCAGAGTCCAATGATAACATACCCAGTTGGTTGATAATGGTGGGCAGGAAGAGCGAGAAGGCATAGAGAGGCATGTCATAACCCACACATATCATCACTTTCGCCTGTTTTAGCACTCGAGTTTTTCGTGATCGCAAGAAAAAGAGAGGAACTTACTTCCGATCCAAGTCTTCCAATCCAACAAGCTCTGGAAAATATACTTCAGCTTCAGACTCTCCCCAGCCGCCGAAAATTGATCGTCCGACTGCAAGCGCCGGATAACAAACACACGCTCGGGCTCGCTAAGGAATTTAGCCGTGTCGGGAAAGTCCTGGACGATCCAAAATGAGGCGACTCCCGCGAGGACGGAGGCGAGGCCTTCGAGAATGCTGTCCCGATGTATGAGTATGGAGATGCGCGAGAAGATTCTCGCTGACAAGATCCATGCCCAGGCGGGTTTGCCGCCGATCCCCTCCATCTTCGATATGGCGGCCTTGAATGAAGTTGAGATCCCCCTGATCCCATCAATAATAGGATTTACTCACAGCAAGCAAGCCACCAAATGCTCCCGAGACGGTCGCAGCAGAGAAGAAGATGGCAGCTCTTATCTGGGATCAAACGGTTCAGAGGATGCGATCACGCAGACAAGTGGCTTCTTACCCCGAATTCAGACCGTTTGTACCAGCTTCATCATATCGAATGAGACCGACACGGATGGGCAGAGCGACCGCGGCTCACCATGAAAGGTAGTAGGCGACGCCAGGAAACAAGCCTGCCTCGAACGTCCCGAGCAGAAATCGCATTCCTGCGCGCGTTGGCGTGTTAGATTGCCGAGTTCGGCAGAACGGGAGACAGAAACCCACCGAGAAGACCGCCGTAATTGTGCACGAGGCCCTGTGCGGTCTGCGAAGCGCAATGCATCATTCACCTAGTCGAAGCAACCGGGAGGACTCACCATTATGACTCCCCAGAAGAGCATCAGCAGCGACAGCCATATCGACGGCCGCAGACGTTTGAGAAACACATTCGACGGCACCTGCGAATGTTGATCAGCATCATGTTCGACTGGTTTATGGAGAGCACGACTTCGAACGCAGCGTAACTGCACAGTGATAAGAGCTTGTGAATAGAACGCAATCAAAGATATCAGCCAACCTGAAGAAAAAGACGGTCAAGGCGATCAGGTATTGTGTGTCGGACATGTGCAGATCCGTCTCCATATGATAGAGCTATATTCAGACGTTGAAACGATTATTCCAAACCAGAGTCGCCAGATTTGAGATTCACCTTCGCGCTTGAACAACGCGCCTCAGTTCAGAGGTCCTATCGCCGTGATCGACACACAACGCCACTCACTTTCCGATACTCGTACGGTCCAGAAAACTCAGCAGGTACAAAAACGACAGCCAGGGAACGAGCGCCATGTCGAGCTTGCGCATCAGCCTGCGTTCGTCCACCGCACTCGTATCGACGTCGGGACGGTACACGCCGGTCGAGGCGTGCGCAGTGCTGGAACTGGACGCGATCTCGGGCTCTAGGATAGCGGGCTTGTCGGCCATCGCGCTCTGTGGAACGAAGTGGGATGGGAAGAGAGTGGGAGGCGAAGCGCAGGAGATGAAGTGTCAGGCGCAGAGAAGCCTGATTAACTCCAATCACAATCTGTGATTGTCTGCCTGCTGAGGTCAACGTCGAATGCTGCAGACAACTGCTCATGGGAGGCCAGTAGTGTGGGGAAATGTGGAGAATATACGATGAATATCAAACTACCCCGCTAAGAGGAGCTGTAATTTCAATCGCTGTTATGTAGTCCTCCAGCATTGATAAGGTCAACCCCGGATCAGTCACCTCCGTGTCACTTGCAGATATCTTGATTGATAGCCCTAGATTACGGATGATCTCACGGGGCATCAACGATCTGGACCGTGGACAACAGTGGTGGCTATACCTCTCACAGCCACTCTCCTGTCCAGATAAAAAGCCCTTGAGCACTTACCCGCCATCTCTCACTATTTGAAGCATCCGCTGAGCTGAGAGTCCCTAATGCATCAATATCAATATCATGTGGTCACTTTGATCTAAGCTAAGCTAAGGTGCCCAAGTGAAGGCCCTGCTAGGTGCTGTAATTGCACATTACCATCATAAAATGGTCTATGCAAAAATAGTACTGGACGAAAACAATTTATTAGATGAATTTCAGCTTGGAACCAGTTCAAACCGAACCATTATTGACCAAACCACTGGTCAGGCTCAATGTTCAGGGTAAGCATCGAGTCGAACTGCGGCAACACTCGTATTTGACTGGCTCTAGGATTGGACACGGGCTCAGCGAAGCGCAGTGCACATGTAGTTCAAATACTCCAGTAGGCTCCCGGGCACAACAATTACAGAATGTACCGATATCCACTCCACTCGTCACCCTTCTCCCGTTTGGCTTCAGCAACACTCTCAAACCGCCCATTCCTTGCCGCGAGACGCTCTGCATCGGCGTCTTCAGACTTGCCGATGATTTCGTCCCGCTCTCCCCTGTCTCGTCGCGCGTTCTCGGCGCGGAGGGCGAGATGGTATGTGGTCGACGCGATGATCCCAATGACGATGTACATGAGCACCAGTCCTGTTGATTAGATTAAATTGAGAGTTGATCGGGGTCTGATTAACCATCACCGTGGCCCAATCGATACCAGGGTCTGTCTTTGGCACGGTACTGGGTAGGTGAAGTTAAGAACAAACATCCGAGCCCGATTCTGAGGGACGCACCACGTTAGAGCTCACAGCCCCATTGATATTTCCGCTGAACCCAAGTCAGCGTGGATGTGAGTGATTGACGGTGGAGGACTAACAAGCCGATGACCATCCCAAGAGATACACTTCGCTTGTAAGAGCCCTCGACATTATTCGAAACCCAGGCTCTGCATAGTTCAGATGACTAATCGGGGACTGAGGTGCTCGAGTGGGCGCTTACATCGAGTTCGCTGCGGTGATGTCGGACTTCGCGTTGAATTAGAGTCAGATGAAGGACGTACGGATCACAGGATATATTCCACTGAATAACTGTATCAGTTAGGCACCCTGAAAATGAAACCGGCGGACTCACCAGGTAGCCATATATACAGCGAAGTATGACAGCGCAGGAGTGCGTGATGTGATCAGGATGATGTAGCCCACGGCGCCTAGATACGAACAGTCAGCGTACTAAAACTGCTGAAGTGCGATTGATGTTGACCTAGACACAAGAAACCACTGCGACAAAAAAAAATCAGCAGTTGAACATGATCACGTGGCTGGCTGACGCACATGTTGAAGTAGCCGCGTCTGCCATATCGATCGGCCAGGAACCCAACGACGCAACTAATAGAGCTCCAGAAATCATTTCTGATCGCGAATAAAGCAGAACTTACGTGATGCAGCACGCAAAGAAGTAAACAGGCACAGTGAGTAGGTTGGCTGGCGTTGCGGTGTAGCCTGGACAAGACATGTCAGGTATTAGGTGGGAAAGTCAGGTGATGACATACCAAGTTGGTTGATAATGGTCGGCAGGAAAAGCGAAAAGGCATAAAGAGGCATGTCGGCACCCACATATACCATCACTTTCGTCGTTTTTAGCATTCAACTTTTTGATGATCAGAAGGAAACGGCACGTACTCCCGATCCAGGTCTTCCAATCCAACACGCTCTTGAAAATGTATTTTAGTTTCAGACTCTCCCCGGCTGCCGAGAACTGATCGTCCGACTGCAAGCGTCGGATGACAAACACGCGCTCGGGCTCGCTAAGGAATTTAGCCGTGTCGGGAAAGTCCTGAATAATCCAGAAGGAAGCTAATCCCGCGAGGACAGTAGCGAGGCCTTCGAGAATGCTGGCCCCAATGTGAGTCTGATGAAACGCGAGAAAGGTCGCTTACAAGATCCACGCCCAAGCGGGTTTGCCGCCGATCCCCTCCATCTTCGATATGGCGGCCTTCAGGCATTTAATGTCTGTTGGTTCCGAAAATACGACGGTTTACTCACGGCAAGCAAGCCACCGAATGCTCCTGACACGGTCGCCGCAGAGAAGAAGATGGCGGCTCTTATCTGAGATCAAACGCGTCACAGAGGATGCGATCGCGAAGAGAAGCGGCTTCTTACCCCGAATTCAGATCGCTTGTACCAACTTCGTCATACCGAGTTAGGCCGATGCGAATGGGGGAGTGGCTGCGGCTCACCATGAAAGATAGTAGTTGACGCCAGGAAACAAGCCTGCCTCGAACATCCCGAGCAGAAATCTCATTCCTGCGTGAATTTGCGTCTCAGATCGCCGAGTTCGGCATTGAAGAGCTAGTAACGCACCGAGAAGACCGCCGTAGTTGTGCACGAGGCCCTGTACGGTCTGCAAAAACGCAAGATATCAGTCATCCGGTCGCGGTGCTCGAAGAAGTGGGAAAGGCTCGCCATCATGACTCCCCAAAGGAGCATCAGCAGCGACAGCCATATCGACGGCCGCAGACGCTTGAGAAAGACATTCGACGGCACCTGCGAATGACAATCAGCACTGTATTCAAATGCTTGGTGGAAAGCCCGACTTCAAACACAGCGTAACTGCGCAGTGAAATGAGCTTATTAATAGAACAGCGTCGAAAAATATGGACCCACCTGAAGAAAAAGACGGTCAAGGCAATGAGGTATTGTGTGTCGGACATGTGCAGATCCGTCTCCATATGATAGAGCTGTATTCATACAATGAGACGATAATTCCAAACCAGAGTCGTCGAATTCGGTGCGCACCTTCGCGCTGGGCCAACGCGTCTCAGTTCAAAGCTCCCCTCGCATTGATGTATGTGCACAACATCACTCACTTTCCGATACTCGTACGGTCCAGAAAACTCAGCAGATACAGGAACGACAGCCAGGGAATGAGCGCCATGTCTAGCTTGCGCATGAGTCTGCGCTCGTCGACCGCGCTCGTGTCCACGTCGGGACGGTACACGCCGGTCGTGGCATGCGCGGTGTTGGAGCTGGACGCGATCTCGTGCTCTAGGATGGCAGGTTTGCCGGCCATCGCGCTCGGTGAAGTGGGGGTAGGGTGGAGTAGGGTGGGAGGAGAGTGAGAGGCGGAGGGCTGGAGATGAAGTGTCAAGCGACAGATTACGTTCTATTCGGTGTATGGATGAAGCCGTGTTAGCTCCAATCAACAAGCTGTGATTATCGTCTACGAAGGCCGACATTGAATGCGGCAGAAAACTGCTCATAGGACGTCAGTAGTGTGGGGAAATGTGGGGAATGTATGATGCATATCAAATACCCCGCGGTGGGTCTCCGTAATTTCGATCACTATGTGTTATGTACTACTCCTCCAGCAACAAGCTGCAGTTATGTATCATCCGGATAGTCTTGAGCACAGCACGAAGGAAAGAAGCCGTGAGTTGGCATACTTCGAAAGTAGCGATGGAAGCTGTAGTGAGGCTGACCACTCCCACCCGAAACCGGTCCGCGTTCACGTGATGCCAGCAAAATGTCTGCTGACTTTGACACATGGCCTCACCATTCCATTGGGGACCGTTTCATAGTTTTGGCGACTTGGCGCCGGGATGGGAGGATGCAGCATTCAGAGGGACCAGCGCTGCACATATCGTCCTCCTTCTTGCGACCCACATCTAATCTAATCTAATCAAGATCTGGTCACCACGTTTGTCTGGGTCGTTGAGAACGCCGGGACGCGGACCGAAGATTGAGGCGATAATGATCGATTACATAATAAATATTGATGGCATAGGTGGGAAAACGTTTTCCCGATGCAGAATAAATGCATGGTGTGTTCTTATCGCCCATCTGGCCCAAGCTCCGGCGATGGTTTCCAGGAGCAGGGTAAGCGCCGAAACCAGCGAGTTTTGTTTGCCGGTTGCAAGTGGGAGCATTGACATGGTCCGTCCTCGCGCGCTTGAATCACTTGGAAAACAGACACAGACAGATTGAGAATGCTCACGGATCCGGTCCGGATGGATGTGCATTTTTGAATTGGGTGCCTGATCACAATTCCGAGGCAGGGGCCAGGGCATGGACCCACAAGTTCTGCGGTCTGTTGCGCTGGAGAAATGCTGCGCTTCAAGAGATGCGGTCGGCTCGTGCGAGTTCTGTTGTGGGCCGGAGAACACAAGTTAGCGCGCGGGCCGCTGGGATATATTCCATCGTCAGCTGGTAGAGATCGCGGCCAGATGGTTACTCACAGCTTGACTGTATGACTGCTACTTACATGGCAGTGGAGGGATCCGGAAATATTCCGAGTCGAGGGCGGCCAGGCATGACATGTGTAGGAGAGTCACACGAAAATAGCTTCCCCACAGTGCTTGACGTGTGGAAAGATGTCCGGCGGTAAATGTATGTTGTCCGCGGCTGACGCGTTGCTTTCCAATGCGGCGCAGTCCACGTCGAGGGCATATGACTGCATCTCGTGCTCGCTGTTCGTTTCAGGGTGTCTTGGAATTAGCACACGCCCGCACGCGAGGCACGCCAGATCCATACATATCCTGGCGCTGCGACTTTGCAGGTGCTTATCCGGCGGCCCGTCAGCTCGGCATGCTAGTCGGCGATGCACCTCCGGAGGCGTGGTCTTCAAGGGCATAAACAAACGCGTGTCCGCCTCCTGTAAGTATGTACGTATTTCCAGGCGCGGACGAGCCAGCTCCAGTCCGAGATCATCCGATGAATGAGGTCATGAGAACGGCGAAAAAAAAGTCGACCGAAAAAAAGAACAGGAGGGCGAGGTTGATTGCGCTCCACGGGCGCGCTCGCCGAGTCGTCTCTGTCCCCAGGAATCGCCACAGGCGGGTGATCGCACTGGGTGATCGAGGAAACTGGGCTCGTAAAGGGATGTTCCGGGACGACACAACCGGCCGCACTGCCACATTTGGATCTACCTCTCATCTATATTCCGGCGTCCCTCGCGGTCCTTTTTCACGGCCACCCCCCGCTCGCCCACGAGCCTCCCCCCATGTCTAATTACCTTCCCGTCCTCCTAGTCTCTCTTTCTACAAATGCTGTCCCTGACGATTCATCACTCGCGACCGTGCCCCAGGGCCAGGTGGACTATCTTTCGCATGAGTGGGCAGAGGAGGACGTATGGCGGTCGTGGCGGAACATGACGCGCCAGAAGAACGATATCACTAATGGCGAGCGGCTGGAGAACGCTAGCTGGCGTACCTGGTGGAAACAGCGTAACAAGCTAAAGACGATATCCCCAGAGACCCTGAATTGGTGCGTGCTGGCTTTTTCCCTTTGCTTCCCTCCCTCACAAAGCTTAGGCTGAAAGACTCGGACGTCACTTGGCTCTATGGGCCGCTGCATACCGCAGTCGACTGGACCCCTCCCCCCAAACCGAAGCCCCAGCCCACAGAGGTCGGCAAGGTCTCTTCAACCGAGGACAGACTCGACTTGGCAAAGCATAAGTCTATTCTCAAACATAGAACCATCACGGAGCTACTTCAGAGCGAATTGCCCGATTCGCCGTTGTTTCATGTCGACCACGACGATGACTTGCAAGCTCTCCAGGATGATCACATGCTCGAACCACCCCAACGACCGCCTTTGCTGCAGACAAAGAGCGTCCCCCACCTCTCTACTCTTCCCCACCTTCGCAAGTCCTCACCGCCGAGGATAGCACCGCCCGTCGTTGCCCCGCCGCCCGCGAGAGAAGTGACCACTCCACCCCCTTCGAAGCAGCGTCATATCACGTTCAACACTTTTGTGGAGCAGTGCATTGCGGTGGACTCCCCAAGACGGAGTCCTGCGTCCATCTCGCCGCCACCTGCGGCTCCGGAAGCTAACGGAGTGAATGCAGCCACATGGGATGGCCGGACACGCGGGCTCCGATGGGCCGGCGATGACGAAGACAGCGACGAGGAGGACGAGATGGTGGAGATGAACGGTTGGATTGGCGGCGAGAGCGCGCTGTCGAGTGATTCGGACGATGATATGCTGGAAGTGTGCTTACCTCGGTCCCGGTCCGGATCGCGATCATCATCACAGGCGTCGTCGTCCAAGTCGATGCTTGGGCTCTCGGCCACGAGCAAAACGATCGCTCCGATTGCTCCGGCACGATTGAAAACGACCGGGGTGGGCAACAGCTGGGCTGGTGACGAATGGATCGGTACGCGCGATGATGGTTTTGTGGTCGAAGAGCCGACGCGTCCGCCAGCCTCCACCAATGTCGTTTCGGCTTTCGACGCCGATTCTTTTGACGAAGACGATGACCTAGCGGATCACGTGTATACCCATGAGTCCGCCTATTTCTCTGCGGATGGGGCATACGATTATTTCGCTGGGCCTGATCTGGGGGTTGGTTTGAGTCTCCTATTCGAGAGCAGCGGGGCAGGAGAGGAAGTTCCGGAGCTGAGATTATGGAGATAGAAGGAGCACGTTCGCGGTCAAAGTCTCGCTCCAAGTCGCGCTCGCGCTCACGCACGCCGTCGCCCGCTGTACTCGGCTCCCAACTGGCGTCTTCGCCTCAACCGGCGTCCCCGCCGAATGCAGCAGCCATGCGCGCCTCCGGGCTTCTTTCGCCTCCGCACCGGGGGCGAGACTCGTCTGTCTCGTCTTCGTCCTCGCAACAGAGTCGCGGGCGAAGTGCTGCTCGCACATCCTCGAGCAGTCTGAGCGACAGAGAACGCAGTCGGTCCAGCCACACGAGTCCGCTGGGAAGTCTCAGCCCGGAGTATAGTGGCGTGCGTGTCAGCGCAGATCCCAAGGCCATCCGCGGAGCAGTGACTCCCGGTAGCCCCGATAGCCGGGTCTCGCGTGGGCCGCCCTCTACTGAGAGCTCCAACTCTGGCTCGAGCAGCGTAACAGCGACACGCCCCGAGGAGCCCGCTCCGAATCTCGATCCGCAGACGCCCATGAACTCACCTGTAGTTTCTCGACTACACGGTGCCCAAAACGGGCGCATGCCGGTGACCGTCCGGCCCGTCGTCACGGAGATTTTCGAGGACGACGGAGAAATCAGACATACGAATCCCACTCCTGCTAATTCACCTGTTGTCAGCACTCGGCCCGCTCCCAGAATACCGAGTGGAGGGGTGGCTGTGAATGGGCGCAAATCGTCGCCGGCCTGGAAAGTGCCCACTTCTCCGACCCATCTCTCCTTCCAAACCGCATCCAGCGCAGCCACTGCCGAACGGTCTGCTCCACCTTCGAGTCCGACCAGCAGCAGTGCAGATGCCCTCCAGCGCAGTCTCGCTCCTGGGCAGCAAGTAAATGGAGACGGAAACATAGTAGGGAAAGCCGTCGGGATGGTCTCTTCTGCTGGAGCGTATTTCGGACTCTGGGGCGGCAGTCCATAGGCACTTTTCGGCGGATATCTTGGAATCAATGTGCATCATTTACTCAACTTTTTCACTCACGACTGTAATGGTTTTCCGACATATATGCCGGGTATTATACAGCAAGTAGTACTAGTTTATAGTGTATTGTAGTGTTACACTGTACGGGGAGTGTTATTCTGCGAACATGTGGCAACTTTTTTATTGATCGCAATTCCACACTGTTTTGTGGCGATACACCGTATGTACCTTGCATGATGCCAGTCGCATCAAGAGTCGTATGCTCCCGCCGGTCGTACGATAATCGTCTTGCACCTTGCACCTGGCACCTGGGACTCCCCCTCAGCTAAATAGCCCCGTGATATGCTTAGACTCCGATTCGTCCTGAGCCGATCTGCATCCCTGCGAGCGATGTCGACCCTTCCAGCCTCATCTGTTCCACTTCTTGTCTCCGCTGCCGCGTTAAGGACATGGCGTGAAACAGCCAGGAAGCAGGGTAAAACCGTGGGCTTCGTGCCGACGATGGGCGCGCTGCACGATGGGCACATGTCGTTGGGTACGCCAGAATCCCTGCTCCCGGGCAGTCTAAAATCTGAAGAACCCAGTCCGCAGATCATTAGCCGAAAACGACCTCACTGTGCTATCGATCTTTGTGAACCCAGCCCAATTCGCACCGCACGAGGACCTCGCGACGTATCCACGCACGCTGCCTCATGATCTCGAGGCTCTTTCCAAGCAGAGTCTGCAGATCGAAGGGTCTGAGATCCGCAGACCCTCCGCAGTGTTTCTGCCCTCTGTGGCGGAGATGTATCCGTCCGGAATAAACCAGGACGTCGCACAGCAAATGGGCACGTTCGTCGAGGTGAAAGGGTATGGGGACGAGATGGAGGGTAAAAGCCGGCCTGCGTTCTTCCGCGGTGTCGCGACAGTGGTCACGAAACTGTTCAATGTCGTCGAGGTGATTTGATCCCTCCGAAGGTTGGGCCAGAGCGTATCTGACGAAACGGTAGCCAACCAATGCGTACTTCGGCCAAAAGGACATCCAGCAATGTCTCGTTCTCAAACGGATGTGTGGTGATCTTCTGCTATCACATCCAGATCCAGCGCATCTGAAGATCGTCCCGACTGCGCGTGATCCCGCGGACAACCTTGCACTATCGTCGAGAAACGCTTATTTGACGCCGGAACAGAGACAGATCGCACCGGTGCTGTACCGTGCCTTGACCGCCGCTCAAGCCGCTTGGGAGGAGGGCCTGTGCAAGTCTGATTGCCTGGAACGGGCATTTGCGATCGTGCAGCAGGTCGCTCAGTCGAATGGTGACGTGCGGATGGATTACATTCAGATGAACGATTCGAGTACGTTGCGGGTGCTTGATGATGCAGCGACGACTGCGCCCGAGATGAATCCGGTGGTCTTGAGTGGGGCAATCTGGGTCGGTAAGACTAGACTGATAGATAACATTGTACTAGGAGACATTGACGCGATCCGATACTAAACGGACTCAGGCTGCGTGCTGGTGAAGCCGTGCGGTGTACTTGACCAGTTGCTCGACCGCGGATTAGATCTAGAATGAATTGATGTGCCGCATCACAGATGACGGCAGGCGAAGTCGCGTCCCTTTCTCTCAACCCTCACCAGACCCGCTTCTTCGGTGTTCATGAACCATTCGAGTTCGGATACGACCATCCACTCGAAGGAAGAAGTATCTGCACCTGCTCCAGTCGTCGCACCCTCTCCTGATCCCAATCCATGGGAAACTGGCGTGCACAAACCAGCTACCGGGACTCGCGAAGAGACGACGCCTGTGGAAAGACCACCTTTGACGACACCAGACTACACGCAGCTCGACGAGTCGTTCCAAGGGTTTGAGGCGGAGTCTCCCGTTGGCGATACCAACCCTGCCGTCTCCGAACAGGTTCTGTCCGAATTCGATCCCCTCGCGGACCAGCATGAAGTGGCTGCTAGAGAAGCATGGGAGAATTCCGAGTCACATCCACCCCCGCCTCGCACCCCGTCGCCACCGCCGCCTCCTCCAAGAGAACCCACACAACCTGAAACACCCACCACTGGTGCTTCGCAGTCGCCTTCAACCTCTGTCTTCTCTCCTTTCAGTGCCCTCGCGCGATCTCTGAATCCGCTGAATCCCATCCGCTCGCGATCAAGACCAGGCTCGATGGATATCGCTCGGCCCGTCCCCTCCCCGTCCACGCTCTCCGCGTTTGTCGAGCAGCAAACGCAGCCACCCAAGCCTGCGCCAGCAATCGAAACCACTACGATCGTCACGACATCGACTTCCACATCAAGGAGCAGCACGCCCGCTGCGAGCTCGTCGTCGACGGATCCGCCTCCGTTTGACTTCCAGAAGTTCCTGGACCAGATGAAGTCAAGGCACGCAGAGATCGTTGCAAAGTACCTCAAGTCGTGCGTCGGCTTCCAATCTCCACGTCCATTGTATATGCTCAGCCCTTCGACTAGATTTCTTGGCAACTTCGCAAAGAGGACCTTCACTGTCAACGACCAGATCAAGATCATCAACGATTTCCTCAACGTCCGTCTCTATCTCATACAACTTGATTCGTACTTTGTGAGACTGAAGCATATGCAGTTTATTGCCAAACCCATGCGAGAATCCGAATTATGGAAGAACGCATCCGAAGCTGAATTCGAGAATGCGATGGAGGGCATGGAGAAGCTCGTGATGAATCAGTTGTACCAGTTGTAAGTGGCCTGGCTGCTCTTCCTCGGTCCACCTCACATTCCGCTAGCACCTTCACGCCCGAGGTTGCGAAAGTGGTGCCACGAAGACAGATCACGGCGGATGATCTAGAACGCGATCGGGTCTTGACCCAGCGGATAGCGCTGTTTGGCTGGATCAAGGAGGAACACCTCGATATCCCCACGGGGGAGGGCAGCCAGGGTTTTATGATGTTTGCTGAGCAAGGTAATGTTTGGAATCCGTATGAATCTGACCTGACATCGCGTTTCCAGAGCTCATGAAAGTGAACCACTACAAGGCACCGCGGGATAAGCTTATTTGCATACTAAACTGCTGCAAGGTCATCTTTGGTTTGCCTTTCTGCTATCCGATTCCGCTTATGAGCTTGATTCGATGTGCAGGCCTGATCCGACATCTGAAGAAGGACGAGGGCGCTGACTCCTTTGTTCCCATACTGATATTCGTCGTTCTGAAGGCCAACCCAGAGCATCTGCTGTCCAACGTCGAGTTAGTGAGATCCCATCCTGAGCTGTAGAAGCAGCATTTGACCTGATGACCCAGATTCATAAACCGATTCAGGAATCCAACAAAGCTACAAAGTGAGGCGGGTTATTATCTGTCCAGTCTTGTGCGTGTTTTTCGAGTGCAATGTCTTTTCCCTGATCCCTGGTAGATGGGTGCCGTCTCATTCATCGAGACCATGGATCACACATCCTTGTCCAATATCACGCAGGAAGAGTTTGAGGCGTGAGTGCGTCTGTTTGCTTCGGGACTCAAGGCTTAAAGCGGGGCACAGAAATGTCGAGGACGCGATCGCAGCTCTACCAGAGCCAGATTCACCAGCCATCCGTCACGCCGTCCCTGAAACGGTGTATCGCCCGAGTCCGGCTTCCTCTGTTTCGCATGAAGGAGACGAGTCTGCCGAGCCGCTTTCTATCGCTACACCGGCGCAGATCATCTCTGAAGATGCCCGGCGTTTGCTTCAGAAGACGGGAGACACCATTTCCAAGCCGTTGAACGCCTTGAGCCGGATCTTCAACGAAGCACTTGACAATGCTGAAGGCAAACTGCAGTACCTTCCCGGCCCCTTCGCACCATTTGAATTGGGCCGAGAACAGCGACAGCAGCAGCATCAGCCAAACTACTACTATGACGGCCACGTGCCGCAAACACCGGCCGGCGATGGATTCGCACCCCCGATTCAAACTCCGTACAAGCCTCGGGTGCGGCGGATACCTTCCAGTGCGTCCGGATCGATGCGAGGCACTCCGCCGGGGACGCCGGGCCCAGACGATACTCCCTCGCGGGCACAGAACGCTCTTGTCCCGCCGCGGCTGCAGTCTCTGCACTCGCCCGGAGTGTCGAGGACGCCCACACCGAATCTGGACCTTGTGGGGATGCAGGCCCAAATTGACTCCGCGCACAATCAGGCGGCGCAGGCGGCCAAGGACACTTTGGTGCAGATTTTCCCGGGGGTAGATCAGGAGGTCATCCAGTGGGTTCTCGAGGCCAACCAGGGCGATCTCGGAAAGAGTATTGAGGCTCTTCTGGAGATGAGCAGCGGCGATTAGGTTTCTGTTTAGTTTACTCTATTCTATGCCCTGACATATCTCCTCCGGAACTTGTCGTCGACGCTGTGCAAATAGTAGGCACCGGGCGAGATGTTGTCTACCGAGCCCACAGGCGTGTAGGATGATGCGTTGGAATGCAGTTCCCGCAGCTGAAAGCACTCGTCAATGACATGCCATGCTACTTGGACTGCAGATCACTCACGTGCAGGCCTTCGGTAAACTCTTTGCATGAGACGACCTTCATGCTCGCAAGCCTGTTGAGCAGATCCATCCTCTGCCGTATCTCGGAAGTATCCCCGACTACTTTGAGTGTGAAGAAACTGGCAGCGCAGCCGCCCCCAAATGCATACAAGCTCGCGCGTTTGCCGAGCAGGTCTGCGGGAGCGACCGAGGAAAGCAAGGATGCGAGACAAGCATAGAGCGAGCCCGTGTAGAGATTGCCGAGGCGCCGGGAACAAGCCATTGTCGGATCGACTTTCTCAGTAAACGAGGGCTTTCCGATCTCGATGAACAATTTCTCGACGTGCTTCTCCATCGGCGACATGCTGTAGTCAATCGCGTGCGCGGCTGCGAACTGCGGTGCGCCAGGGTCGGCGAGGAAGTCGTTGTAGAGCATCCGGGCGTGACCTTTGACTGTCTGCTTCCCGTAAGGGCTGTGGAAAAGGGCGTAGTCTACGTCTTCTAGCGAGAAATGATGTCCCTGGTGGGCCAGTTTCCTCTTGAAGCAGGCGTAGGAGGCATCGAAGGCTTGCAGATATGTCGCGATCGAGCCCGGTCCGTCAACATGGGGATACTCGGACGCAAGTTCCGGCTTGTAAAAATCGTACGTGTCGGCCATGTATGATCCGTGCACCGCTGCAATGCATGTAGGATGAATGAAGAGCATCCCCAGCTGGAAAAATGCTGAGCTCACGATCGAAGACAACTGGCGCATCGGGCCCAATCAGCATCGCGACTGCGCCCGCCCCTCCCGCAGGTCTTGCGCTCCCGTCCGCGTAGACCGCGATGTCCCCTGCGACGACGATCGCATTGCGCCCGTCCCACGAGGAGGACTCGATCCAGTTGATGGCGTTATATAGAGCGGCTGTGGATCCGTAACATGCATTCTTCGAGTCAATCCCCTCGATGTCGTGGTTGCCGCATTCGGCAAAGAGGCTCATCAGCACGGACTGGACGGACTTGGATTTGTCGATGATGGTTTCGGTGCCGACGTCGATCCGCCCGATAGACCGTCTGTCGATTTTGTACTTTTCCAGCAGCCCGGATACGGCTGGAAGAGTTGATTTGAGGTGAGTACAGAGTGGCCATGAATTGCACCGGGACGACGTGCCATTGAGTGCAAATGAGTTGATGTCTTCTCGGTCGTCGGCCCAAGCCATAAATTCCTGGCCCAAGCCGATCGTGTATTTGCCCCTGGAAACGCCATTGTAATCCTCGAGTTCAGCTTCGGAAATGCACTATAGAAGAAGAGACAGATGAGATCACGATGCACAGATACTCGAGCACGAACGCGGAGTGGAAAGTACATGTCCATAGCCAGGACGCCGACGTTCTTGGGACGGGGGAGTATCGCCATTTTTGCGTTCTGTGCCGATGCTGACCACTCCCACCTGTTCATATATAGCGCATTGATTTGTCCGAAAATGAGACGACATACAGATGACACCACCGCTCTGGCCTGGTCGATTATCAAGTGGAGATGCTTATACCCTCAAGTCACCATCGTGTGATCTCCGACCCGGACTATGTGGACCAGGGGAGATGAACATCCAGGCTGCACACGGCGGCTCTCGCACTCGGCGGAAGTCGGGTCGAGCCCAGATGCTTACGCGAAATCCCGTCTCGGCAGGTAATCAAGGGCGGGTGCTGTCTGTCCCTGGTCGGTGCAAGTACGGCGACCGCACATAGAAAGGTTAGAGCGGGCTCTGTAAAAGCGGACTCTGTAGGCTTGCAGTCTCGGAAGAGTAACGTTTTGTGAGACAGACTCGAAGATCTGGAGCTGCGGAGAACGTTCTAGTAAACGGAGTATCCGAAAGGCTGAAAGTCGGTCGAGAAGCTAGCAGGCCAATAGCAGACAGCGAGGCAGAACACTGACTGGGAATATCGAGGTAGCCCCACGATATAAGAATGTCGGTCAAGTCGGTCGGAAAGGAACTATACGCGGTGAGTGATGCCGAGTCAAGTCACAATGCATTTGCATAAAAGTTGAGACTGGAAGGTGCGGTGCACTGGAGCTCAAACTTTGTAGATGCACCGAAATGTTCTGTTCAAGTCACTGAAGTCTGGTCGAAATTCACGAGGCAGATTTGCAGCGATGACCTACTCTAATCCAGATGAGATAACACAATTCAATCAGCTTTGGTGCGACGCAGCCGGCGCCTTTCCCATTCAGATCTCCAGCGGAGCCACTCTGTCTCCCTTCCTCCGTCTGCCCAGACGTCCCATCCATCGCGGAGCTGGAGCCACGTGCATACCGGGTTTTCCAGCAGGAATACCTTGATCTGGCCTAGCGTCGATTCCGGCCAGTGACGTGGTACCCACTCGGAACACGTGTACACAAAGACCCCGAGAAACGCGCCGATACCGAGGCCCCAGAGGATCTGCGGCACACTGTGATACTGGAGATGATACCTGCCCTCATTGCGTCAGCACCGGTGTGCAGGAGAGCCAGATGCCCGTACCGGGAATACGCCACCGCTAGCGCCCAAGCCAAGATTCCGGTATAGACCACAAACCGCCACGCGTTGTCCAGCAGCCTGTTACCGCTCGACGCAAATCGGTGCCTGGTGTGCAGATGCAGCATGAGGAATGACGCAAAGTAGCCCATGTACTGGCTATGCGAGGACGGAAAGCCATATCCAGTTGCAAGACTGTCTGGCTCGACGGTGAGCATCAGTATATGCCCTCTGAGACCGCAAATTGGAAACACACACGAAGGTCGTTGCTCCTTGATGGCATGCTTCAAGACAAGGTTCAGAGCCTCGCCGGCAAACTGCCCCGCCCACATGACGAGGATCACATATTCACGCGTCTGGAGCGCCAGCGCTGCATATGCGGGCTATACATGAAACGTAGAGTCAAGGCCACGCGAGTGCTTCATGACGAGTCATTCACCATTAGAAGGATCGGACTCAGAGTGACCAGCGCGAGACCCAATGAGAGGAAGGACGAGTCATCATCTGTGGAAGCGGGGAGACGCGTTACAAGAGGTTTTCTAGGGGAGTAAAGCTAGACGCTACACAGTACGTGTGTGAGGTCCAGAGATGACACCTGGTTCACCATGTTCAATTTTGGCAAGGTGAAAGGGAACGCGACTGTGACGTGACGTATATTAATCAGTGATCGTCACAGTGGCACTGTACACCGCGCGCCGTCAATGGCAGAGCGATGCGAAGATTCTGATCTGCGCACCTTTTGCGCGCGCCCATCATGCACTTATCGTTACCACTCAGACGGTTTCGTCTTTCCTTTCACCACTTCCTTGGCTGCCAACCGCACAGCTTATTTTCCCAATCGGGCAAATCTTTCTATCCCGAGTCATTAAAACAAAGGAAGATTTCGTCTTCTCGAGTCACGCTTCCCGGTACCGCCCCCTTTGCTTCGCAGCGCTCATATATCACTGCGGAACCCTCGTCCCTTCACCTTCAACCTACCTCATCTTTCTTCCAATCCTGGCCTCATACGCCCACCTCGCGCAACAAGTCCTGTCGGCTTTGAACGGCAATGTGGTCAACTCCACCGACGCGGACGCAGCGACGAATGGGACCTCGGCGGCGGGCCTCAATCTGGCCAGTTTCGCGAGTGTGAAAGACCTATCGTCTTTGGTCGCCTTGCTTTTCTCCTTTGGCGCCCTCCGAGACTGGGTCAAGATCCTGATCTTCGGCAGTCTGCTGGAGACGTTACGTCGAGTGGCGTTTGCCACGTACTACAAAGCCATCGCCTCCTTCTGGATCACGGCGCGGTTCGATGAGAACGATAGCAGCTACGATTGGATGATGGTATGGCTGTCCAAGCAGCCGTCGTGGTGTGCGTCTCCTTCCTCGTTCCTGTTAGCGATCTCGCGCTCATCCTGTTTTCAGCGAAAGCGCGCGAGGTTGAGATCTCCACGAGAAGTTTTGGGCTGAACAGCAATGCGGTCTTGATCGAAGGAGAGGAAGACGAGAAGAACTTGTCGCAGCTCTCCACCCGCAGGCTCGCATACCTGCCCTCCCCGTCAACATCGTATTCCATGTGGTACCATCACCGATACATGGCTATCTCACGTGTGCAGTCTAAGACGGGATACTATGGGAAGACCGAGGACAGCCTCGAAATCAGGTCTGTCATGCACTGCGGCTCTATATCAGAATGCCATGCTGAACGAGATTGTTCAGCATCATGGCCCGTTCGCACCGGGTTCTGAACGAGCTTCTCCTGGAAGCTAAAAAGCAGTACATGGCGGCGGAGGAGCAGTTCATCTCTGTCTATATCTCCGACTCGAGTAACAGCTGGCGCCATGTGGCCTCGCGTCCCAAACGGAGCCTGGTGCGCCACTTCTTTTTCGACATGCAAGATCTATCTTCAACTGTGCACAGAATTCTATCTTCCTGGACCCTGGTGTTGCTGAGCTTCTGGTTGAAGATGCTCGCGATTTCCTTGACAGCAAGTCCTGGTATGCTGACAGAGGTATTCCTTTTAGACGTGGGTATCTGCTGGTACGTCCTCTCAAATCCCGCTCTTGCTTTGTTGACTGACTGGGATTGTATTTTTAGTATGGTGCCCCTGGTTCTGGCAAGACGTCAATCATCTCTAGCATCGCTGGTGAACTGGGATTGGATGTCTACATCGTGTCATTGTCACGTGTGGGACTCGACGACTCGTCCCTGAGTGAACTGATCTCCAACTTGCCTGGTGCGTAGATCTATTAGTACCTGGATAACACCATTGCTAAATGCGTGTCTATAGAGAAGTGCATCGCATTGATGGAGGATATCGATGCAGCATTCACGCAGAGCATCACGAATCGCGATGCCGTCCAAAGTACGGAGAATGATTCTGAAGGAACCGAGGGCAAACCTCCTCCTCCCACGGCGGCGCCACCACCCACCACCAGTCGACTCAGTCTCAGTGGTCTGCTGAATGCGATAGATGGGGTTTCAGCTCAGGAAGGACGTATTCTCTATGCGACGACAAACAAGTACCAGTCGCTTGACCCTGCTCTCTGCCGGCCGGGCAGGATGGACATTCACGTCGAGTTTCGGCTGGCCAGCAAGTACCAGGCGCGCAAGTTGTTCTACTCGTTCTACCTGCCTGAAGAACGCGACAAGTCCTCGAAGTCTTCCAAGTCTCCCAAGGCTGATGAGAAAGCTGAGAAAGAAGGGGAAGCTGACGATGACTCGGGCTACAACTCGACGTCCAACACCGACGCAGAGGTCGAATCGACTCCGTCTGAAGATGGGTCCACTCCTGATCCTGAAAAGCCTGTCTTCTTTGGCACATCCCACCGTGAACACGCGCCCAAGCTGCAGAAGAAGCAGATCACGCGGTTGGCCGAGCGATTCGCCGATGCGATCCCTGAGAGAGAGTTGTCCATGGCAGCCTTGCAGGGCTATCTGATGACACACAAAATCCGCCCGCACCAGGCAGTGCAGGATGCCGCGGCCTGGGTCAATTCGGAGCGGGAGGCGAAGGCGAAGACCAAGACCAAGACTGACAACCAGGCTGCGAAAACTACTACTGATGACAAATCATGATTCCGGACTGCTCAGCACTCGCAATGTGTACTACAATGTATACCTGTATCATAGCATATGAGACATTTGCCTACCAACGATGATGACGCCCGAAATGTAAACGATGCCCGTGCGATGTGCATTCATTCATCTCTGACAACTCACTCTGGATCGCAGTGACAGGGACAGTTTGTCCCTGATGGTTTCGTGCCTTTCCATGCAGCATCATTTCCGCACGTGATATGCCGAGACATCATTATTGATGTGTCAGTGATTGCAGTTGTGACCTCGGAAACAGTCCCTGTAATACACATTTGTCGCCATTCTCCGCGATCAGGACAGGAAGTTTATAGGGAAGGATGTCCAGAAGATATAGCAGTCAGCAGGCTGACGAGTACAAGTCATACCCCTTGACAGCGTAGGCAATCTTGTAATTCGAATGACGGAAATGTATATGATAGCATCATCTGGCAATCACGGCAATCAGACATAGTTTGAAGTCCCTCCCTGTGCCTAAGTATATCATACAGTCACCATTCAACGTGCGTGGACGGGACATGCATATACGAATCTCCAGGGCTATCGGTGCCGTACCTGAGCCGGACGGATCGCAATTTTCTAGCTCAACGAACAAGCCTGAACAAGTTGTTCGAAGCTAGGGTCGCCGCTTTACAGACGAGATCCATGCGCATAAACTTTGACATCATCGCGGCAATTCGCGTTGATATAAAGTGGCATCAACCCCAATTCCCCGAGTATACCCACTCTTCACCATGGCTCACACTATTAAGGAGATCCCCACGAAGCCCTTCGACGGCCAGAAACCTGGCACGTCCGGTCTGAGGAAGAGGTTTGTCGATCTCGCCCCCTCTGTCGTGCCCTTGGCCATCAACTAACGCGTCTCATAGGGTGAAGGTGTTCCAGCAGGAGGTTAGCCCATCCCTGACGCGTCCTTCACCGCACTCTCTAATGCCATCTCCAGCACTACACGGAGAACTTTGTCCAGTCCATCTTCGACTCGATCGAGCCCAAGGGCGCGACGCTTGTCATTGGTGGCGATGGTCGTTTCTTCTCCCCTGAGACCGTCCAGACGATCCTCAAGATTGGCTCCGCCAACGGTGTGGCCAAGTTCATCGTCGGCAAAGACTCGATCCTCTCCACGCCAGCTGCTTCGAACATCATCCGCAAGTACAAGGCCTATGGTGGTATCCTGCTCACGGCCAGCCACAATCCGGGTGGCCCCGACAACGATTTTGGTATCAAGTACAACGTCTCGAACGGTGGGCCTGCGCCCGAAAATGTCACGGATAAGATCTACGAGAAGACCAAGACGATCGCGTCGTACAAGGTTATCGAGGCTGCCCCGGTGCGCAACATTTTCATGATTCCGACGCGACACGATGCACTGACGAACGTGCGCAGGTCGACCTTTCCACTATTGGTGAAGTCTCGTACGGACCTTCGAAGGTGCAGATCATCGATTCAGTTGCTGATTATGTCGTTCTCCTCGAATCGATCTTCGACTTCCCACTCATCAAGTCGTTCCTGTCTTCCCACTCCAACGACTTCCCCGTCCTCTTCGATGGTCTCCACGGTGTTACTGGCCCGTACGCCAAGGCGATCTTCATCGACGTCCTCGGCCTCCCCAAAACGTCCGTGCAGAACTGCATTCCGCTTCCGGACTTTGGCGGAGGACACCCCGACCCCAACTTGACCTACGCGCACAGCCTTGTTGAGGCGGTCGAGGAGCACGGCATTCCGTTCGGTGCTGCGAGTGACGGCGACGGCGACCGCAACATGATCTACGGCAAGGGCGCGTTCGTGACGCCGTCCGATTCGGTCGCCATCATCGCTGACTGGGCCGACACGATTCCCTACTTCAAGAAGGGTGGCGTGAAGGGATTGGCTCGCAGCATGCCGACGAGCAAGGCCATCGATCTCGTGGCAAAGAAGAAGGGTTTCGAGTACTTTGAGGTTCCCACTGGTACGCATGGCTACCGAGCTGGCCCCGCGGATTGTATTGAGGATGCTTTCTAGGCTGGAAGTTCTTCGGCAACCTCATGGACGCTGGAAGACTTTCTATTTGCGGTGAAGAGTCGTTTGGAACGGGTTCGGACCACATTCGGGAGAAGGATGGTCTCTGGGCTATCATGGGTGCGTCTAGACTGGGATACCCGAGCTTCGTTGACTGGTATGGTAGCATGGCTGAACATCCTTGCGGCGGCCAACGCTAAGTCGCCGAACAAGCTGGTCGGGATCAACGACATCTTGTTGGAGCATTACACCATCTATGGACGGTCATACTTCAGCCGATACGACTACGAGGAGGTGCCTTCCGCGGGTGCCAACGAGCTTGTTGCCAACCTCAACAAGGCCCTCGAGAGTGGCTCGTTCAACAACACGACTCATGCGTCTGCATCCACGGGAACCAACTTCACTGTATCTGGACTGTACAACTTCGCATACACCGACCCCATTGACCACTCCGTATCCAAGAACCAGGGACAGGTCATCACCTTCTCCGATGGCTCACGTGTCGTCTTCCGGCTCAGCGGCACTGGCAGTCAGGTGCCACTGTGCGCATGTACGTCGAGCGCTATGTGGCGGCGGAGGCTGGCGAAGCTGCGCTCAAGGCCGATGCCGCTGAGGGTCTCAAAGGTCTGATCGAGGTTGCACTCGAGCTGAGCAAGCTGAAGCACTATTTGGGGGTCGACAAGCCCACCGTCATCACTGTGAGTGTGTCCGCACATCCAGTCGTTGATCCGCTGACATGCGCTCTAGTAAACACAATGTAGCATACCATCACTTAGATTTTCGGAATGATTGAGGTTCAAAAACAAAAGCCCAGTACAGACAAGAAACAAACAGACAACACTACACCCAACGTAAGGTCTACAACAGAAGGTCCATGATACAGTACAGATACCCAGATATTCAAGTTCGAGAATCGGAGGGGGCAGCGATCGGTTGGCCGAACGGGACAGGGAACGGCGGAGGATGAGAGCCAGGAGCCACCGGCCACGGCAGGATGTAGTAGCCGCCAGCGGGTGGCTGTGGCCCAGACGCTGGTCCGGAGACGACCGATTGGATGGGAGGAAGCGTAGTTCCCGACGACGAGGCCTGAGGCTGAGCTGGCGCACGGGGCCGCGTCGTTGCTACGAACCGGTGTGGGTAAGTGTCAAATATGTGCAAGCAGCGGGGCAAGGCGCACGTTCACGTGCAAGGCGCGTTCGATGATTGCACACCTCGGCACCGTCTTTAGCGCAATTACGGCACAGTTGGTCCCGGCATTCGGACTTGCGACGTCCACAAGGTCCACACGGCCGACTGCCATCACAGCGGACTTTGTTGCGTCTAGGATCGAGTTAGACTGTAGTTTGAAAACAACGGGCACGACCAAACTCACCGACAACTCGTACATGCCTGAGGAGCAGTCTCAGAGATTTGAAAAGACGAGCGAACGAAGATACTCACGGCCTTGACACGCGTCCCGGTGGTTCGCACCGCTTGGCGGACTCCAGTGGTGTTGCAATCGACATTGGCCGCGACGCAAGTCGAGCACGGACGTCCCTCCTCGCAACGAGCGTTCTGCTTCCGGCACTCGTCGCAGCGCGGCCGGCCGGGCTCCCGGGGTGAAAGGACTGCCGGGACGCAGGTCTCCGAACGTGAGACACACCGGGCGCAAGGCCGCTGATCGTCGCACTGAACATAAGAAGTCAGCCGCCGAGTAGCGCTACGGCTTGTTCCAGACACCTTCTTGTTATCATTCCTGCAGGTCTGGCAGGCAGCCTTGACTCTCTCTGACAGGCTGGCGGGCTCGGATCCAACAGTAGGCGGCAGCGAGACGTCCTCAACACACTCGATCCCCTCTGCTACGCAACGCTTGCATGCATCGCCCTCCCTGTAGTGGAGAAGCAACCGCGTGCTGTGTTTAGCAAGAGTACGGACGAAGCCAGAAATCAGACGCACTTCTCACACCGGGCCCGCGCCTTCCGGCAAGCCTCGCACCCATCGAGACATTGCAAGCCCTTCTTAGTGCACCCGCTGCACGGTTTCGCTCCATCACACCGAACTTTGTCCCGTCTGAGGGCGTGTTTAGAACGGAGGGCAAAGAATCAAGATAATGCATAGCCGCGGCCAACCTGCAATTCGAACAAGCCTGTCAAATCATAGATATAAGCGTACAGCTGCTGGAGAAAAAGGGATGTTTGCCACCTTGGCTGTTCTACGTGGCCAGGACGTCTCCTTGGGAGGGGAATCGGGCGGAGCTGGAGGGGAGGGAGCTGGAGCCTCCATAATCGGTTGATGGTCGGAGGGATGGAAGTGCGCGACCCCGTGACACATGCGCCATCAGATACCACTTTTCACTCGCGTCGAGTGGAGCGTCAAGCAAACGAGTACAAGCGCGAAGAAATCAATTCCCACAACGCGAAAACATATGTATCTAGTACATTGGTGATAGAGAACCAGCTTCATGTGACTAGCAGATGAAGAAATACAACAACCCAAAGCGACAGTGATCCGTGTTTCTAGTTTTCTAGAGAGAGAGAGTGATGTGGTTAGTTTGTGGGTGTAGTCGGCCATGCGATTCATGAAGATTCGTAGACAGAGACATAGTTAAGCATCCATTTGGCGACTGCAAGAGATGAGTTGGCCATCAACAAGCGAGGCAATCCACTGCTTACGATCGTAGTTGGACGGGTCAGCGACGGCATTGGCGCAGGCGGTGGAGCCGCCCTGGAAAACAGCGCCGTCCCAGTCACCGCATAGGGTGGTGTCGAAAGTCATGACCATGTTCGAGAAGTGTGACGCAATTTGGCAGGCTGACGACGAAAAGAACGCGGCAGGCTTGCCCCAGTTGCTTGGGTTTGGCTTCTGCGCCGTGATATCACTCGGCATGGCATTCCTCTCGAAGTGCCAGATCTTGATCCCGGAGTTGTCAACAAGGGTTGCCCAGGCTCCGCCCTAGTGCGATGATAAGAGACGTGACCAATCTAGTTATGGAAGGACGGACCGCGGCCAGGTTGAATTCGTGGCCATATGTCTTCGGGTTAGCGTCGGTGATACCACTATGGGAACATGAATGCTAGATTACAGTCAAAGATCACATGACGCACCATCCATTGTTGTTACTGCCCCCACTGGTGCAATCAGTTGTGCTTGTGTGCGCGCCAGTGAATTCGTGAACGAGCGAGGTAGCCAAGGAACAGCCCTCAGAGGTGTGCAAGGTCATCTGGTTGGTGGAGGCGTCCTCGACACCTTCAACGATGTCGATTTCACCACCGAGAGGCCAGTTGGGGCCGACCATCCAGAAAGCGGGCCATACTCTGGGATGGAACATCAGTATCCAAGCAATAGGACACTCCGCCTGAGCTCACGTTGGTCCGTGAGGCATGGCCCATGCATCTATAAGAGGTCAGCTATCAGACGAGTCGCCACACTAGCACGCACCCATGATGAACAACCCCTGGTTGTACGACTTGGGCGAGCTGATGCGGACCCTTTGACGCGTCAGCAATAGGCAGCGGGAGGAACAGACAGCACTCACGAGTCGCGCTTCTGGCCTGGCTTGAGCTTCGTCGTGTTATCGACAGCGAGCACAGTCGTTCCGTCTTTCTGGGTGAAGGCGAGGTTCTTGGCTTGAGCCTCCTGCGCAGTAAGATAGTTGACAGCGCCGTGTGTCGGGTCAGCGGCAGAGAAAAAGTCCCATTTACTGGTCACAGAGTCAATCGTGGCTCGCGAGCATCGGCACGGCGGCGTACAGAAAATCCGTTCCGTTAAAGTGATCCACCAATTTGAAAGTGCTGCGCTTGCTGAGATCGCGACGGTGTGCGTTCACAGAGCGGATGTCGTGAGGTGCGGCGAGAGCAAGGAGGGGTAGAGAAAGTGTAGCGAGGAGAGAGAAGGATGGCATGATGGGAAGTGTCGGATGTCGCGGGGGAAGGGATGGTTAAAAGGGAGAGGGAGGGGGAAGGCCAAAGGATGGACACAAAAAGAACGGGGAGAACAATGGATCTTCATATACCGGGTAGATTTGATGGCATTTAGTCATTATCACAGCCCCCCGGACGCCGCCCGCTTTGCGGCTCTGCGTGCGGAATTGCCGTGGAGACCAGTTGGAGATCGTTGGAAACAAATATCCCATAGAACCTCTCGCCCACGTGCTGATAGAACTGAGAAACAACCAGTGCACACGTCCGAAGTTGAGAGTGGAGTGATGGCAATAGAGAAGGATCCCGATCTAAGAGCAAGTCCATCCAGGGCTCCATCGCTCAGTCCGGGAGTCGGGGCCTAGAGGCTAGGCGGGCTTGAGTTGCTCCGATTCTTGACCCACGTTGTTTGCGACAGGATACTAACGGCTTACCTAACGCCGTCGTGTTGCGGCTAGCCATAGATGATCTTATCTGCTACATTCGATACTGTCACACAGATAATTGTGTTCGTTGAATCGTTCTGGGGTAGGCCGTGGTTGACAACATAAATTAGAGATGAGCAAAAATTCTACGTGTTTGTTGTGCCTCACGGTTTAGGCCAGCAATCGAGCCAGACGCCATCGTCAGTCACTTGTAAAGTTCGTCGCAGCGACGGAGATCTGCGTCTAGGGAGGTCATCGCCGTGTTCTCATCCGAATGAGATCCTGTGCGGAGCTGGCTCAACTCCCCTCAGACTGAGATGAGGATCCTGCCAGTGATTCAACCTGCGCAAGGTGACGTATTGGGTGTTTAACGGCTTACATAATCTCCATCGACTTGAAGGCGACACGGCGACTAATGACACTCAAGCGGGCTGTTGCACAGGCCAAGCAACTCATTCCCCCTCTCGATGGATCGTTGCACAAGGGCCAATCTGGTCCGAATTGCCGCTTGCGGTATTCCAAATAAGTGTTGATTGATTTCAGGCAGAGTTGGAGTGTTGGGCGGTGCTCTAGAGTGAGTTCATGTGTCCATTCGGACGGGCCCTATAAGGAATCTATTAATCTGCCGCCAGTTATACAGGTGCTCCCTTTTTCGCTGCGATAACCGCTCTACGTGTTGTGTGTTTCTCTCTTCCGACTCCTGAAAGTCATTCATGTCATCAATGTACGCAGGGCGCGGATCTTTCGCATGTAATCTGTTCTCCTAGTGCGGCCAGTGCAATCAAATCCTACTCCCCTGATCTCATCGTCCACCCCATCTTACGAGAGGATGTATCGGAGGACCAAGTGCGACCAGAACTCAAATCTATCCTTTCCCGTCTCCATGTGCTTGTGGTCGGACCCGGGCTTGGTCGGGAACCGTACATGCAATCGCTTGCCAAGATGGCTGTATCGCTCGCACGCGCTGAGGGAATGTTCCTCGTTCTGGATGCGGATGCGCTGTGGATGGTCGGACAAGATATCTCCATCATCAAGGGTTACCGTCGAGCCGTTGTCACCCCCAATGTTGCTGAATTCGCACGTCTGAGTGAACAAGTTGGGATCGATCCAAAGACACCAGCCAACGAGCGTGCTGGGTTGGTGTCCCGGGCCTTGGGAGGTGTGACTGTGCTGCAGAAGGGCGCTGCAGATGTCATTGCGGTGGATACGACCGGCAACGCGGCTGATCTGGAGGCGAGCAGCATGGCTGGAGCAGATCCCGAGCGGGAGAAAACACAGCAGCAGATCGAGGTGGATGGTCAGGGTGGAATGAAACGATGCGGCGGGCAAGGAGACGTGCTGAGCGGAACCGTGGGTACGTTCCTAGCGTGGGCCAAATGCTACGAGAACGGTGTCTTCGGGTGAGTCTAATCCCCACCAGTCCAATCTATCTGATTGTTCCACAGCGACAAGTCGATGCCTGCATCTCAGTTCCCGCTGCTTGCTGCGGTCGGTGGCAGCTTGGTCACACGCACTGCCAGTCGACGCGCTTTCCACAAGCAAGGCCGAGGCGTAATCACACAAGACATGCTTCCGGAGCTCGGTCAAGCTTTTGCGGAGATATTCGGGGATGAGGCTCATGGAGAAGATAAAGGAAAGTTGTAAGGGCACAAGAGATCGGCCCTAAATTGTAGTAATAACTTAGCGCACGCGCCCGCCGCACAGGCCAATATGACACACATACATGCAAACAGACGCGAGATCGCGTACCGACAATACCGTATTATTTAATTACGTAAACCTCCAAACAACACCATTCATCATTGTACTACCGCATTCAGTTGCTTGGCTTTGCGGTTACTGGTACTGCATGACCTCTCCCGAGCAGTACGCTCTCTCCATATCTACCTTGCTTTACAAGATCTGACCTTATGACAAGTCTTGTTGTAAAGAAAACGTATCTATCTCGCTCTAAGGTCAGAACAGTGATCATGTCCTCCGTGCAATGTTCATTCTATTCCCACAGCGAAAAGACACCTCTAGCTCAGTGAAGTACGCGATCTGCGCGTCCCTCCACTCAACATCTGACCAAATCTAGCTCCGCGTCTGAAGAGGAAGAGGAAACTGAGGACGTAACGATGTCTGAGGCGACTGGTGTCGTCAAGCCTCCAAGCAAAGTTGCTGTAAAGCCGAACAGCAAAGCTTCAACCATTAAACCCCTCGACGAACCTGCCACCCAACCTGACACTGGTACCCCTGTGTCTGAACCCATAACGACCAAGACGCCCAAGAAGACGGTGTCTTCCAAGGGGAAGGAGATTGCTGCAGTGCGCCCGGTCGAGCTGGCTTCCGTGTACACTAAAACTGATTTGTTTTCGCAGTCTCCGGGGAGGGCACCGAAAAAGGTCGAAGTTCAGTGCGTGTGCCTCTCTTACTCTCCGCAACAGCCACCTGAGAAGGTCTCGATTGCACCTAGTCTTCCCGGACCAGGCCCACGAACGACAGGCAAGACGGAGGCGCCAGGTGCCAGCGCAAAGAAAACTCATATCCGCTCCATGTCCTCGATCAGCTCGCTCAAGCAGGTGGCCGACGACGCCAGTGCTACCGAGTCTCCCTCGTCGAAAAAGCCTGTCTCGTCGGTCAATCGAAAGTCCGTCTGCGTAGTCCGAATCCTGTCTCTCGCATACTCATTTTTAAATAGACGTTTTGCGACGCCGGATACGGTGGATGATGCGACGTCTGTGGCCGAGTCATCGATGGGAGCGGGAACTATCCGCCGTACCGAGGCTGAGCGCATCGAGTATTTCAACAATCAGCCCGATTGTTCAGACATCGAGCCTCACAGTGTCACCTGCACTCGATGCAAGAAAGTGGTGAATCTGGGACGGAAGCAGACGTATCGGGTCAAACCATGGGAAACTCATCGTCAGCGCTGTGATCAGAAGGTTTCAGCCACGGAGTATGTGCAATTCATGACGTATCGTGTTGCTCTGACTGTGCATATCAGAGATGATGCACAAAGCGAGCTCCGATCTGAAGCCGGTACGACTAAGCGCTCCAACACGCGGCACTCCGTCGAGCAACGTAAGGCGATTCTAGAATCGGACGAGCGTGCCAAGACGGTGTTGCCTGACAAAGTCCTGTGCCGGAAATGTGACAAGTGGATTCGTTTGGCGGCCAAGTCAGAATACGCATTAAGCAACTGGAACGCGCATCAGACAAGTTGCGGAGGCGCCGTGTTCGTTTGCATGCCACGTTCCCCGTGTGCTTTGAACGCTGATTCATTCCGCAGGGTGAGCCATCGTGTGGCTATGGCTACACGCAAGATCCAGCTTGTCAACGATTCGCAGGCGAGCAGTTCTGGTCCCCGGCACGTCGACTGTCGTTTTTGCGGGATTACGGTGGAACTAGATGGGGATGCGGACTACACATTGACGAACTGGGAATCGCACAAGCAGACTTGTACGAGGTGCGTGTCTAGGCCGGAGAATGGAAGTCGATCCTGACGGCGGCAGCCCCTCGAAGTCAGGCAGGGCCACGAAAGCACCGCAGGAGCGATCGCCTGCGTCGGAAGAAGCGCCGGAAGCAGAAGCATCACACACCCGTGGAACGAAGCGCGGTTTGGACGAGCCTGACCTCGATGTCGCTGATCCCGATGCACGGGCCCCAAATCGTGCACGCAAAGAATCGTATGAGCCGGTGAACAAGGCGCCGCCGAGTGTGCTGGGATGGTTTCTCATGCCGTTCAAGGCATTCATGCATGGCTACCAGCAGTCTATGGCGTCTTAATTTAATTAGTTACATGATTGTTTTTGTATACATATGGGCGCCAGTTTGGCTGGGACTCCACAGCGCGGAGGACGCACGCATCGTACGTGTTTCCCGTGTGAGCTGTTGCCGCGAGGGCCTATAAGTAAGTCCGCACGAACCACCCATCCTCAGCGATCAACGCTTCTCCCGCCATTTCCTTTTCTTGCCGTGCCCCATTCTCCATTGTAAGTAGTCCTCACGGCCGGCGCAGAGCCCGCGACGCGTCGTAACGCTTCACGTTCTCTCTCTTACGTGTTATCAGCTCAGCCAACATGCCACCCGACACCACGACCGCGTTTTCCCCCACGAAGAGACAGATGCGCGAGATGAAGCTGCGAGAGGACACTATGCTCGAGATACTCAGCCCCGCGCTCGTGCGCTGCCTCGGCTGCGGCGCGAACATCAAGCTGTCGACAAAGAGCGACTTCGACGCGTCGCATTGGACGAGGCACCGCGGCCGGTGCATCAAGAAGACCGTGCGGGAGTCTGCAAGTGCGAGGAGGGACTCAAACCAGGCAAGTCACTCGTCCCGCGTCTCTCCCGGCACTCAGAATTGACACGCCCGACGCCAGTCCGTCACCTCCGCGTCATCCGGGTCGTCGCCTTCGTCCGCTCGGGCACTCACACCGGAAGATGACGACAAGGAGAGTGATGCTACCCAACTGGGCGAGAATTCAGACACACCGCCACTGCCTCCAATTCGGCAATACGACTTTTCCGAGAACCTTCAATGGAAGCAGTGGAGCTGGTCGCAGGTCAAGCCGCGATACTTCCCGATCGCCTGAATGCCTGTTCCTCCCATTCCTATTGTATATACCATACCCTCTACTTCGATATACCACCCCTTGGCTCATCTACGTGCAAATCCCCATTAGTGCATGTCACATTGTAATATATTAGATTGCGTGGATTATTTGGACATTTCAGCGACAGGTTGAGAATCGTCTTCAGGGGGTTGGACTATACCGCTCTGCAGCATCTTTGCAACGACGGGGTCATCGAAAGCTTTACCGCCCCTGGACACGATGTGAGAAGACAGCCAACAGCGAATGCATCGACGCACAAGACGGCCCGGACAACTTGCCCGATGATCAAGCCACTGGCCATGTCGATCCGCTCGATTCCCGGGACACTGTCCCCGCGGGAAGGGCCCACATTTAGGAGCAGCACGGGTTTTCCCAGATCAACAGCGTGTTTCAGCAGCCTGTTCATGTGCTATCGGGAAGAGTCGGGACAGGGAGCATCTGAATCTCACATACCGGAAGGCGGAATAAGTCGCTAATGTCGTTCCCACGATAAGCAGCCGACCGCCTTTCTCGACATCGTGAAATCTAGAACGCGTGTGATGAGAAGCAGAGAGCGGAGTATCAGATGTCTTGCGCACGACTGGTCTCTTATTGGGCCCGGAATCGACTCTCCAAAAAAGACGATCTCTGGTTTATGGATGCTGTTGGCACGACCTTCCGCCTGGCATTCAGGGCATTCGGGGACCACAAAATCACGGTAAACTTGCCCCAGATGCTCAATGGCGACCTGCATGGCCCGATATCAGCAAATGACACATCTGGCAGCAGTCTTGGAAACAACGTACATCTCCGTCCGGATTCGTTCGTAAGCGCTCGCCTGTCCGCTCTGTTTCCTCGGCGAATGCCTTCCACCGGGGATTCGCAACTGATAGCCAGTCTTGGAATGTGACACGATCAACGGTGTGCCCATGCTTGCAGTGTACGTGCTACGTGAAACAGGGGATCAACATGCGCCTATGCTGCGACCGCAGAGACCAACGTGCAGGCTTCCGTGAAGCTCCAGGATGCGACTGTCCTTGATCTCAGGAGACAGATCCAGGGCACGATGGTGGAGACCATCAACATTCTGGATTACATGCTAGATCAACGCGTGCCCGTAGAGTCGTGCGACGAAGCCGGCCGTACCTGTGTGATGATTCTCGGCGCGACGTTCGTGTGCTGCAAAGCCGCCAGCCCGAGATGGGTCGGATTGGGCAGTGCGCGTCGCACCGACGGGTATCCGAGGTAGGAACGCAGCCAGTACCGTTGCCTGAGGACACTTTGAAACGGGGGAGAGACGGGACGAGATAGATTACGGACCGGAAGGTGTGCCCGGAATCAGTCTGATCGACGAGCTGGTGATAGAAAATAGGTCTGCGCGTGTGTTTTAAACGCCCCTCCTGGCATGCAACGTTTCGCACGTACTTGTAGTTTGGATTCATGTACCGTCCATCGCTGCCTCTGTATGCCCTGATCCCGCTGTCTACAGACACACCGGCCCCCGTGAGCACAGTCACGTTTCCATGAGACAGGAATGCGGATACACGTTCGATCGCTTCGTTAACAGAGAACCTTGGCAGAGTAGGGCCGGAAACAACCAGTGGAATCGTAGGCACAGAGAAGCGCATGTATCCGGTTCGCTCCCAGGACGAATCGGGATCACGTGCTTCCCGCGATCGGTCGCTTATTCGAGTTGTCCTACCGGTTGATCATCTACTAGCTCCCCCCACACCTCAACTTGGAGGATGGCCACCATCCGACAAGGTTCTTGCTTGTGCAAGAGAGTGCGCTTCACAGTCCAAGGAGATCCTTTCTCTTATATGGTCTGTCACTGCCCCAACTGCAAGAAGTCGGCGGGGTCTGCCTTCATGACGAACGCGTTCTTCGCCCCGGATGTGAACATCGCTTGACCGTGTCTTCAAAAACCCTCGCTGATAACCCCACATAGAAAATATCCGTGACAGAAGGCGAGGGACTTGTGAAGCAGTACCACGACTCCGACACGACGAGCGGACAAACGCTGATTCGCTCTTTCTGCTCAAACTGCGGGAGCTCGCTGTTCCTTTCCCCAACCAAAGCCGACTGGAAGAGTGTGTGCCCGTCTGCAGTCGACGGAGGTCGAGACTGGGGTGCGTCACTCGCCGGGGGTCTCTGCACTGCTCAATCTGACCGTGTTCGTTCGGATGCTCACTTCAGTGCCCCGTCGAGAAAACAGGACGGATGCCAAGTTTGGATGGGTGCAGCAGCTTCACACTGAGCCCAAACGCAAGTCGGGATCGAAGCTATAGCGGCCAGGAACTCGTATCTGCATGTGATTAATCGAATATTACATCTAATCTTATCCGCCTGACATATCCACTCACGTGCGATGGAAATCCGGAGCTGTTTCACGTCCGAGCGTTGGTCGGTTTCACAATGTCCCTGCTCGCGATCCGCCTCTTGGCCTTATCCGTCTCGTCCAACTTACGATGGGGTTCCGCTGAACTCAAAGCAATACAATACATAGCATAATCCCCTCAGATATGATACACGACTATTCTTGAAAGCATAGCGAGAGCAATATATAGCATCTAGCACGTTAATGAGCATAATTCACTCGTCTGGCTCAGCAGCAGGCACATCGGCCGCATCCGGCTCGGGCTGAGGCGTCGGCGCAGACTTCCGCAGACGCGCCGGCCGCGAGCGTTTAGTTTCCTGGGTCAGCACAGTCAGCACAGAACCCCCTCGCAAAGCCTAGCAGCGAGCGGCACACACACCTCGAATGGATCCTCTGGTACATCGAATACGATCCCAGGTCGCTGTCTCCGGCCCGGCCGCCTGCTCGTTTCGTGGTGGGCTTGCTCCGAAACCCTCCAGTCCTCGGTGGCCGCCCATGGATCTCGCTGCGGCGGCGAGCTGCTCGGGAACTGGCTGCTCTGATGAGACGCTGTCGGCGATCCCATCACTGTGTTTGTCTGTCCGTGTGTAATGAGCATCGGGTCGGCCGACCACACACACAGCAGCTGTGACAGACTTACCGCAGTGCCATCAACTGCATCCATCGAGGCGGTCGACACTCGGTTATATCGCTTGGTCGTGAGGTAGCGGAATGAGGAGAAGACCCTCGAGTTCGGGCTCTTGCGATCTGGCGCTACGGCTTGGGGCTTGGGAATTGTGATCGGCGATGGAGGAACCGCCCGAGGGGTATCCTCGTCCCGGTGCGCAGTGGATCTCGTGTTGCGGCTACTGGGACGATTGTGACTGTAAGGTTCTGGCTCAGATTCATTTCCTGGCTTGGCTCTGAACATTCCGAGGAGACCTTTCCTCTTGGGGTCAGTGGACAGAGACGCCGGCAACGACGTGCGGGAAGCAGTCGGAGGGAAGATAGACTGGGCAAGGGAGGAGGGCGTCTTGAGAATGGACTCTTCAGACGGTCTATGATGAATTGGGGGCACCATCAACGTCTGAGGGGAGGGGTGGATCGACGCGCGACTTTCCGGCCGCACACTCGGCGGTCTGACAACGGGATCTGGAGCGACCGGTCCGGGCGAAAACAAAGCAGAATCCGCAGGCGGAAGCTGGGATTGCTGACCGTTGACAAGGGGTGTATGTCTTTCCGCCACAAGGGAAGGAAAGAAAGGCCGTTCAGGTTTGGAGGAGCCAGAAGCAGCTTTCGTGGACAATGGCTTGACCGAATTATGCAGCGGAGACACTCTCTCCTTGTCTGACGCGCGCTGGTGCAGCAGAACAGACGAAGGACTGGATGTGTGTCTCGAAGAGTCTTTGGACGGTGTCTTCATGACCGGAACAGGCACCAATTCTCTCTTCGAACGGCTGGGCCTGTCATCACGGTCCCGCTCGAGCTTCGGTCGAAGAGGCTTGGGATCAGCCTCTGCCCGTCTGGAGTTCATCAACGGCGGAGAATGCTTGGTGCGGATGTCGGAAACACGAGATCCCTCTTCCCTCCTTCTGGACTTGGACGACGGCCTCTCATCGGACGAGGACTCGGGATGGGTTCGGGAGAGAAGACTGGATTCGGTCGCATGCCGGGCAGAATGATCTGAGGCTGTCTTGGGAATGCCATGCAAAGGCCGTTGTTGAGGGGCAGATGTCTTGGGTGCTTCAGACTGCATGGATGAAGAAACCTCTGGCTTGGGTGCCGCGCGAGCTGTGGACTCCGATGTCGGTTGAATGACAGTATGGAGAACGGACGCCGGCGCTCTCTCAACAGCTGGGCGCAACTGGGTATCCGACAGTCGGGCCTCGTAGCTGGTAACCAGCTGCGATACCCTGTTCTCTACATTAGAACTGGAGTTGGCCACAGGCGGTGCATAGAGTGAAGGATAGGAAACAGAATCTCGACCATGAGAGACTATATGTCCGGCCATAGTGCTCGAGAGAGGTGGTCCATCTGAGCGAGCAGGCCCTTTATGCACTGGATCGGCACTGCTCAAACTGGGCGGGACTTCGTGGCCCGCTACCCGCGAAACACGTGACTGGGACGTAGGCGGAGGTTGGGCGAACAACATGGCCCTCGCTTGCGCTTCAGCTCGTGATGGTTCCGTTCGCTGCTTATCAAGCCGCGGCGGTTCAACTCGGGGTAGTTCAAATCGTTGCGGCTCGACCTGCGGCTGGTCCCGCTGTTGCGCAGTACGAGAATTCCCCACGAGCTCACTGGCGTATCGTCGATGTTCAGGGCGGGTAATGACATCAGGCTGCAGTAGCGGTGGCCGCGCTGAGGAGGGAGTACTGTCCGCTCGAGCTTTCCGAACAGGAGGTGGCACCGTGACAACTGGCGGTATCTTCTGTGAGGATTTCGAACGCGAGAATGGCCAGATGCCCTTGGACTGAGACGGGTTGTGAGCTCGGTCCCGGAGCGTGAAGAGCACGAAGGACGCACTTCCTTCGCCTCTTTCACTTTCTTCTTCAGGCTTTCCTCTGATGCTTGCTTGGACCTGCCTGCGAGACCAGTGGCTCGGAGGAAACTTCGCCCGCGACTCTACGACATGCTGAGTGCGACGGCCCATTCCGGAGTTCAGGGTTACTGACCAGAGTCCCTCCTCTCTCGGTATCGCTTTCAGGCGCTGGAGCAGTCTGATTCGGCCGCTGGGAAGGCGCAGGCAATTGAACAGGAATAGTGTTGGACAGTTGAGGCGCTGAGTAGTTATCGGCTGGCGGCTTCGCAGCCCTAGGTCGTGCCGCAGGGTCCGACGGTTGTAATTTCTAATCGTCCCAAATCAGTTCACATCGGGAGGTCCAGAGCACATAATTAATAGGCAGACCTTTCCATCTGTATGACGAAGATGATGCCCAGCGGTCAAGGGCCGCTGGACCGAGCCATCCGAGCTCTCTCCTTCATCCATCCGGCCATCGACCTTGCTCTTTCGCCGCGACTCTTTTTCCCTCTTTTTCGCCGGGTCGCGTATCTGATCTTCTTCCTTCGTGCGGCTATCCTTCCTCGTCCGCACCTCACCAGCATCGCGCTTCCGATGCCGCGGCTCCAATTCGTCCGGCGTGAGCCTGATGCTCGACGTCGACGTCGCGAGATGTGGAGCGCGTGACGATGATGTCGTCGCTTCTTTTTCTCGGTGCTTCTTGGGAGATGGGCGAGCGCTCGACTCACGGGCGCGTCGTTTCTCCTCCTTAGCCCTTCGGTATTCTGATTGCGTAGGTTGCGGTACCGGGACGCCAGGAAAATGGGGATATTGGAAGTGCGTGGGCACATATGTCGTATACCCGTTACGGGACTCTGGGCGCTCGAGGCTACTTGTCGGAGGATTGGACAGGTAGTATTGGCCGTAAGGTTGTATCGGGATGGGTTGCACGGGGACGGGCTGTGGTGCATGATTCGAGTAGGAGAATCCGGTCTTGGTAGTTTGTCCGCCTGCATATTTGTAGCTATTCGATGAGGGCGGCTCAGGTCGTGGCAGAGTGCGTCCAGTCCCACGGTACGACTCCTGCGCGTGGCTTGGGCCGGCGTTCGAGGAGGCCCGCGCGCTGGGACCTGGAGTGGGGACGCGCGAGGCCTCCGGGGGGATCCAAACGTTGTAGGCGTCAGTGGGCCGGTGCGAGCGCGAAGGCTTGGATGGTGGGATTTCAGGTTTACGGAGGAAGATATTCTTCATTCAGCAAGACCGGTGGAGAAAGACAGCCTGCTGCCGACATGAGGCGAAGTGGCAACGGGCGCTCGGCGGTATGTGTATGCATTTGGCGATGTGCCAAACACGTGTGGACAGCTGCAGGCGACCCGATTATATTTCAGATTCCATATTCTGCTTTATCCGCTTCAAGATATGCGAAGGCAGCGAGGGATTACAACATTAGATAAGCGATTTCCAAAAAGATAGGTAAACGAGGCATGATATGTTCCAAGTCCAACTTCAGCCCTTGACATGGGATGCGACTAGGCACGGGTCGGTCAAAAACTGATGTTGTGGGCAAAGAAGACGGTCGCACTTATCGTCTCAATCATGTGAAACATGGAACCCTGCCCCGGAATCTTCCTCAACGGCTTCTCTTCTTCGATGCGCTGATTGGACGACTCCTGGAGAACGACCCAGTCAAGATAGCGTCTGAGCTGATCCATGAGATCAGAGCGCAGGAGTCGGAGGACTTGTACTGTAGAGCCTAGCGGAGGAGACCACGGCTGGTGCACTGCGTCGTAGAAAGAAGGTGCTAGGGCCGACGGATCGATAGAAAGAAGAGACGCCAGTTTGTCGCACATGTAACAACAAGATGCAGAGGTACCCAACGCTTGCAACAAACCCTTCAATTTATCAGATAGGACATCAACGCTGGGTAACTGACCCACATCTTTCAAAGCATGCAGTCGTCTAGGATCTGATGCGGTAGTGGCGTCGAACAGAGAGGCGATGTTGGGTGAATCTGCAGCCATGACTACTCCCAGGAGATTGGCCTTGTGATGGGCGGGAAACTTGGCATCCATGTCATAGACCCCAAAATCAAGAAGATACGAGTCGATAAGGCTCATCGTCTCGGACGAGCTCGCCGGGTAGAGTTCGTGGACCAGTTTCATGATCGCAGTGCGGTCTGAGGGAGACGGGGGAACATCTATGACGCTCAAGTCGACGGGGATCGCAGCACGGACTACTTTCGTCCCCGATAGAACAAGCAGCGCCCGATGCCAGGCAACTACCCGTTGCAGTTGACGGAAGAGAAAAGGTCCGTCGCATCTGTCTGTGAGAAGAAATGAGTATATCAACCACCTGAACGATTGCACTGACCTTCATCAGTTGATAGCGATTGTATGTGCAGCGAGAAGCATGGGAGATAGAGGATGTGCCGGAGTATGTCGCTCTCATATAAGAGCGAGTACAACATTCTTATCGTCGTGTTCAGTCGTTCCCAACTGTCTTCCGAAGCAGACGCTGGTCGACAGGTCCAGATCTTCCCATCGATGACATCTAGAAGCACACCGAGGCCCTGCACACATTTTCCGGCCATGACAGTATCCAGAATAACCGAAGCACCAAATGGCATCGTCCCAGGCGACAAGGCATTGTAGATGATCGCAATATGAGGCTTGAGACTGAACTTCTTCGGCTTTAATTCGTCCTTGCTGGGCTGCCATCCAATGGCGAATTTCCACCATGGTTCTCGAAGGAAGAAGGATTGGATGGTGTTGAACCGCTGGGCTATCTTACCGAAGGACCTTTGGAGGATGAAAATGAGACACTTGGATTGACGATCCTCTCGTTCTTCAGCCGGGATATCGTATGCAGCGAACCCTTCGAGGATACGGCTGAGGTCGAGTATATGCTGCCTCAAGGGAACACTCTCCAATCTATTACACTGAGTTGAAAAAAGCAGCATCTTGGGACTGGGTTGCGCACCCTGAGTTAAGCAGAGCTTCCATGTGCTCTGGTGATGTGCACCTCTTCGTAGCGCGTAGATGCTCGATCTTCATCTTCCTTGATGTACTCTTGCCAGACTGCGCTGACTCGTCTTCAGAGCACACAGCAAACAGCAAGAACCGGTGGTGAAGCGAGACTCCTGAAAGGGCCATGTCTTTCTGCGATCCGTCTCTATTCAGAAGCGTCGAGACATGGTGAAAGGTCCTATGGGAGGTGGCTTCCTGGTGTTTCGAGGGCGACAGAGATGATGCGAAGCCAGATATCCTTGTCAGCGCATCTGTGAGAGCTCTTATGTCGCTTGAGAGACGAGCTGAGGTGGTGGAGGGAGACATGGGGTGTGTGGCCTGAATTAACGTCTCCTGAACGTCTCTGCTTTAGACTCGTGCGATAGTTGACATGAGCATATGTACAGCAATGGCTGGTCTCGCACATAATATGCTATGTTAGCAGCAACTAGAGTCGACAAGGCTAAGCCTTCGTTGTGTTTGGGACGCAAGCGCAGAATACTTGAGGCGGCCCGGACTCCGACTCCGATGAGTCGGGATACAAAACTTCTGTTGCCATCAGACTTCCAAATCGGGGCTCGCGATGGACGACGAGCTACCAGAGGACATTTTGTCAAGTTCTTTGCTATCTCTCTACCACTACCAACCGATAACACTCTCTTCTGCCGGAGCGATCTTCGTGTACCGCTCACCGCATTGCCAAGTCACCCTACAAACGCCCGATACAAAAGCCGCGAACTGGGCCCTGCATGCTTCGTCCGTTTGGGCTTCGTCTCGTTTTCTGAGTGATCACATCGAATATCTACACCTGGCGGACCATATAAAGCACAGTCAAACAAACAAACACTTGAAAGTGCTCGAGCTGGGAGCAGCTGCGGGACTGCCTAGTATCGTGATCGCCAAAACACATGCTGCCGATGAGATACAGGTCGTCGTGACGGACTACCCGGATGAGGAGCTCATCCGCACGCTGGCCCAGAACGTCGTTGACAACGGCGTGTCGAGGAACTGTCGAGCACTGGCATACGACTGGGGCTCTCCAGACTCATCTCCGCTCTTTGCGCCCGACAACGAAAAGTTCGATGTGATCATTGCTGCCGACACGTTGTGGAATCCAGATTTCCACGGGATATTCATCACCGCTCTGAAGTCGACTCTGAAGAAAGCACCCGATTCGCGTGTCTACCTCTTTGCGGGTCTGCACACAGGACGATACACAATTCAATCATTTCTTGTCGGTGGATATCTTGCACGACTTGAGCCGTATCGCACTGATGCCGCATGTTCCAGATCGCGGTGCTCAAGGAAGGATTCGTGCTGGACAATGCTTTTGAGCAAGAGACGGCCGGAGATCAGACACGTGCGTGGAGTGTAGAAAGAGCAGACGGCGAAGACGAGAGCGAAAGGCGTCGTTGGATAGCATGCATAACATTGAAATGGGATTCTGATACATGACAGTGGGCTGAGACAGCGTGGAAGTATGTTAGCCTATGCACTTTCAGGCCGGCGGGGCGCCGAAAGTGAGCACATTGATCGGGCGGTATCCGGGCTGCAGTTCCTATCACGGCGTTAACAGGAGAAAATCCGACCGGGAAATGACGAGAACGTACGAGGAAAAGCACGACATTATCGTCACTGATGGAGATATCATCCACACCGTAATGTTCGGTGGTACTCGAAGAAAGCCGGCGTTTGGCTTCGCTCGGAATCAGGCCCGATTTGAGGCCCATGACGACCCAACTCGGGTCAGGCCGAACCGATGCATCTGGGAATGGCGCAAACTCGATAATCTTGAGATACGTCGTCGGTCGCATGTATTCGAGATAGACGACCCGCGACCCAACAAGGAAGGGACGACCCAGTTGACCCTGATGCTGCGAGAGATCTTTGACAGTTACGAATTGACTCCAGTTGGTCCACGGGACAAGAGGATAATCGCGGCGCATGGGCGCATCTCTGAAGTAGTTCTCGTTGACGAACATCCAGCTAGATTGGCTGTTTCCCGAGACAGACTGAACAGGTTTCGCCGCAAGAGCTAGCAAACGGTTGACAGGGTCCGACTGGAACAGGGCCCCAGGAGTGGGACGATAGAGCGAATCGTTTGAGCAAAATTCGATCATGAGATGAGCCCACATCGGGGGTAGCTCAAACTGCCTGATCACTGACATGGTTGCGATATCGGATATGTCGCATAGATTGAGAACAGGCGCATGTCCGCCTTTTTTGCAGAGAACAAGGAGGAGATCGTCATCCAGGAGACGCGCTCCGAGATCGTCGATCCACTTTGGACACGGTCAGCGCAGGCACAGAACACAACCGGATCAACTTACCCGGGCCCCGAGATTGCGCCAGTCCATGAGCAAGTGGTTGATCTGTCCATTAACGAAATGAAGAGTGACTACAAGCTTGGATCCGTGCACCGAAATCGCGGTCCGCGCAACTGGCATCGTGTTTTGAGTGGGTAGTTGGTATGACTCAGCCGAAGCTCGCGGATGTTGACCAAATGACCACAAGTCCCGGAAGTGCAGCTGGATGCCCACGATCCCCCCTTGGCTAAGATAGACTTTTCAGTTACATGCCGATCACTGGACCAAGTAAACCGACTGGAAGATATGAGCCCCGATGATAAGGGCTTGGGTAGGATCGATGCAGACGGTCTCGATAGGAGGCGTGGTCATCCGCAGTCGACGAGTTTCAGCGGGGCTGCGTCCCAGTCGAGCCGATGGGAGCTCAGCGATTTCGAGCGTGGAGTACGTTCCATGAGGTCGAATCTGATACAAGATGCCACCAGAAACGCCTGAATGAGAAGGGGTCGCGACCTGGAGCTTGTATTCGTGTGTCCAAGTCAAGTGAGACCACTCCTTCTGGTGGTTCGCCAGCAGATGCAACCGAGTAACTATCGGAGCCATCGATAATGCAACACGGCCATCCTTCATGCCGCTGCGAGCAAGCTCATACTTGTAACGGGGCAAGTGGAAGTCCATGGTTAACCGGCGAAAGCGACGGAACATCTGGAGTCGCGTTTGAGACAAGCAGCGGTAACGCAGACCGCCATATACCTTGGAAACCACAAACAGAGAGCGAGGATCGAGATACTTGAGGAGGTGGATAAGGACATCGTCGGGGAGAGACACTTTGCGCTTGAGCTTTGAGTATCGGGAAGGAGCCATGATTTGTTTGTCTTGACCAGCAGCCAATACCGCAATTTATACATCGCGGAGGACGGCAAAGAGGTATATTGTACTGTTTCATCTTATCGGCAGCAAAACATGAATCGTTGTCTTTCAGTTGTTCTTCATCGTTGCAACTTGCAGGCGCTACCGGACGTTGTTGGTCGGTAAGTCGACAGAAAAAGCTTTTGTGAGCAAGCGCGCCGCAAGCACGCGTTTTGGTGCGCTACCATGTCAACCAGGTCGAAGGCTCGGGAGGTGAAGGCGCGTCGGGTGCCCGAGCCCCGGCGATGACAATAAGAACCGAAGAACGGGGTCGAGGTCGCCATTTTTGGACAGAGAAGGTCCACGGGAACGATATCGAAAATAGCAATGTCGGAGAACAAATGGGATAATTGAGCAATTGTCTGGTGGACTGTTGAGGGTCCAAGTTGAGAGATCCAGGAGATCTGTTCGAGCGAATGGGGCAAGATACGGAAGAAAGAGCATGATGCACTGAACGCCAAGCGCACAGCCACAGCCTTCCTTTCTCATCGACCAATATGGTTTGCGCCAAATGCGAGAAGGTATGTTCTCGTGTAATTGTCCTGACTTTGCTACACTCACCGAATTTTGCCATAGAAACTATCCAAACTCGCTGCGCCAGACCCATTCACGGCTAGCAGTAGCAGTATCAAAGATGGAACACGTAAAGTTGGCGAAAACAAGCTGCTATCTCGCCCCGGGAGCTCCAAGAATCGATTTCAGGTAGGATTCTCTGCAAATTTACTATACCAAGTCTCATGTTACTGCTGCAGCCCTATCAAGGGAAATGTAAAGACTGTAAGCAGCCGGTGACACAGAATAAGGGCAAATACTGTCATGGCAAGGATTCATAAGCTGCGTCTTGTGCATTCGCGCTGAAACTGTTTGATAGGATGTGCATACAAGAAAGGTCTTTGTGCAATATGTGGGAAGCAAGTTCTTGACACGAAGGGCTACGTTATGTCAAGCAAGTAGCGGCGGGATTGCAGGTGTACAGTATGTATTTCATATAATCTCATTGTATCTATATCCTACAGCAGTTATCGAAAACACTTTGAAACATTGCACAGCTCCGTATTCAGATCCTGAAGACATTCAACCGACTGTCCCATCCGCAACTCGCCAATATTCCTTCATCGTAAAGCGACCAGCTGCATCCTACCACGAACTCAGTATGAGGATCGTGGATATACATCAGTTGTGGTGCCCCGGTTGCCGCAGTATTCCATCTGCAAAACAGTCTGCATCGCACGAGAAGACGGTCATGGACAATCACTCACACTCGGCAACTCATGTCGTAACTAGCAGTTGCGAGCACTTCAGGACGGTGTGGGCTCCACTGGACCTTCCGAACCGCGAATTCGTGCCCAAGGAGTTGACTCTCGCACGCTCCACCAACTCCGCCCGTCTCCTGCAGCTTAATCATACGGCAGTCCCACACTTTGGCCATTTTGTCTACACCTCCCGTGGCTAGAACAAATGGACGATATTTGTTCCAGTCGAGGGAAAGTACTTCTCCACCGGACGCGGGTACGGTCAGAGCCGCAGCAGACATTGGATTGGTGAAGTTGCTGACTCCAGGGCCGCCCGAGACGTATGCAGGAGCACGGAGATCAAATATCTTCATCGTTCCATCGGTTGAACAAGTGGCGAGGACGTCTGGTTGGTGCGGAGAAAACAATGCTTGATACACACATGCGTGATGGGCGTTTAGTGTGAGGACAGACCTCTGTCTCTCGGGCGTCCACTACAGTTGTCTTGTCAGAACCTTGAGAGTATTCCAACGATGTTGGTCTCACAATCTTGACGTTCCCGTCCCATGACGCAGAAACAAAAGTATCCTTTTTGATATTGGACCAGTCCACTGAGAAGACTTCACGAGTGTGCTCTTGCCAGGCTCTCATCGGCAGATTCTTCATAAGCGTCAGACACGGGGATAGAGAACAGCGATCACCGCACGTTATGCATAATATCCCACAGTCTGAGGGATCCATCGCCCGAGGCAGTGACCAAATGGTTCTCGTGTACTTCGGACCATGCCACATCATATAGACCGTCCTGTGTTTCAAAGCTAGAAGACTGAGATGGAGCGCCGCGCACAATGTACACCTACAATTTATCGATGTTTAGCGAGATTCCGGTAGGCCCTGGTGCGGGAGCTGTGGAAACTATATGCAGACGCCCGTTTCCCACCAATCCGAAGTTGGCGGCTGACGCCAAAGCAAGACGCGTCGTGTGGAAGGGCGACCAGGCGATCGCGAAATGGGCGAAGCCCGGCGTCTGGAGCACGGCAGGAGGAGGGCGTTGTCCGTTCATAGTGATAGGACTTTATGATACAAGTCGAGCAGGTAACGCAGTTGTGCACAATCTCAAGTCGGACCCGGAGAGTAATGGACGGAAATCATGAGCATTCGGCGAAGTGTCACACGCTCAATCGGGACGGCGGTGGCTGTGCGACGTCGCTTAGGCTGATACGGGGCATCGCCATTGTGCAATTTCCCTGCCTGACCATCCAAGTCCTTGACCACTACTAGCCCCAAGCACAAGCACAAATAATACTACGCCCTACTGGCCATCGCCATTTTATACTCGCTTTTCAATGCCGCACACTCGCGATGTATCTACACCCCCCGATCCTTACACTCCCATTCTCAAGCCACCTCGCGAACGGTTCCCTAGTGCAAGTGAACTCCGAGACGCTCCAAGGTTGCGTTCTGCCTCTACTTCTGCAGTCCCGAGAAATCTGCACGTTTCTGGATCCAAGATTTGTCCATCCAAGCGGCATTCAGTTCAACTCTCTCCTTCCTCGCTGCCGTCCTCCACACCCACTGCAATTCGAAAGCCGTCAATCTCGCCAACTGGGTCTTCGATCAGAAGACCTCGTGCTATGACTGTACCCAACGGGCGCCCACCAGCGGGGCCATCCCCGCCTCCCTCTCCTAGTGCGCGTGCTCTCAAAAACCTCGATCCCAAACCTCTGCTTCGTTCACTCAACGCCCTGCTCGATCCTAAGACCCAAAGAATTCCTGATTTCCTTGATGTGGATCATATATCAGCTCTTTATGAACGAGATATGATGGAGCGGGACCAGCGAGACGCCATCAAGCGACAAGTGCGCGCTGAACGCGCAGAGGGCAGGATCTCTGGTCATGATCTGAGTCCGCTAATTCATGTCTTTATATTTTCTTGGCCCTGATGCCCTTCGAATCCAGCTGTCTTCGGAACTTCGCTAAGAGAAGCGACCATGTATGCTTCTACTGTAGCTGTCCTTGGCGGGTGTGAACATGATCTGCCCATTGTGGTAGTGTCCTGCGTTAAGGAGCTCTGTTGCAACAGTCAGCGCTGATATCTGCCTCGAAGTTCGAACTGACTCGCGGCTAGGCTTTCAGACTCCTCCGCCCGGCGCGCCGAAGCCCAATCGAGATCGACTGCTGGCGCTGATCAGTGACTTTGATTCTGAGCCTTATTTTGGCTCGAAGACGACCCTGAACTCCGCTGATGACCTATTGGAAATCTATGCTCTTCTCTCGACCTATCTGTTCGCACTTCCCGATCCTGTGGTGCTGCCAGAAATCTTCGAGGCTCTCTGGGCCTGGTGTGTGGTGCCTTCTCTACAGCGGACAGATTTTCTGGAAGATGAAAGCGCCTTGAAAACGCTGCACACCGCTACTGCGACTGATGTCTGTGTCCGTATCGCCCACATTCTCTTGCTGCTCATGCCTATTCCCAATCTTTCGCTCTTTGTGTACATGATGGGAGTGTTCAAGCGTCTGCCTCATCTGATTACCGAAGACATTGCTCTTGCTGTTCTTGCGGGCAAGACGACCAAGGTTCCAACTGCCAAGAGCGTGTGCGATGGGCGGGGGGAAAGAGCAGAGATTCTGCTTCGCTGGTTGTCGGAGCGCTGGGATGTCATATTCAAAGCACTTTTTCCATCATCGGAGATCAAGTCGAATGTCACAGTATCGAAGATAAAACCCCCCTCGTCTTCTTCTATATGCAAAGGTCAGCTGGTTCTTATTATCCTGGTGCATCCAATCCGAGCTACTTGCGCCCCTTTCCAGTGCCCCGAAAAACCGAGACGCCTGGCGACGCTGATTCAGATGCCTCAAGTGTCCACTCATCCTCTGCACGTGAGTGACTTCTCGCTCCTTTTGGATCGTATTTGTGAATCACGTTAGTTCATGAGCGCCTGCTCGATGTCACAATGGATTTTGACTCTGAGCGTGACACGGTCCAAATCCAAAAGGCCAAGAAGCGACAAAACCGGAACGCTGTCTTGAACAATCGAACAGGAGTTGATTCTCCAGCTCAGGATCGTTCACAGAAACCGGTAAAAGCTGTCTCACCTGTTCCACCGTCGCCGAGTCCGGAACCCGAACGAACAATGTCTTACGATGCAGCCATTCGACGCATCTCGGCCCTTGAGCGGGAAGTGGAGCGGACTGAGGTGGCAATGTCGGACGCTATCAACGAAACTTTCCGGGCCCGCGAGCAGGTGAAAGACCTCGAGGCGAAGCTGCGAGATGCCACGAAGCGACCTCCTGTGCTTGAGTTGGCGCTCGATCCTCGGGCAGCGGATGACTGGCATGCTGTTCTGCACTCTGACACCGAAGCACTCAAGGCCCAACTTGGGAACATGAAGAAGGAGAGAGACGCAGCGTTGAAACTCGTTGATGAGATCAAGGGCGTCATCAACTGAAGGTGTAGGATATGTTACGTCGCGTGCTTTTGGTATTTCTACGCCTGCAATGTGTAATAGGAAGCCAGCTTGTTGAGAAGATACCAAGTTCAATCACGGAGAGTGGATGAATCGATTTCGACATGTCTCCACTATGGATGGCGAGGCTCTTCGCCTGGAGGGAGATTTGGGAGAATGGTCTACAATTTCAAAGAGCGGAGATTCACGCCATCGGTGGCGCAAGTAGTCATGTGTAGCTCACCAATCTGAAAGTGACGCGCCAGATATGAATCAGGGCCCTCCATCTCCAGCAGTGGTCCAGGTGACTGATTTCCTCAGGTCCCAGTCTGCATGAAATCGTTGAAAGGATAGAATCCGGCATGACAGCTGATTTTGAACAGCCACTGATGTCTGATCGGCGATCAAGCGTTGACACAACGTGGTTGCTTTCCCCCAATCTCACCGTTTGCTACTATCTTCGACGTTTCATTCGATCATGAAGAGCACTACGAAGCTCGCATTTGTTCTCGGTGTATCCATCGCCTTTTTTGTAGCTGAGATTGCCAGTACGCCTCGGGTCGTGTTCTGTGGAATCATCCAAGCTGAAATAGAGCCGTAACGTCAGTAGGGTTCCGGACGAAGAGTCTGGCATTGATTGCAGATGCGGTTCGTCGTCCTGTGCCTTTCAGACGTGTATTGAAACAGCATGGGGAGTAGTTCCACTATCTCAATGTGAGTCGTGTGCTACCCTCAGCGCAGCGGCCCATGCGACTTTGTAGGACATCGTGGCATAGTGCGTCCTTCACGGCTGCAGAACCATTTCTGAACCCGTCCTAGTGCTATTGCTTTTGCCGCTGCATACGTGCGTTCGTTGTCTGAGTCAGCCACTCCGCACGACTGACGAGGCTGCAGTTACAAGACAAAGGACACAATGTGCGCTCCATGAATTCGGCCGTCAGCCAACGTGGCTCAAGCCCTGCTGCAGACTGTCGGGTTTACGTACGCCTTCCACCGTGCCGAACTAGTTGGGGCCTTCTTCAATGGGGTGTTTCTGCTTGCCCTGGCGCTGTCGATATTCCTGCAGTCCCTGGAGCGATTCGTGCACATAGAGGCCGTTGAAAACCCCGTTCAAGTGATGATTATCGGCTGTGTTGGCCTCTGCCTCAACATCATCAGTGTTCTTGTCGTGCATGACCACGGTGGACACGGTGGACACAGCCACAGCCACTCCGGGCCAGCGTCTGCTTCTCCGATCCCTATGGAGCGACACTCCCATGACGGTAGTGTCCATGCGCAACATCACCACACCTTGTTCCCTCCCACGCAGAAGCTCCAGTCGGACCTGGGCCTCTTCGCCGTTTTGATCCATCTGCTTGGTGACGCAGTCAACAGTCGGTGTCTTGGATCTCTCTTGGCTTCTTACCACCACGTGCACCTGATCGGCGGCCCGCGACCGAAACCCTCCGACCTCGCAAACGCACGACGGGGCACGTAGCGGCGCGCACGCTTAGTAGCTTGAATACTATCTACCCTACTTGACACAGCAAGTGATAATGTACGGGGCAGGTGGACGACGTAGCAACACACCCGCGAGCTCAGCGCCCACGAGCGCCAGTCAGACACAGCGAACTATGGGCACCAGAGCGACGCCGCTGAGGGAGATGCATCTAAGAACGGACCTCACAAGGGAGCAGCTATACAAAATGGAATCGGGCATAGACCTCAGCACCATAACCACCCAGGAAGCAACGAGAAGTCTGATAGCGAAGGGATTCTTAACGGAAACGGTGAGTGATACACCGACACACAGCGACCTGGCCCTGGCCATACTTCGCGCAGCGGCCACGGGTGGCTTGTCAGTGATAGTCGCAGACGCACTACGCACCGTAGCACACTTGGTCGAAACGCTCAACGGCCCCACGCACATCAAGCAGCTAGGAGAAGACATCCAAGGGGTGCTAAGGATTCTACAAGGAGAACTCGCCGACCCTAACGACGACGAAGAGGGGCATGGACGGCCTACACTGATGACGGCAAAGCTCACCAACACCGTCGAGCAGCACTGCAAAACCCTGGAACGAGCCACCACACAACTCGAAACGTGCATAGACGAAGCGTCAGCGCGGGCAGCAAAAGCCGCGGCTCACACAACGAGCGCGCTCCAAGCGCGCACCGTCACATACGCAGACGCGGTACGAGAAGCACCACCACCTCAGCTGGCGACAGCTTTCGCGCAATCTCGAGCCCGCAGACTACAAATCACCATACGCCCGGAACGCGACACAACGGCCACATGGCAGAACCTAAACGACAGAGAGACCCTCACAAAAGTCAACATCGCGCTGACCACGGCACACGAAAACGAAAACACGAACGGCAACGAAAAGCCAGAGGAGCTGAAAGCACGAGCATCGCAGCGCACCAGGAATGGTGCTTTGATCATACACATGACGACAGTGGAGGGCGCAGAATGGATACAACAGCCGGAAAACATGCGGGCCTTCTTGGGAGCACTAGGAGGCACCACCGTACACACCCCGCACAACTACACTGTCATAGCGGACTTTGTACCAGTGACCTTCGACCCCGAATCACCCACGGCCATCAGCGAGCTGGAAGACAACAACGGGCATGAAAACGGGCAGATTGCCAGCGCGAGATACATCAAGCCGATGGAACGGAGGGCGCGTGGACAGAGGGTCGCCCACGTTACGATCGGATTCAAGACAGCGGAGGCGGCAAACAGAGCCATAAAATTCGGGCTGTTCGTAGAGTGCACAAAGGTAAACTGCAGGAAGATGCTACAAGAACCGACAAGATGCGTCAAGTGTCAATTCTACAACACGGGGCACGTAGCAAGAACCTGCAACTCCATCCACGACACATGTGCAAGATGCGGAGAAATGCACCGCACCAGCACGTGCGCCGCCACAGATGAACAGGTAGCATGCTCGAACTGCAGGGCTAACAATCTCCCAGCACATGGACACGGAGCCGCTGACCGAACATGTCCGGTGTTTGCCAAGACCCTACAAGAAAGTCGCCAACGCAACACCGATGCGCAGTACCGATACTACCCAACCGCCGATGACCCGGACAGCTGGGAGACCACCCATGCACACGCGCCAGACATCCAGCACCAAGGGCGCACCTTCCAAGGTGGAAACCGACCAACGACACATCCACCGGCAACGACAGCGAACACAATCACGATCACGCCACGTGCAACACAACGGCCAGACACACATACGGAACCACCGGCACTACAAGCCCAGAGGCCAGCTCGCCAGGCGCGCACCTTTGGCACCTCAGGTGCATCTGTTACAGATGACACCCCCCCCTCTAAGGCCCTCGGAAGTGGTCAAAATTGGGGCCTAACAGGCCCCGTCATGTCCGGATGGGTCTGCGCTTCTGCGATCAATATAGTGACGTGAGCTTCTAGTACCTTCCTAATCCGGTAGCTTGCCATCAATTTTACTGTTATATTCCTCTCTTCAAAACCTCAATGGCTCCTCGCAAGCGCGCCGCTGCTCAGCTGCCCTTTGGTGTACCTAGCACCAGCCCCATGAAACGGAAGGCTGCTAGGGAGGTGGTTGACATACACCCACATAAGCGCACTCAGGCGGCGCATCTGCAAGCACGGCTTAATGCACTGCTTGCCAGGAAACCACTCCCCTCAATTCCCAGCCCTTCCCAGACACTAGAAGAGGATAATCCCTACTTCTCCGAGCCTCTTGAGCCGCCACAGACACTTCCTGATCATTCTGGGGATCCTAGCCAGCACTCAGAAGATGCATCTGTTCAGCCTTTGGTCTCAAACGGAAATCTTGACGAGCCAATGCCTGCAGTCAATGAGCGTGCTGTACGGGCTGCAGACAATTGGGAAACTCTTTTGCCCAAGTTGGAATCTGTGTTTCTCGATTTTCATCGTGCATACCATGGAGCAGTTCGACCAACAATTGCTTCTTCGCTTGATGCTGTATGCTCGCAATGCATTATTGGCATAAGTTCTGTGTCAATAAGCTGTCTATATCCCACCCGTGAACATTTTCCCGCTCCATAGTGACCAGTGAACCTGACTCTCAACAGATATCAGTCGGGTGCAGATCCGTCTGTGCCGATGCAAATGCCTGCCCGTGCTGCTCTTGGAGAATGGGGTATTTCCGGGAACTCCTGTCAAGCCACGGATAGGAGTTTCTCTCGACGTTTTGGACTCGTACCGAGCCTACTTCGAGCGATCTGCCGATGCAATCACAGCCCTAGCTGCCTCCTTGGCTACAGTATATCGGCGTCGGGGATTTGAGCTGGGATTTGATTCGGTAAGAGCACTCCATAGTACCATTTCTTTTGGCTCTTACTAGAAACATTGCAGACGGCTGTGGAACACATTGATGATCCCTTCCGCAACGTGCTGTCACATGCTGTTCTCTACTCATCTCTGGTTCGTTCGCGGTTGGAGAAGCGACTTGAAGTGTGTCTGAGAGCAACAGAAGATGTCATAGCAGTGGAGGAAAAAGGTTAGTTCAAAGCCCAGTGGATTGATGTTGATACCGACCCATCTGCAGTGGCAGCTGAGAGACGAGCTGAGCTTGAAAATGCTGAGATGCCATTGGCAGCTGAGCTTGATGCAGAATTTGGAGGTGTGGAGTCTGCGCCGTCTGGCGGAGCGGAGCAGGCACCAGCCTTGGATGCTGGCCACGTGTCTGAGGACCCATCTGCATTGACACATTTGACCAAAGGACGTGCCGATCGTGTATTACGAGAACGGTGTCCTGCCTGCTTTGCACTGGAGGAATGGGGAAGATCGCTGAGCGAGTGAGTGCATTTTCTCATGGCCATAAACGTCTCTGAACGTTTGGCAGAGGTGGTGATGTGCAGCTGGGAGGAGATGGGTGTTTCAGCCTACGACATCTTCGCTCCTCTGGAGATGGTCCCATTCCCTTCTCCCCAGCATACTTCCTGAGTGACGCAGAGATGAAAACTACTCGTGCGCGCATCACTGCTGCAAGAGCCAAGCCGCCTCGCAAATTCAAACCTGCCATTCCTCAGGCTGCTCTCGACTCATGTCAGAGTTCATTTGATGCTGCCAACGAGAGCAAGCAGAAGGCTGATCCAAAGCACTTTGATTCAACTGGTGCCTTCGTTCTCACCTGTCGCCACTCACAGGTGTTGTTTCTGGCAAACATGGATACCCCAGGAGAGCAGCAGTGTTATCTGGTTGCTCTTTTGGACAAAGTCGCATCTCTTCTTCCACCAGTGGCAACAATCTTACAGGCCTACGATATTGGATGTCAGATGGATCATTCGTGCCACTTGGTTTGTCTTTACAACAGTCAAGTCTCAATGCTGATGCATCTGTGCAGTACCCACTGCTTTCTCCAACTCTTCGGGAGCGAATCGCATTTGTGATCAACATCATGCATTCGTTTGGACACGAATGGGATTGTCAGCTGGTGTATAGTCCAAGATTCTTTGTCGGAATGGGCCTGTCTGACATGGAAGGTGTTGAACGCTTTTGGTCGCGGGTCTGGAAACTGATCAATTTGACCCGGCAACAATGGGTATGCTCTCTTTTGTGCATACAGGATGATGGTTTCTGACTAGTTCCAAACAGCAATCTCGTCGTATCTGGATGCTAGATGAATACACCGCATTCGTGAATCAGGAGGGCGCTGAGAAGCTCGGGGATTGGTTGGATCGCCAGCAGGCCAATCTTCTCCCCAAGTACCGACAGAGCATCAAGACATTACATGCCTGTCGTGTGTCAGAGAGAGAGCTACGATCTCAGTGGAGGGCACAAAAAGCGGCGCAGAGTAGCCGAAACATCAGTAGGCAAATATACCTCGTCTTTTTTTTTGGCTCTGATGTGTGCATACAGAGGCATCTGCGCGGTTCCGTAAGGATCTGGACAAAGTGATTACTCTCCAGAATCAGATCGTGTCTGTCGAGACCGCCATTCTGGATGTGAAGAAGTCAATTGGAACCTCAGGTGCATCTGTGGAGACGTTGTGTCATCTTGATGAGATGGAGGACACCCACATGGAGCTCAGTGACCGTGCAGATGCACTGTATGCATCGCTTAATCTGCGGCACACATTTCCCCAGCTCTCTGGATTGCCGGCAAACTTTGTCAAGTTGCTGCTTACAATGCATGACTTGAAAGTAAACATCCGGAAGCGTGCAGTTGGGTCATTTTACGAGATGGAGACTTTAGATCGTGCTGTAGGTGGGAAGAAGGAGAGTTTGGGTGCGCAATTTTCTGCGAACCTTCAGCAACCTACTGACTCGCTCCAGGAACAAAGTTTCACCAACAGACTCGAAAGGCAATGGCTAAGCGACATCCAATTCTCTATCGCCTGATTGAGCGTTTCAATTCGCTGTGCGAGAAAGCCGAGGAGGAATTCCCCGCAGGCTGTCATCTACCTGTTCCCCACCCACTACCCACACGATTAGCGTCTCTCCGAAATGACCTAACACTGTACGAGGATGTCTGCGTCACACCATCATCTGGAGCAATTCCGCGTTGGTTGGACGACTCAGATGTTCGGGATGGGATTCAAAACATGCACTCTGTTGATCGATGCACGGAGGAGATGCCACGGCTCAACCGAGAGCGTGCCAACCTCGAGCTGTATCTCCTGGCAGAGACAGCACTCGTATCCAGATGCATCCATGAGGCAGCAGGAGATCCACTGCTTCAGCATCTCCTTCAGCTCCGGGCCACGGATCTCGAAAGGTTGGCTAAACGGTGGCGGAAGTCCTTTGGACAATACACCTTGAGCCCTTTCTCTGGTGGAACAATATTCATGTCTGGGTTCTCAAGTGCAGCTGCATCTGCATCAAAACATAGCACGCAGACCAACATCAGCCGCCCAAATCTCGGTGCTGAAAATCATCGGCCTCTATCAACGCCAGAAATCGTGCCAGTTCCGCAGAGTTCCAGTCATCTTAACAATCCTGCTGATGCCATCATCTCATCTGCACGATCACCTAGCCCTGATCTGGATGCATCTGCTGGGAATATTGATGGGAGTGCAAGTGCTCATCTTCATCTTGCATCAGCGGACATTCCACTGGTTGAAGAAATCCCTGAAGAGAACCTTGATGATGACATCGAGATCCTTGAAATGCAGGATACCCTGCAGAATGTCGATCTTGATGATGACGAGGATACATCTGCATTCGCGCAATCAGATGTCAATGTCGCAATACATTGGGAATGTCCAGTAAGCCCCGCTCTAAATGCATTCCAATGTACTCATCCATGGTTAGGAAATCACATACGAATCAACCATGTTCATAGAGCTCGAGCATCGCAACAACAATCTTAACAAATATCGTGGTGATGTCCCACATGTTGTTGTTCGCGGTCACGAGCTCAAGAAATTGACAATTCTGGCGGAGGATCTGGCCAGGTTTATCAATCCGACTGGCCTTCTCAGTGGGCATGGCATCAATGGTGTAGCCGCCTCAATGCTTGCAATGTTTGGTCAAGAACACAGTCCATACAATGTGCATGCTCGTCGCTGTGCTTTGCTGTCAACTTATGAGCTTCCACGGATCCGTTCGGAAGCACGAGACAAATTCATGTGGGCTGAACTGTCACCACTTTGCTACTGGGAGAAGGATTTCTGGATTCTCCCCATCCATCGCGCCTCCCAGCAGCACTGGGTTGTTGCAGTGGCCTCTATCCCCGATCAGAAGATTTTCTTCTTTGATAGTCTCTCTGGGCGCAGCCGCTTCCGGAAGGAACTCCAGGTCAGTCATTCTTTCACTCGAATTCTGCTCGTACTGATGCATCTGCAGGAGTTTGTTTTGCTCATATCACGCATGACCGCCCTTGCAAACCGGCACGGGAAGCGGTTGAACATTTCAGAAAATGATTGGCACGCATATTCTCTGTTCACACCGGTATGTATTTTGGTCTCAAATCGAAATTCCTCTTGCCGACTCACAAATGTAGGGAAAACCAAAACAAACGAATGGTTACGATTGTGGGGTTTGGATCCTGGCAGTAATGGGTGCATTTATGAGAGGGCATCATCTTCCAGCACTGGCTGAGCCAGATCTTCAGAGGGCCAGGCACATCTTTGCAGAACACATACAGACATTGTCCATGATTTAGAATGTCACCTCTCTGTTTTCATTCAAAGACATTAAGATGAGGGATGAACTTTTATAATCATTGTGAATAGATCTGGGATCATAAAGACGTTGTCAAAGCTCTACAATCCGAAAACGCTCTATTCAAGGAATTTCAATCCATGCAGATGTACGATCGTTCGTGCAACCCAGTGACAATGATGCTTGAGCATGGACAGCTCACGAGGGTGCAAAACGGGATGATAGTGCTCATTCTGTAGCATAAGCTGGGCGGCCTCCCAATCCAGGTGCAGCCGCACAACCTCTGCAGTGAGAGAGCTCAATGCTGCTGTTCTCTGGCGTGTTCTGAAGGCTTGCCGAAGCTTGAGATCTCGTTCACGTTGCTCCCGGAGTCGA